TCACCTTAGAGTTCAATTTTGTCAATGACTTCTTCATCAAATCGCTGCACAACCAAATTTTTTACGCTATGTTTTATGGACTGATGAAACCTCTTTCACAAGAGACGGTATTTTTAATAATAGGTATAGCCACGTTTGGGACAAAGGAAATCCCCATGCAATTTTTCCTAGGAAACATCAGTAACGTTGGTCTGGCAACGTATGGGCAGGTATTGTTGATCACCTTGAAAACGTTCCATTGAACGTTTGACAGGAAATGTGGTTTCAGTATGATGGAGCGCCGGCTCGCTTTGCTGTACAAGTACGTGAGTACTTGGCTCAGCGGTTTAGGCACCGTTGGATTGCCAGAGGTGGAGCAGTTTCTTGGTCTCCTAGGTCACCCGATTTAACATCGCTAGATTTTTTCCTGTGGGGACATGCAAAGCCTTTGGTTTACGGAACTCCAGTAGAAACAGAGCAAGACTTAATTGGACGAATTACGGAATGCTTGGAAATCATTCATAACGAGTATCAAATTTTTAGTCAAGTCCGCCGAAATCATGTGCGACGTTTAAATCGGTGTATTCATGTTGGAGAAAGACATCTTGAACAATTGTTGTGATGATATCGAACAAAAGGCAAAAATTAAATGCATTACATCCTATTTAGGCAATTCATCTTTCTAAATTGTGACACTTTTCCGGATATGGGTCCCTATACTCAAATGTTTTCTACTGTTACACTGAATAACCTCTAGAAGTTTGATCCCTTAGTTCTGAAACACCCTGTATATTGCTGTCTTGGTGTTGAAATTACCTTGATAGACCTGAATAGTGAGAAGCCCATTTTTATATTTTCCAAAGAATAAAACACCGGATTTTGTCGGATTTATTGGAAGGTGGTGCAGAATGATCTCTTTGGCAAGACTATTAAATTACTGATATCTTCATTAAGTAAATGAATGTGAATGTGTATCAGTGCTTGGACTTTTGTAAAAAGTTTGCAGTCCCCATGCAATTTAATTAGATATTTATAAGACATCACTCGGATTGCTGATAAAATAGTTTGTAGTTCAGCTTGCAGGACCTCAAATCTACATTGTATATAACGTAGTCAATAATCGTATGGTACTGTAAAGTTACTCTAATCACATTCAAAGAAAACATTTCTTACCTGTGGTTCATTATACCAAATGCAGCAACCCTTGGGGTTCATATCAGTCAAGTTCGTGTTCCAACAGTTCCTGCCCCTAGTTTTGCACCATTCTCCATGGTACCACACCTAAAAAGTTAGTGCTTTACCAATCAAGAGAGACTGGGTAGTTCATTGAATTTTGATGTTTGGAGATCTTAATACTAGACGAGCTTTCACCGTGTTCAGTGTCATAAAACCTCTTAACAATAATTATAACTAGGCCAACTGGGTAATATGTGAATTATGTAATGTTAATGTAATGTTGATGTAATGTTGATGTAATGTTGATGTAATGTTGATGTAATGTTGATGTAATGTTGATGTAATGTTGATGTAATGTTGATGTAATGTTGATGTAATGTTAATGTAATGTTAATGTAATGTTAATGTAATGTTAATGTAATGTTAATGTAATGTTAATGTAATGTTAATGTAATGTTAATGTAATGTTAATGTAATGTTAATGTAATGTTAATGTAATGTTAATGTAATGTTAATGTAATGTTAATGTAATGTTAATGTAATGTTAATGTAATGTTAATGTAATGTTAATGTAATGTTAATGTAATGTTAATGTAATGTTAATGTAATGTTAATGTAATGTTAATGTAATGTTAATGTAATGTTAATGTAATGTTAATGTAATGTTAATGTAATGTTAATGTAATGTTAATGTAATGTTAATGTAATGTTAATGTAATGTTAATGTAATGTTAATGTAATGTTAATGTAATGTAATGTTAATGTCTGTTTAATGTTTAATGTAATGATAATGTTAATGTAATGTTAATGTAAATGTTAATGTAATGTTAATGTAATGTTAAGTTAATTTTAATGTAATGTTAAGTCATGTTAATGTAATGTTAAGTAATGTTAATGTAATGTTAAGGTAACTGTTAATGTAATGTTAATGTAATGTTAATGTAATGTAATGTAATTGTTAATGTAATGTTAATGTAATGTTAATTTATGTTAATGTAATTTACTGTAATGTTACTTGTAATGTAAGGTAAGTTAAATGTTAAATGTTTAATGTAATGTTATTGTATAATGTTAATGTAATGTAATGTAATGTTACTGTATGTAATGTAATGTTCCTGATTAGACTGTCAACATTTGTCGGTACACCGTCATACCTAAATATTTTGTTACTGTAGCACACATTCACTGAATAAAAAATATATTTCATATGGATGATAAATATCCGCACCATGAACTAAATGTCCAAACAAGACTAATTTTGAACGAAAAATGCTCCAATTCCTACAAAAATGATTATCTCTCTGGCAACACCACACGTGTTTTGGTATAACTACTCATTATGAATGACTTAAAAAACTGTAATTGACGTGTACTTTACCTTTTCTGGTACAGTGCTAACTAAACTTATTGCAAGTCCCATTCTTTCTGCTCTACCAACACGACCAATTCTATGCACATAGTTAGATTTTTCATCGGGCAGAGTGACATTAATCACTGAAAAAAGTATAAAACTGAGTATGTCAGAAGCATAAATAAGTTTACAAACATTATATCAATGTTGCTTTGAAATTCGAAATCCTTCAAACTGGTGCAATTGATTTCACACTTAAATATCTGCAAGACTTACTGTATGGTAATCCGGAGATATCCAAACCCCTAGCAGCAACATCAGTACAAATTAGAAACTTAACAGCCTGTTTCTTGAATGATTCCAAGTTAGCCTTTCTTTCATTTGGTTTTCTGTCGCCGTGCAAACATACGCAGGAGTATTTGTTTCTATCTAACTGTTTCATGTATCTCTCCAAGTTATCGCAATCCAGCTTAGTACGACAAAAAATGATGGCTCTATCCATCTCGTGCACATCAATGGCGCGAATAACGTATTCACCTAAAATATTAAATCACAATATAGAACCATCTAAAAACATTTTGCAAGTACACCCTTGTCTCAGTACATTTCTTTATCATAACTTATGATATTAAATTGGTATTACAACTAATTGCATATCCAGGTTTTGACCAACAAACCCTTGTTAACACCAGACCATCAGCTACTTGAAGTATCAGAATCATGTTTGGCGCATATAACTCGTACTTTGGTTATAAATGCTAAATTTGTCTTGGAATATGAACATAGAGTAAATAATAAAGACACTACAACTTTTGTGTATACCATAAAAATATCCTAGTTGAATAAGTAGTTACAGTACAATCGCGTTAATACTGGGTGCGCCATCTATTATTTTATTTACCTATAAGTTTATGTGTTACCATGTGAGTCAAAAGTTATGTGGTACGCATAAATGAACTGTCATAGGTATGCCATTTATAGTCATGGATTCGTTTACAACACAACAACGCATTTAGGTTATCCAAACTTATTACGAAAACGGTCGAAATATAAAAAATACTTTTCGAAAACTTCGCACTAGTTTTTGCCGATATGGACGCCCTACAGAGCCTGGATTGTTAATCGCTTTGAGGAAACTGGTTCAGCTTAAGGTCGTAGACCATACCAACATGCTCGTCCAGCTCGTACTCGTGAAAACATAGCCGCAGTGAGTGAAAGTGTGCGAGAAGATCCAACCACCTCGACTAGGCACCGTTCGCAACAATTCGGAATTAGTGAGAACACTTTACACCGGATTTTACACATTGATTTACACCTTCATCCATACAAAATCCAACTAACACAAGAATTGAAGCCGGCAGACCATCAACAGCGGCGTGTTTTTGTTAATTGGATGCTGGAAAGAGAAGACGGATTTTCGGGCAAAGCGATCTTTTCTGATGAGGTTCATTTTCACCTCAATGGGTACGTAAATAAGCAAAATTGCAGATTCTGGGGGGCTGAAAATCCACACCAATATCATGAACCTCTCCATGAAAAGTGACTGTTTGGTGCGGATTATGGGCTGGTGGCATCGTTGGACCATTCTTCTTTGAAGATGCCGAAGAAAAGGTCATTATCGTCAACGGGGAACGTTATCGAGGCATGTTAACAGACTTTTTGTGCCCACAATTAAATCGTATTGGTACCGACGATCTTTGGTTTCATCAAGACGGAGCAACGGCTCACACATCTCGCCAAACAATCGCCTTATTGCACACGAAATTTCAAGACCGCATAATTTCACGAAATGTCAAGACCGCATAATTTCACGAAATTTAGATGTCAGTTGGCCTCCGAGATCGTGCGATTTAATACCTCTTGACTATTTTCTTTGGAGATTTTTGAAAAGAAAAGTGTATGCGAATGGTCCCCGGACAATTCAAGACCTAAAGCGCAATATTCGGACTGAAATTGCGGCCATAGACCCGATTATTTGGGAAAAGTCATTGAACATTTTGTTGTTCGGATGTTGGCCTGTAAACGAAGCCGCGATGGTCCCATGACTGATATTTTTCATACATAAATGGTATAAACCAACCTTCATTTATCAATAAAAAAAAGTCGATTCTGTAATGTGAACGTTTGCAATCTCGATAGTATGAACAACTCGTAAAAACATGTAGTTTCATGCCTCGGGCGGCGCTAACGTAACTTCGGGCAATTAGTATTCGGAATTTTGAATAGTGTGGAAGATAAAATTTTGTTTGACGGTTGTTATTGGTGGTTGTTTAACTGTTTTTAGAACGTGGTTTAAGTGGTAAAACATTTTTAAAATGGTTAAAGTAAAAGGAAAATCAAAGTGTATTTTCCTTTCCGAAAAGGGAAAAGTTTTGGAGGACCTTAGCAAAGGAATTAATGTAACCATATTAGAGAAAAATATGGTATCGCGAAGTCTACAGTTTGTTCAATTAGAGACAAAAAAGCAAAAATTGTAGAAAGAATAGCCAATACAATGAAGCCTACCCAAAAATGTACACTGCGAAAAGCCGAACTTCCAGAGTTGGAAATGAAACTTTATAGGTGGTTCCTTGCACAACGCGAAAAGAACATGCCAGTATCTGGAGATATGATTAAACAAAAGTTTATCCGCGGCAATGAGCAAGCGATGCGGATGGCTTCAACGGTTCAAAGAACGTTACGGGGTAAGGTTTCTAAAAATAAGTGAAGAAACACTTTGTCAGCCAGAACTCGTTGACCCCTTAAAAAAATTAAGGAGGGTGATTCAAGAGTATGATTTAAATGAACACCAGTTGTACAACGTTGACGAAAGTGGATTATATTGGCAATTGCTCCCTGACAAGACTCATGTCTGTTCAGCCTAAAAAACTACTCCCGGACTAAAAATTGACAAACGAAGAATGTGTGCTAATGCTTCAGGTTCTCATAAAGTCAAACCATTAGTCATCGGGAAATCAAAGAATCCTAGATGTTACAAAAATTTCAATAATCCACTGGTATATAGGAACACTAAAAATGCATGGATGACGAAATTAAAATTGGTTTTTCCAACAATTTGTCCCTGAGGTAAGTGATTTTTCCCTGCATATTTTTCTTATTGCGGTACGCTGATTTTAGGTCAAACGTTTTTTGAGGGCTCAAAATCTACCAGAAAAAGCAATCCCATTTTTGCACAAAGCACTTTATCATCTACCTGTTTAATTAAAAACTAATGATGGAATGATTTTCGTAATCTTTATGCCACCAAACGAAACTAACTAACTAATAAATGATTTCAGTTTCAAAATTGTTATGCGTTTTACTTTACATGTAGAAAACATATAAAGTCATATAATGCACCCATTTTTTTAAGCTTCACTAGTATGAACAATCTCTGTCATATGAACGCCTCAGGATTATTTGTATTCATATTAACGCGATTGTACTGTATAACAAAAATATAATTCATATTCTTGGTTAGCTTTTGGTGGTGCTTTCATTTCTGTAAAAGCGTACTTACCTTTCAACAGCTTTACAGCTTCACTAAGAGTCTCAGGAGTGTTATTTCCTGGTCGGACATCATCATTGATATGTACACCATCAGTGGTAATGTGCCTTCTCAAGTTCTGCCAGCTCTTGTCTTTCTGAGAATCGACCATAACGACGACATGGTGAACTGTATCTGGAACAGCATCTTCGCCTTTCAAGTCTACCCACGTTGGGAAGTACATCAGTTTGTCCTGAAAAAATAAATTTCATTATCGATGCTCCATGCAGTTCAAACGAGGGATGTCCGACTAATCAATAACTCTTCTCTAATGGACAGCCTCGGAACCCTTTCGCACCGACGGGCCTCAGTGCATCCTAACTGTGTCGAACTTCTAGTACTGGCCGATCCGACCATTCCTTTATCCCTAGGAGGGTATCGAGATTGTGGAACAATCTACCTGAGGGTTTTCCCGGTTCTAGTAACCTTAGGCAGTTCAAAAATCATATTAACAAGTTTCATCAGGCTCCTCACAGCAGCCACAGTGCTCTGGTATTTAGTTCTAACAAAAATAAGAGAAGTTTAGAGAACATAGCTTTTTATACTTACAGCCATCTTTTTTACTTCAAAAGCATGCAGAGTGGCACTGCATACAATCATTTGCAGTCTACGACCATCTGGTGTGATCTTTGGCATTTGCTTGTGTAATCTTTCGATCAAATCAGTATAGCCTTGCTTAAGAAGGCCATCCGCCTCATCAAGCACGAAGAATCGACAATGGGATAACGAAAGATAGCCTACAACAACGATAAAACCATGATTATAGTATTTTGGTGCCGGAGAAGTAAGCACTGATTCTAAGTACTGTTGAGGCGCTGATTTCAAAAATATCTTATTTTTCGCAGCAGCTCTAATGTCGAGATATAAGCAATTCTACAGGGGGTTTGTTGCATCGTTTGCCAAATTAAAAAGGCCGGACAGGGGAGGTCTTTTTCTATCACTCCAGGTCCCTCAAACATTTTTTAGCCCAACAGCATTATGTGGATTTATTAATTTTTTTTAGTAAAAACTCCAAAATGTAATACACAAAGTGATATAAAAAAATAAAGAATATGTCCACCTAATGATTAATTTATCTTGTACCAAACTTACAAAATCAACATTACTTGCCAGCAGCATGTAGTTTTTTATTTATAAACTCACAAAGGGTTACAAAGAAGAACAAAAAAATGTAAGTCTCAATTTTGAATTTCTGTAAAAAAAAACGAAAAGCGTTCACGTTCTTAGAATTCTTTTAAAAACTACTCTGGTTTATCCCGATTATAACGGTATGCCACAAGTCACAAAAAAGTTGAAGTAATTTCTTGAATTTGCAAATTTTGTGTACAGGGTCAAATTTTTTCGGTCGGATAATAACAATGAATTTTTGTTTTTGTTGTGTAATTTACACGTACAACGTAACTCAGGTAAAAACGTTTGCCCCCCTCGTACACAGCGGAGCAGTATCAACTGTCTCTCTCTTTTACTAGTTGGGCTAACCTACAGGGACGACGTGGATCCATTTTTCCATAGAGGTTCGTCCCTGCTGGCTGCCTAAGGCCCGGCGCATATTGAACCCATGCCACGCGTAGCACACGCACAGCCCCCGCGTGGGTGATTTTGTAAAACACTGTTGTAGACGAACTGACGCATATTGCACCCATCCCACGCCTAGCACAGTCCCAGCCTATTCCCACGTGGTTTGATTTGTGCGAGCAACACAGTTTCGTGGAATCGTGGGTCACTTTGTTTACGTTTTTCAATTCAAAATGGAGAAATTGATCGAACTCGTTCGGGAGAATCCTGTGTTGTATGACACTTCACATGAGGATTATATGAGAACAAAATTAAAAAATGAGTTGTGGGAGAAGATAGCCAGAGATTTAAATTATACAAGTGGTGAGTAATTTTGAAATATGTATATTTTGGGTTATAAGAACGAACACGTGAGTATGCACTTCCTCGAGTACTCATCGTAAGTACATATTTATTTTTTTTAATAATAATAATAATTAATAATACTTTTCATTTTTGTATGTATATATCCTAAAATTGTCCTCTTTCTATCGCTCTTCGTTGCCATTCAACAGATCCATCTGCAGAATTGAAACACTCAGTAAACTTCTGCCTAATATTAAATGCTTCAGTAGAATTGCGAGTTCGGTTTAGTGCTAAAGGAATGAAATGATTTTCATGAGAATTAGTCAACACTTCATCATTTTCTTCCTGGCCAGTGGCAATCGAGAGAATCTTAGTTCTCAAATAATTATGAAGCACAATTGTGGCTAGCACTATTTTATCGATGGTATCCAATTTACATTCAAATGGTCTCTTGTACACCCGGAATCTAGCTGCTAATATACCGAAGGCACTTTCTACTGTTTGTCTAGCCCGAGATAGTCTATAATTAAAAACCTTGTTTTGATAACTACCAACAACTCTCGCTTTAGGATATGGACGCATTAAATTTCTCATTAGCGGGAACGCTTCGTCTCCAACAAATACATATGGAGTTGGTGTATTTTGTCCAGGTAAAGGCTTTGGTTCTGGCAAATCCAGTGAACCGTTGTATAACATTTTTCCTAAAGGAGAATTGGCTAAAATATTTCCGTCACTAAACCGACCCATAGAACCTACATTCACAGAAGTAAAACGATAATTTGCATCGACAGTCGCCATTAAAACAACAGAAAAATATTGTTTGTAGTTGAAGAAAGAAGAGCCACTCAGAAGTGGTTTTCGAATGGCGACATGCTTCCCATCGACAGCTCCTAAACAGTTATAAAACTGCCATTTTCTTTCATACTCTAATGCAATGTTCTTCCAAATTTCCACCGTTGGTTCGGGCATATAAATGGGCTGTAAACGTCGCCATATCGCTTCACAGACTTGACAAACAATGTTCGATACGGTTCTCTGTCCCATTCTATAGCTCAGTCCTATAGTTTTATACATGTCACCAGTGGCCAAATACCTGAAAAAAATCTACTTTAAGGCTGAAAAACAAAGAAAGATCAGATGCCATTTTTATTGTTTATCAATTTATTGTTTATTCTGTTACAGGCAAGGATGCTAAAGAACAATGGCGGAAGCTAAGAGAGTGTCATCGTGAAGCTATCCGAAGGCAACAAAAGAAAAGTGGACAACAAACAACCACTACGAAACCATGGACCTATCAAAAACAAATGGAGTTTTTAAAACCATACATGAAAAACAGACTCATTGCTGGATGACCTAGCACCTCAGCTCCTGAGGACAGCCAGGTAGAAGAAAAAGATGTACCTCTGCTGATCCACCAAGTGTTCAATCAAATTTTGAAACAGATCAATCCATGGATACACCCACTTCAAAAAAAGCGAAAAAATCGGGTGATCCTCTATTGAGAAAATACATCGAAGATGGTGAGAAAAGAGCTAAGAGTCGGGAAGAATTACGTCAAAAACTAATAGCTCAATCTCAGCAAGAAGCAGTGTTACAAAATGATGCTCTACATCTTTTTTTTATGTCAATGTACAATGTAACAAAAAATCTTCCTACCAAATTTCAAAGGCAAGTCAGAAGAAAAGTTTTTGATGTCGTCTCACAAGCAGAAGATGATGCTGAGCAAGAGATAGAGAATCAGAGAATTCATTCATCAACCTCCAGTACTAGTGGACTATCTGTGGTGACACAACAATACCCTGAATTCTTTACTCTACATCAGAATCCATCATTGATTCGTCCTGTAGAAGCAAATGAAGAGGATCTAGAAACAAACATTGGGGAAGAAGAAGATAATTTACCAAGAGCATTCCTTACTTTGTAAATGCATAATTTATATCTTGATAACATAAAATATTTTCTGAATAAAATTACCTTAGACATACGGCTACTTTTTCTTCACTTCCAATAGGTTTTTGTGCATTGCACTCTTTACCTGTAATATCGTTCTTTATCAATTCATGGATTTCGTTGAACTGTGTTCTGTTCACTCTAAATGTCTCTTTGAATATGCTGTCTGGAACTTCTCTAGATAAGTTGAAGTCTCCATGACTTTGTCTTTTTCGCAGATACGCATTTTTCTCGCTTTTTGTTCTTCTTCGATTAAATAGATACATTAAAATAGATCTTTCCTCGTCTTCCGACTCAGACTCTAGATTGAGGAGCTGACAGATATTCGCTGCCATCGTGGAAGTGGACTGGACATGGGATGGGTTCAATATGCGCTTCCGAACGCGAAACATGGGCTAGGCTGGGTCTGTACGTAACGTGGGCTGTGCGTGTGCTACGTGTGGCATGGGTTCAATATGCGCCGGGCCTAACGCTTTTGTTACTTCTACGTAGTGCCGCAATCTGTGACTGTTGTTGTTTTGTCAGTTTTCGTTGAGTTCTGTTTTGATGATGGCAAACATCCGAAATGTAGCTTCATCACTGGGAATTTCAATTTGGAAAGTGTGGAAAGTACGTCGCCAGAATAATAAACATGCCTGCCACTACACTCCTGTACAAGGTACGTAATTTTTTATCACACAACTGTCTGCTTTTATTTAGCATGTAGCGGCGGCAAACTAATGTTACCCGTATTTTTTTGATTGCAGGTCTTGAAAACAATGACTTCGACAACCGAGTCCGGTTTTGTCGTTTCTTGCTGCACACAGACGTGGATGATCTAGACTTTTTGACAAGTATTCTGTGGACGGATGAGTCCAAATTCACCAAGGAAGGGATACTAAATTTTACACAATCTGCACCATTGGGCTTCAAAAGATTAGAACCCAAAAGTTAAGAGGCCAAGCTCTTTTCAGAGAAGATCCAGTGTGAATGTTTGGGCAGGAATAATTGGCAATCATGTGATTGGGCCACATTATTTTCCAGATCGTCTTAACGAAGATAATTATCTACATTTTCTGCAAAATAAGTTGCCCGAATTGGTGAATGAGGTGCCAATTTTCAATGGCGACAGACGAATTGTGATCCAACATGATGGCTGTCCTGCACACTGGAGGCTAATTGTGCGGGAACATCTAAATGATGGTTTTCCGAATGCGTGGATTGGACGAGATGGTCCTATTCCATGGCCTGCACGCTCCCCAGACCTAACTCCATTGGATTTTTACATCTGGGGACGTGCAAAAGCACTCGTCTACGCCACAGAAGTTGGAACAAGGGAGGAATTGATCCGAAGAATAGAAGAGGCGTTTGGTACGATTCGGCAAGAAATTCGCCTACGTACGACAACCGTCGAGATAAGACAAAGGTGTGCGTGCATACGCAATAGAGGACAACAATTCGAACAAGATTTGTGAAACAGAAAAAATAATAAATGATTGAAATTTGATTTTACACATTTTTTATTTTCCTTCCCCTGTAAACAAAATTTGCAAATTCAATAAGCTAGTTAACCTTTTTTGTGACTTGTGGCATACCGTTAGAATCGGGATAAACTAGAGTGGTTTTTAAAAGAATTCTAAGAACGTGAAAGCTTTTAGTTTTTTTTACAGTAATTCAAAATTGAGACTTACATTTTTTTGTTCTTCTTTGTAACCCTTTGTGAGTTTATAAATAAAAAACTACATGCTGCTAGCAAGTAATGTTGAATTTGTAAGATTGATACAACATCACCCATTAAGATAAATTAATCATTAGGTGGACATACTCTTTATTTTTTTTATTTCACTTTGTGTATTACATTTTGGAGTTTTTACTAAAAAATTAATTCCGTTGGGCTAAAAACTGTTTGAGGGACCTGGGGTGATAGAAAAAGACCTCCTCTGTCCGCCATTTCAATTTGGCAAACGATGTATATTTGAAAACGAAAATTTTTGTGTTCCCAACGTAACTAAATCCTTCAAACAACGACCAGCAATGGCGCAATGTATATTCTGCGTGGGGGCGAGAGTGATCTCTGCGCTCGAAAATGCTTCGGAGTTTTGTTAAAGGGCCCTTTCCATTCAAAATTATGCAAAAAATCCGAATCACAATATTTTTCCAAGCAGATGTGAAAATACTACCGAACTAATTGAGAATATAGCACAGGTAGTGAAATGCGGTCATCGGAGTTCGGCAGGTATTGAAAATTTTGGTTTTACGATTTTGGTGATTTCTAAGTAGGTACTTAAAGTAAGCTAATTAGGTTTAAATTTAAAAATCTTTATTTATTATTCTTATTGTTCTTATCTTTTATTCAAACTATAATGTTACCTTGTATCCAGGAAACTAGAGCAGCTACGAAAAATACATTTTTGAAACGAGCACAACAAGAACATTTAAAATTAGTTGCTACCACCAACATTTTTTTTTTCATTTTGTTTGCCTGACAAGATTTCCAACCTAATTGAAAGCTGTATATTAGAGAAAATCAGCCTATGTACTGCCGCCAATCACGATACATAAAACTTTATACAGGGTGTTAAAGATATGTGAATATTTAAGGGTGTGAATCTACATGAAAAAAATGTTTGTTTGCTTTATAAACTATGGTCCAAAAATATTTCTTTACAAAACCTCGGGGTGTTGAAGTTTTACGAAAAACATGGAAATTAATTAAAATTTTCAGAACCGCTTCAGATATTTCACTGATATTTGGTACGTAGTGAAAGTTCAAGAAAAAAATAGCACGCCAATGTTTTTTTGCCAAATAAAAATTATTTTTGAATTCACCGTTCAATTTAAAACAAATGTTCTCTCTTGAATTGTTTTCCTTCGATGCACCATTTTTGAGTAAAAAAATAAAAACCGTCGCTGTGACATCTTTTTCATTATTTAGTTTTTACAATCTTGTTAATAATGGTGAATTATTCAAATGCAGAAATGGCGGAAATGCATTACGTACATGGCTTTGCCGACGGAAATGGTGAGCAAGCCAGACGGATTTATCACCAGAGATATCCCGATCGTGCTTTGCCAGATAGTCGAACCTTTTCTAATATTCATCGTGGTCTTGTTGAAACTGGATCTGTCCGAAAAAGCACATCTGAAGGTAGACCTCTAAGTGTGAGAACACCTGAAATTGAGGAAGCAGTGCTGCACGAAGTCGAAGAACATCCTGAAACGAGTATGAGGAAGATCGCTAGACACTTAAATATGTGCCATCAAATTGTTTGGAGAATTTTAGTGGATTTTTTGTTACATCCTTACCATATTTTAAGAGTACAGGCATTACTTCCCATTGATTTTCCAAGGCGTCTTACCTTTTGTCAGTTTTATCTTCAAAAAAATACACAAAATCCGCAATTTGAATCAATGATTCTGTTCACGGACGAAGCTAATTTTTCTCGAAATGCGATTCAGAATTTCCAGAATAATCATTTGTAGGCAGAAGAAAATCCCTATGCCGTAACCAAAACCCATTTCCAACACCAATTTTCGGTTAACGTATGGGCGGGAATTATTGGCAACCACTTTAATGGCCCATTCTTCTTGCCGGGACGACTTGACGGACATACCTACCTCAATTTTCTTCAATAACAGTTGCCTTTGCTGCTTGATGTTCCGTTAGTAATAAGAAACAATATGTGGTACATGCATGATGGTGTACCAGAGCATTTCAGTGTAGCTTTCCGTAATTATTTACAAACTGTTTATCCAAATCATTGGATTGGCCGCGGTGGGTCCCAAGCATGGCCACCAAGGTCCCCAGACCTCAACAGTTTAGATTTCTTTTTGTGGGGCTAACTTAAGACACTACTGTACACAAAACCCATTAAAACTGTAGAGGAATTAAGAGAAAGAATAGTTGCAGCTTGTGATAGAATAAAAAACACTCCAGGGATATTTCAACGAGTGCGCAATTCCATGAGGAGGGCGGAAGTATGCATACTAAGTGAAGGGGACCATTTTCAACAATTTTTGTAATCATTTCGTTGGTTTCAATGTTATGTTTATGTTGTCAGTTGTTGTTGTTCATTACCCCTAATGTGTTTAATTTTCCAAATTAAATTAATAATAATTTTGCAAGTTAGACAATAGAACGGTTTTTATTTTTTTTACTATAAAATGGCGCATCGAAGGAAAACAATTCAAGAGAGATCATTTGTTTTAAATTGAACGGGAAATTCAAAAATATTTTTTTTTTGCAAAAAACCATTGGCGTACCATTTTTTTCTTAAAAAATATCGAAGTCAATACCCGTACGCACGCCACTGTTAAAGCTAAAAATTATGTTTGCATTGAAAAATATGCAACTTTATTAACTTTCACTACATGCTAAATGTCAGTGGAATATCTAAATCGGTTCTGAAAATATTAATTAATTTCCATGTTTTTCCTAAAACTTCAACATCCCAAGTTTTTGTAAGGAAACATTTTTGGACCATAGTTTATAAAGCAAACTAACATTAATTTTTCATGCAGATTCACACCCTTGAATATTCGCATATCATTAAGGAACACCATGTATAGAGAGTTTAGCCCCCAGCGTTGCCACATCTAGGAGTTTTGCCGCAGGTTATGGGATTTTTTTTTTCCAATGTTGAAAACTTCTGAGAATACGAAATCTTAGAAATAATTACATGGCAGTTGAGGGGTGTTCTTTTCCCAAAAGGTCGCCATGTTTAATCATAAATGATTTTCTTTAAAAGGTTAACAATCCGGTGTTATTACTTTTAAAGCAGTTAAGGCAAGTCTACTTGGTGAAATGGCTATGACAATGGAAGTTGTAACTGAGCATCCAAATATGCTTGAGCATCTTCTTGGAGCGTTAATCAATAACAAAGCTTTATTTCTCACCTCCAGAAATCAAGTCCTCCAGTCGACCAGGAGTACCAACAATAATATGAGCTCCTTCTTTTTGTAAAGCTGAAATCTGCTCTTTAACATTTATACCACCAATCACAAGCAGTTCCTTGATGGGAGGGTTATCTAAATATTTTTTGAACATCTTTATCTGGTTACTAGTCTGTTCTGCCAATTCTCTAGAGGGCTGCAAATGTCCCCAAGAAAATTTATTTAATTTTAAAATATCCTCCCAAACCACTAAAAAACACATAGCAAATGCAAATAAAAGATTTTTAATATACCTCAATTATAACTGCTTGTGGAGCATTTTTTTGTATTGCTGGAATTGAGTTAGCACCACCTTGGCCATTTGTATTTTTCACAACAATTTCAGCCGGTGCTGAGTTGATTGGTTTATAAGAAGGTGGTAGACTATGCTTTAACGGTTTATCCCCGAAATTAAAAGCCATTTCTGCATTCTGAAAGAAAAATACGGAGTTTTGGAAACCACAAATAGCGCACACGTAAACTTTAACGATGGCCTGTAATCCGTTGACTTTTTGTGACTTACGTATGTGCTATGTGATTACTAAAAGCCTCTTACATGAATTATTTCACAATTATTATGCATTTGTATATTAGAATACAAACGAATTAATCTCGAAAAAATACTTTGAGACATATAATAAATACAAAATGATTATTTCATATGTTACCTTCAATACAACAGCTGGGAAAATACCATTGCTAAATAGTCTCTTATCTGCTCGAAAAGCAGTTCCCAAATCAACACCATTTTTCAAAAATCTTATTTCCCCCGTTTCAGCATCCAACAGGCATGTGATGACATCATTCTTACCAAAAGGCTCTCCATAGTTGTCAAATTGCTTATTGTTAGATTTTTTTCCTGTCCCGCCAAATCCAAAACCATTCCTGCAACCACAGTAAATACCCAGAAAACATTATCATTCACTGATATGAACATGTTTTTGAGAATTTTAAAACCTAAATTATGTTGTATATATGTAGGTGGTACAACCATATAACCGGTGTGAAGTTGGCAGACACCCTAATTAAATAATTCGCAGGAACAAGAGTTAACCCAAAACCTTTCTTCGAATTTTAACTTACGTATTATTGTATATATGGTATTGAAAGTAATTAATGAGCTAAATAGCATATACTGAGAAAATCTCTAAAGGGGTGCTAGATAAAAAAATATAAATAAAACTTCATTTTCACTCCCAAAAAAATGATTCCCCAAAATGATTTATATCTCAAAAAAATACTCTATTACAGAGACAATTCATGGGCTAGGTGGCATGGAGTGAGAAAGCTTCTGAAAGGCTGGCAGATAAAAAAATATGTTCATAAATTCATTTTCACCCCCAAGGAAATGATTCCCCAAAATCAGTTGTACCTCAAAAAAATACTCTATTATAGAGACAATTTATAGGCTAGGTGGCATGGTGTGAGAAAGATTCTGAAAGGCTGGCAGATAAAAAAATATGTTTATAAATTAATTTTAATCCCCAAGGAAATGATTCCCCAAAATCAGTTGTACCTCAAAAAAAATACTCTATTATAGAGACAATTTATAGGCTAGGTGGCATGGTGTGAGAAAGCTTCTGAAAGGCTGGCAGATAAAAAAATATGATTATAAATTCATTTTCACCCCCAAGGAAATGATTCCCCAAAATCAGTTGTACCTCAAAAAAATACTCTATTATAGAGACAATTTATAGGCTAGGTGGCATGGTGTGAGAAAGCTTGTGAAGGGATGGCAGATAAAAAAATATGTTTATAAATTCATTTTCACCCCCAAGGAAATGATTCCCCAAAATCAGTTGTACCTCAAAAAAATACTCTATAATAGAGACAATTTATTGGCTAGTTGGCATGGTGTGAGAAAGCTTCTGAAAGGCTGGCAGATGCCACCTAGCCTATAAATTGTCTCTATAATAGAGTATTTTTTTGAGGTACAACTGATTTTGGGGAATCATTTCCTTGGAGTATCTTTGTGAGGTACAACTGATTTTGAGGAATCATTTCCTTGGGGGTGAACATGAATTTTTTAGCATATTTTTTTATCTGTCAGCCTTTCAGAAGCTTTCTCACACCATGCCACCTAGCCTATAAAATGTCTCTATAATAGAGTATTTTTTTGAGGTACATCTGATTTTGGGGAATCATTTCCTTGGGGGTGAAAATGAATTTTTTAGCATATTTTTTTATCTGCCAGCCTTTCAGAAGCTTTCTCACACCATTCCACCTAGCCTATAAAATGTCTCTATAATAGAGTATTTTTTTGAGGTATAACTGATTTTGGGGAATCATTTCCTTGGGGGTGAAAATTAACTTTTTAGCATATTTTTTAATCTGCCAGCCTTTCAGAAGCTTTCTCATACCGTGCCACCTAGCCTAAAAATTGTCTCTATAATAGAGTATTTTTTTGAGGTACTATACAACTGATTTTGGGGAATCATTTCCTTGGGGGTGAAAATGAATTTTTTATCATATTTCTTTATCTGCCAGCCTTTCAGAAGCTTTCTCACACCATGCCACCTAGCCTATAAAATGTCTCTATAATAAGAGTATTTTTTGTGGTAGGTACAACTGATTTTGGGGAATCATTTCCTTGGGGGTGAAAATGAACTTTTTAGCATATTTTTTTATCTGCCAGCATTTCAGAAGCTTTCTCACACCATGCCACCCAGCCTATAAATTGTCTCTATGATAGAGTATTTTTTTGAGGTACAGCTGATTTTGAGGAATCATTTCCTTGGGGATGAAAATGAATTTTTTTGTATATTTTTTTTACTGGCAGCCTTTCAGAAGCTTTCTCACACCATTCCACCTAGCTTATACAATTTCTCTATAATAGAGTATTTTTTTGAGGTACAACTGATTTTGGGAAATCATTTACTTGCTATAAATTGTCTCTATAATAGAGTATTTTTTTGAGGTACAACTGAATTTGGGGAATGATTTCCTTGGGGGTGATAATGAATTTTTAAGCATATTTTTTTATCTACCAGCCTTTCAGAAGCTTTCTCACACCATGCCACCCAGCCTATAAATTGTCTCTATAATAGAGTATTTTTTTGAGGTACAACTGATTTTGGGGAATGATTCCCATATAGGTGAAAATGAATTTATAAACATATTTTTTTATCTGCCAGCCTTTCCGAAGCATTCTCACACCATGCCACCTAGCCTATAAATTGTCTCTATAATAGAGTATTTTTTTGAGGTACAACTGATTTTGGGTAATCATTTCCTTGGGGGTGAAAATGAATTTATAAACATATTTTTTTATCTGCCAGCCTTTCAGAATATTTCTCACACCATGCCGCCTAGCCTATAAATTGTCTCTATAATAGAGTATTTTTTTGAGATACAACTGAACTTGGGGAATCATTTCCTTGGGGGTGAAAATGAATTTATAAACAAATGTTTTTAAATGCCACCCTTTCAGAAGCTTTCTCACACCATGCCACCTAGCTTATAAATTGTCTCTATAATAGAGTATTTTATTGAGGTACAACTGATTTTGGGGAATGATTTCCTTGGAGGTGAAAATGAATTTATAAACATATTTTTTATCTGCCAGCCTTTCAGAAGCTTTCTCACACCATGCCACCTAGCCTATAAATTGTCTCTATTATAGAGTATTTTTTTGAGGTTCAACTGATTTTAGGGAATCATTTCCTTGGGGGTGAAAATGAATTTATAAAAATATTTTATTTGCCAGCCTAAATCATTTTGGGGAATCATTTTTTTGGGGGTGAAAATGAAGTTTTATTTATATTTTTTTATCTACCACCCCTTTAGAGATTTTCTCAGAATATGCTATTTAGCTCATTAATTACTTTCAATACCATATATACAATAATCGGTAAGTGAAAATTCAAAGAAAGGTTTTGGGTTAACTCTTGTTTCTGAGAATTATTTAATTAGGGTGGAAAATGATTCTTCCTATAGGGGTGCTTATCCTCGTGCATATATATTTATTGTTGCGAGCTGTTAGCTGTATCCTTCACAATCACAGTCTGGTCGAGGATGTCGACGCCACTGGTCATTCGGGTATCTTCGGCAAATTGTCCGCTAAATTTTGTTTGCCAGCTTCACGCCGGTCAGCCATATAGTGTTCCAGAAATTGTTCTTGCATTTGCGTATAATTATGGGAAAGTTTCAACAAAAAGGGAAAACGTTGGTTAAATAACTGGTCCTATAAGTAAATTAGTTAATTTCAATCGCAGCTTTATTCCTCCATCTATGAATATACTTTGAGGCTTTCTGCTAGCATTTTAACATACAGAATATCTAAAATAAATTTGAGATAATTAACATTGCAGTTGCCTCCAGACTAAAAATAATTTCGTAAAACTGTTTTTTCCTTGTAATAATTGTATCAAAACGCTGTTTTATTACCTATCAGTGCCTAAATCCAAACTTGCTTCCAATGTTGACCATCCTACTCTGCATAACCCTTCATCAGTTACAGTAGCTTCAAAGCCCCACTTTCCAGATTTCACACCCCTAGTGCATCTACATCCATGCCAATCCTTTTGTTCCCTTGACTGTACTCTCAGACCATCAGGTGTAACTGCTAATGCAGGACCACGATCCAATACAGACATAGTCCATGAAGGAGCTGTAAAATCGATGTAGTTACATACAGTACCGAGCAAAAGTAGAGAAACAAACCACATTGCAAATAAAAATCCAGAAAGATTTACTCTAACCCAAAACTGTACACTAAAGTTTTTTATGTATGACTAACTCAAGATAACGAAATGCTTATCTTTGTATACATTCTTTTTTTTTTCAATATAATATGGTCAGTTCTTTATTCAACGAGCAAAAGTAGAGAACCAAACATTTTGTAAATATCTAGTAGTTGATTAGAATAGGTGTTATTTTTGAGTGTATTTGGTAAAGTGTAGTTCAAAAACATGGCCAGAGGAATTACATTCAATTTGAAAATAAAATAATTGATTATTTTAAAATATTGATCAAGCATTAAACAAGCAACCACAGCCAAACAGTTGAATTTAAGCCGATTGGTAATTTGCAAAACTGTTAAGCTGTTCTGCCTCAGAAAATCGTTGGCAAGCCCTCATAACACTGGTAGAACAAATATTTGCCCATCATTTAAAAATATCAAGCTCAGACAAAGTTAAAAAAAAATAGATGTTCGAAAATTCTGTCAATACTATGCATCATCTTCTTGCACAGTGAAGGACTAATACTGTTCTTAATTATTATTCTTAACACTATGTATTCCCAAGCCTTGAATTGAAGCAGTGATGATATGCATCCTCAAGTAGAACAACAGGCCCCAGAGTTAAATAAAATACAACTATTTTGATATGTTGTCCTGTAAATTCATATTAAATTCTCCAAGCATTTGAAAAACAGTTGTAATAATTCAAACAACAATTTCCATTTTACAACACTCTGATTTATTTTTTTATACCGAAAAAGTCATGCAGGAAGAAGCCTAAAGAAATTTTCAACTGCATAGGGTTAGTAGAACTGGGAAAAGCCTCCTCATGTAGATTTACGCCCGCCAGTGCGAAAGGGCCCAGAGTCTGTCTGTTAGAGAAGAGTCACCAATCAGTCTGACAGCCCTCCTCTGAACAGCATCAAGTATAGATAATGTAGTTGGGGCAGCAGCACCCCAAACAAGTGAGTAGTACTCAAGGCTAGGTCTTATCAAGTCCTTGGTGATCTGGACTCTAACCAGCTGAAATGAATGACTCTTTGGTAGAACTCAGCCATACATTGAAACCAGATGAGTGCTAGGACGCTTCTTGTTCATCAAGGTACAGTACTGTGTTTTGGGAGCAAAAATATGGGAGCCAAGACTAATCCCTGAGAAACACCTGTGCTGATGTTGTGAGGGCAGCATGCCACAACTGATCAAACACTGTTATGATATCAAGAGCCTCAGCATAAGACTGGATGAGCTGGTGGTAGAAACAATACTGGCTGTCACTAATCAAGCTGTGATGCTTGAGATATAACAGAAGCTCCCAATTTATGCACCTCTATATCACCTTACTTTGAAAGCAGATCTATAGGCCTGTAGTTGTAAGGGTCAGTCTTAGATGTTTTTTTTTGGGATGGGTTAGACAGATTTCCATTTTTCAGTGCGAGAAGAAGATATTTGAAAAAAATTGAGAATTTTCTCCAATTAAAGAGATGTGAAAGAAATGGAGCAAGCTCTGCTGCACACATTTTCAATACAATGGCACACAATAGTCTTTAATTCAGTGCCAGTGAAGTTGGTGTCTCCACATTATATGGCGATATTTGCATTTTCTACATATTTTATGTATAAATTATGTGAACTAAATAACCAGACTTACATGAGCTATCAGCAGCTGCTTTGGCCAGTTTTCCGGACTGAATATCCTTTAGAGTCTCCCACACAATCTGTATAATGGGCAAACAGAATGCAGCAGTTTTTCCACTACCAGTTTCAGCAGCCATGAGCACATCTCCACCTCCAAGAACTAATGGAATGCCTTCAGCTTGGATGTCGGTGGGTAACCTGAAGATTGTTTTATTATAAATTATGCCGAATATTGAATAAATGGGGTGTACTTACATCCAGCCCATTTCATCGATTGCTTTTGCAATTTCTGGAAGCACACCGAATTCTACGGCAGAATAATTTTTTTAATGGATTATGATATAATGATGACTGTGATTACTTACCCTCAAATGCTGCCATTTTTTAGAAATTGTAGCAGCAATGTATAAAATATCAAATTGAAAAGGTTTAAAAATGGAAAAGCCGCTATCATTTAGCTGTCCACGACGTTGTCATGTATTGCTGAGAAATATTAATCAAATCCAAGCGAATAACCAAAATTTCCGTGTTATGTACCGCGGTTATAATATGGTTCAAGATGACACACGGGATGATGACGTCAGTTACTCGAATCGCTTGAACGCGTTGGTTTTAATCGCGGTTTGTTTGAAGTTGTTTATTTTAGAAAAGAGCGTATATAATTTCTGATTATTTTTATTATCACTTAATAATCGGTGCTTTTTCGGCTACAACGGAGTATGGAAAGTTTAAAAAAGAAACCTTTCATAATATTAATGGGAGAAATCTTTTTTTTTCAAAAAATTTTTTTTATTGACGGAACCATGGCTTTGTAGCTATGATAACATTCAATTCTCAAAACTTTTCCGCGTGTCAAAGACAATATTTATTGATTTAGCAGAAATGATGAAAAAGCGATGAAAAAAAGATATTAACCAAACTTTATACAGGTGGACATCATACAGTGAGTTTATATGGCCATATTTTAATATTCTTGTGGTATATGGCTATACAGGATACATTGGTAAGCGTGGGAACTTGATTTAAAGTGTCTCCAACAACAGTAATGATTATAACTAATAAGGTGCTCTCTTATGTTAAAACTGAAGTCAGCCTGTATCAAGTTTCCTAAAAATGAAGCTGAAGTACAATAAAAATATCCAATACCCGGCAAAACTCTAACTTGTCACATGTCAAATAATAACCACAAATATAAAACTACTCCTGAGTTGGGTAAATACCACAATTTTGCGGTGCTAACTATGACATATAACAGCTGATTCATGACGTCACGGATCTTATAACCAAACTGATAACCACACTCGCTTGAATGGATCGGTAAATACCAATCCAAAATGGGAAATACCATTTTCATTTGGTTATCCGCTTGAATTTGATTATTGATGTTTGAAGCGTCATTGGTGAGATTTTCGGATACTCGCAGCTAGATGAAGTATGCGTGGCAGTGTAAAACCGCTCCCACACGATGTGGCGAATGCCTTACAACGCTGGACACTTGACCATTCGCCAAATCGTGTGGGAGAGCTCTGACGGATTGCATGTGACATCGTCAAAGAACGTTACAGCGTTGGGGTAAATATGTTTGATGGTTTTAAGCTAGAACCAGCAGCGGCGAAAAACATTATTTACTTGTTTGCTGTGATTGTGGTGAAGTAGTGGTAAGTGGGAAGTATTTTGATTTGAATACCTACCATAATAATGTATGTTCCGTAACTAAATCTTGTCGAAAATGAATTAAATTAGTATACATACAAAACATAGGCTGCCATCACAATACTTTTTTCATATTGCTAATATTTTGTACGTTTCACAGGTGAGTTATGGCTGGCCGAAGGATACGCATTTTAGTAAATTATCAAGTGCTTACAGTTGTTATATAATATATTGACATGCATTCCATAACTAACGAAAAAAAAGATTAAATAAATGTACAGAAAGTACTGTAGCATTTTTCTGGGTTCTCTTGGGTGTGGATGAAAACACTGATTTCCACAAAAAGAAATGCACTAATTTATTTATCTTGACTAGATAAAACATTTATGTACACCACTGACTGGACTATACTCCACTCTGCTCTACTCTACCCTACTCTGCTTCCATCTCCCGGCCGTCGAATTATATAGTCCGCATCGCTGATTCGAGAAGAGTCTGGCGAGCCACAAAGCGGCAGACTAGACTCTTCGAGGTCACTTCGCGTCGATCTAGAAGCCGTCACGGTCCCCACGAGCCTATTTTCTAACTTGGCTGAGTTTTCTAAAAGATCGGCACAATTTTTCACGAGCTTTTCATTTAGGTTGGCACAATTTTCCACGAGCCTATTTTCTAACATGGCTGAGTTCTCTAAAAGATCGGCACAAATTTTCCATGAGCTTTCCTTTTAGGTTGAAACAATTTTCTACGCGCTTGTTTTCTGACTTGGCCGAAAGGTTTTGCAGCATTAAGCCAATATCCCCTGCACCGGTAAAAATGAAAATATCGAGGTCCTAGCATTCCTCATTCAGTGCTTTACGAAGACGCTCCTGTAATTCCACTTTCTTTCCAGCCGTGTCACACTATCTTTCCCCAGCTCTCTTTTTGAGTCGGCAATTTTCAAATCAACCAATCGCGCCATTCTTCCTTCACTGATCGTCCGATTTATTTTCACTAAATGTCCGATTTATTTTCACTAAATATCGAATAATCCACACCCCACACCTGACACCAATGTAGTGTTTTTCTGCGTTCTGTTGGGTGTGGATTGAAAACACTCGATTCCACAAGAAGAAATGCACTAATTTATTTAAAACACAACACAACTAAATTTAACTTAACTAGATAGAACATTTATGTACACCACTATTTATGAATGACTACTTATATACGAATTATTATGTCGCCCCATTATCTCCACTCTACTCTACTCTGATCCGTCGTCAGAGCCGCATTTTGTTTTGTTTTTTGTACGCTACAGATTCATTTTATACTTGCTAACAGCTTTTCTATTTAGAAAAGTTCATTTGCATACAAAAAACAAAACGCTTCGAACAAGTTTTAGTAGATTTACGTCCGCTTCATTATTGCCAACGTCGCAGACTAACACCAAAATCAAAATGTCACTTGCTGATCACCTGTTCACCTCAGTAGACGACAGACGTCAAAGCGTAATAGATACTCATGAAATAAGGTGTATGTGTGTTTTGTGATCAAAATCTAGCCTAACTTTAACTTTTGTATTTTGGCTTTTGTTTTTTTAGTATTAGTTGTCCTTATACCCTTACATTTGAAGAAAGTGTCATATCTTCATAATGTTACACAACGAGATACAATGGTAAGAAAACAAGCCACTTGTAAGCGTTTTATAAGTTTGATAAATATTTCAGGAAAACCATCGTTCATGCTACAAAAGTAAACCATTTGAATGGGGTCCCAGTCATAGACCACCCTCTGAAAAATGTTGTGGTATGTCTGACTATACTGTCCTAGTAACAAAGACCCCCGTTTCTCCAAAAATGAGATATTTGCACCAAATGAATAATCATGATTTATGCTACATATTTTCATAGAGAAAACCCCGTATTTCACATTAATTTTTAAATGCTTTATGAAGGAAGATAGTTTCCCTGTAAACGCCAAAAATTGCATTTACACTTGTAATAACCCCGCATGTTACATTTTTATTACATACACACCCGGATATGTACTCAGTAGATTTATTTATTTAATAACAATAACATCCAACAAAGACCATATACAAAAATTATAAATACACATAAATATATAACACAACAATATAATTCTTCTTCATCAAGTACATCCTGATGACAGAAAGAAGCACCTAGATGGTTCAAACCACCTGTATGAGCTTTCATCATCCGGACTTACAAATGAAAAGAAAATACTATTTATTGGATTATAAAATACAATAAAAAAAACAATAATCAACCTCAATATCCTGAACAATAGTTCAATCATACTATGATACAAAAAATCATTAGAAAAACCTTTCAAATTGTGCAGCATTCTCATAAATATATTCTCTGCAGCTGGTGCTAAATGTTTTAATATTGTTCGTCTTTTTCAAGTGTCCTGGCAGAATTTTATATATCTCTGGTCCTATATATATTATGTATCTTAAGTTTAGGTTATTGTTATTCTTGGGAATTTCTATTTGCCTGCCCACATTTGCACGAGTACAGTAGTTATGACTTACTTGTTTCTGTAGTTTTTCATTTCTATAAATAAAAGTAGATACTGTCATCACATACAAGGATCTAATATTACACTCTTTTAACTAAGGGAAATCAATATGCAAGGTATTTTCTAAGGAATAAAACAGCTTTGCTATCGGCGCTGTCCACGCCAGGTTTTCTCTAAGCATTTTGCCGCGTAAATCGTCACGTTATTGATTGGTTTTTGACTTGTCGGCATGCTTATTATAAATTGAATCCCTTTACATTTTTATTATCAGTTAAAAATTGTCTTTATTTATAAAAGTGTTATTAGTGGCAGGCATAAAAATATATTGCTTTGGTAAGTTAATGCAATATTAAAATATATAAAATGTAGTATGTAGCTATATCCCATTTAAACTCTGGTGGTACCAGGGTTGAAGTTAATTCTGGGATTGAAGAATGTTTAATGGGTGTCCCAAAGGGGACTGTACTAGGCCCTAGTTTATTTCTGCTTTAAGAAAATGAGTGATATCTCAATTGTAGCTTCTGGTTTTTCAGAGGAACAATTACGAGATAATATAGATGTTACATTGTCTAGACTTTTCAATTAATAATTTATATTTAAATCTTAACTAGGCACAATGTTGAGATCTGTTTAAGAGATTCAGAGTACCAACACTTACTGATTTATATATATTGGAAATTTCTTGATACATATTTTAAAATAGAGAAAAATTCCCAACACCCAGCCCAATGCATTCAATTAAAATGAGGATTAGAGAAGACTTTTATATACCACCCTATAGAACTCAAATTATGTGTAAGTCCCCAAATATTAATGGCCTAAAAATGTTTATCCTACTTCCTTTGGAAATAAAGAATTGCCACAGTCTTAAAGACATTTAAGAATCTCTTAAAAGACTATTTCATTGAAAATAGTTTTTATAGTGTGGAAGAATATTGTGATATATGCTGTTAAATCTTATTTTTTACTATTTGACTGTTCTTTTTTTTGTTAGATATAGGTTTTCTTTTATTTTAGATTTGAAAATGTATGGAAAATCCTATACAATATTTTTTGTTGAGAGGAGATAAATAAATAAAATGATTGTCTCAACATAAAGTGTTGCTTTCTTAGCCAGTATATTGCTTAACTAATAGCTATGGCCTAGTATTGAATATTTTTTTTCTTAAAAATGCTTGCTATTATATAAATAATGATCTTATTTTATTAGTCAAGTAAAAGTACAACATAAACAGTAAACATCTTTAACCACGGTTCTTTCAAAACTCCTTCACGTGGAGATATGGGGTCCTTTCCTGATAGGGCACTATAATAGTATCCACAAATCAAAATACGGCATTAATCTCATTAGGTTACAGAAAGAATTCCTCGAAAAATATTCGGTTCACAACCAGGCACAGGCAGAACAACTCCTATATCATCTGCAGCTCCAGTTCAGGACCCTTTATTCTTAGCTCTGGAGCAGTTAGATCCCCTGTCAGAATTTGCTATGCTAGAAATAGATCCATTGTCAAAAATGGCAGCTGAAATGGTAAGTAAAACAATAAAATGTTATACATTAATATTGGTCAGTACGATTTATAATAGTGCATTACATACTGAGTTTGTTTAGTGGGTTAATATTGGGCCTTGGGCACATAGTGGCAAAGGATATAATGTATGAGACCAAGAAGGTCCTTCTCAAATGAGGTATGTATTGAACTTTAATTAATGACTGCACCAGATAGCCAAGACTGGGGAGTAAGATACAAAATGTTTTCTTTTGGTTAACATTGAAAGCTCTTTTCAAACATTTTGTCAATTATCGTGACATTCAAAAAAGGAGATCTTCATGAGGAGCTATATTTACATATTTCTCAAATAGTTCCACAGTTGTCGGCACCTACCAAGATTTTTTCGTATGATGCGCAGTAACAAGCTCCTCCCACGAATCTGGGTAGAAATAAAGTTTTGTCCAACCAGATAAGTGAGGTGGTATGCAATGTATACCAATACATCCTCAATTTGAAAACTGGTGGTGATGGTTCCCAAAATATGGCAGAAGTAGCTAAAGTAACAGGGGTATCAATTGCCAGTATTACTCGCCTTGTTAAAAAGGTTAAGGATGCCAGAAGTAATGGACAAGAACGAGCAGGGTTTTCTGCTGAAATTAGTACCGCACGAAAGCGCAAATTTCCCGTGACAGATCTGTCAAGCGAGAATTTCACTACTGCAGATATAAGAAACAGCTATCATTTCCATTTAACAAACTGGTCTCGAGTAACAATCGGAGATCCATGCAGATGAATGACGAGATGAATAGCTCAAATTTCGAGGGTTGATTGAAGCAGCAGCTTATTCCAAATTTGCCACCAAATTCTGTGATAGTTATTGATAATGCACCTTATCGTAACATACAAGTGCATCCTGTATCAAACTGCAACGCTCGGAAGCAAGTAATGGTTGATTGACTTGTACCTAAAAATATTAGATTCACACAGACTATGCTGAAACCACAACTTTATGAATTGATAAAGCAAAATAAGCGACAATTCATACGGTATATGTATATTATGTACTTTTACGCATGCCTGGACACACACAGTTATACGACTACCTCCATATCATCGCGATTTAAATCCTATTGAATTGATATGGGCTATAGTGAAAAACAGAGCTGCAGGTAGAAATATCACATTTACTTTAGATGACGCACAGCGAATAGTGTAGGAGGAATTGAATTGAAAAATTGAAACTGAATACCTGGAACGGGACATAAAGTAGACGCCACATTTGAAGAATTTATTATTAATATCGAATAATGACTTACATTTTATATTTTGCAGTTTAATGGTGAATATACTATTAGATATATTCAGGTTTCGGATATATTTACGTAAGCAAACTGACCTGAACTTTTTTAATCTTCTTATATTAAGCTGCGGACTTCTGTATATGGTTTTTTGATTGATTCGTATCAATTCTGTTTTGGCTAATCGCCACAACTTACAATCTAATAATAATATACATGTAAAAATATAAGTAGTAAATATAGCGTATACAAGTATTTCATTATTGACCTAAGCGCAAACAAAACGAATGTCTTTTTAAATTAAACAGATGGTTCACTTTGCTTGAAGATACTTTCACAAATTCATAGGATCAACGTGAAAAATTTCAAAGCACGTCACTGCCATGTGAAACAATAACATGACATTAACGACAACCCTCCATCATCTCGAGCATTCCTATTGGCTTTCACTTTCAGGGCTAGAAGATATGCCTGACTGAGAGTAAATCTAGGAAGGTGCCGGCAACTGTAAGTTATTTCAAAATAAAGTTCAGTTGTCAGACATTATTATTTACCTAGGTATTTTTTGTTTTCACTATTTACCTATGTAGAGAAGACATTGCAGCCAATAATAGTGATGTCTTGGGTTAGTGAAGTGAAAAAGCACTTATTATACTTTAATTGATTGTAATAATTAGAGGAAGATATGTATTAGATAATAATTTACAGGATACTCCAGATTCCCTAGATCCCAAAACTGTAGCAAATAAAGACGTTAAAGGCAATATTTTCAAGGATATGGATCCATGGTCTTCCAGGAAAGCTGGAATTTTATCAAAATATACGACTTCTGAAAAGTTATCTATTGTCACAAGTTTTTTGTATGAGGGAGAGAAAGGTACAAAGCAGATACAATATGCTTCTAGATACAATCACATTATCATAGTACTTACTACAAAAGCTGTTTTTAGCTTTGTGATTAAATAATGTTTTACTTCTATGAGGCATGTCAATTATTTTTCATTATTAGAACCAGTTTAATCTTTCAAAATATGATAGCACAAGTGCCATCAGTAAATCTTTTATTTGTAAGCATAGAGATGTACATATATGTACAATGATGACAATATTTTCGAATATTTACAAAAAACTTAAAAATGTTTGTTTCTCTCAGAGTTTATCAAATGATGAATATAGATAACTTGTGTCATATTACATCAAGATTTGTTTTAAAAACTAAACTCATCAGTCTACCTTTTTTGATGGTAGGGACTGAGGAAATTAGGTTCACATACACAAATGATCATTTATATTTTGATAAATATGGAGTTGTCTATAAAATCGAAAAATTCAGAGGATAATCCAATTAGAAATATTAATTTTAAAAATCTGGACGTAACGTTCATATTGTGACATTAAATTTTTAGACGAATCCTTTTGATTTTAGTTGTGGTGAAAACTCAAAGTACAGCAGTTGACAAAGTTCAACATCGACTAGAGCAACTAGATTCTTTCGAGGAAGGCTCCCAAAGAAAACTAAATGTATCACAGGCTGAGTATATAGGGAGGATTGACCAATTGAATAAGGAATTGGTATCAGCTTGGAACAGTGAGCAGAGAGTGAAGGCATTGAAGATTGCAATACAATGCGCAAAATTACTTGCTGACACTGAAGTTTTGCCATTTTATCCCAGCAAATTTGTTCTAATAACAGATATTTTGGACACATTCGGAAAATTGGTTTATGAAAGGCTGAGAGTCAAGTCAGATTATTACAAGTAATTAATTTTTCTCTGTAGCACATGTTTCCTTGTAGATAAATATACTTTATCATGTGAGACACGTCAGGTGATAGCTAATATTTAAATATTTCAAAAAATAACATGGACATCACTTCAGCATTACTTTAAACGCCCAATATCCACTCTACTATAATTTTAGACCAGGTTCCAAAACACCAACACCTTTGCCGGAGGATTTCACCCCTGATATGGTTCCAGAAAGTGCCAAAGAAACTTGTCTCAATTGGTTCCACAAAATAGCCTCAATAAGAGAACTGGTACCAAGACTGTATGTTGAAACAGCATTGATGAAATCATATAACTTCATATCATCAAAGTAAGCATTGTATTATAGAGAAAATGAGAGCCTTCCTAATTCATTGTAATCTGATGGCTTTTAGTGAGTGTGCTGATGGAGTTCTGAGAATAACAGAGATGATACATGGAATTGGAAATCCTCTCGTTGCAATATATGTCCGATGCTATCTTTGCAGGGTGGGGATCAATTTAATGAGTCAAAATTCAAACTACGATTTCTTGTACGCTAACTTTAAAGCGTTTTTGGACTCATATCAACACGTAAGCTGTTTTCTCATTGGATTAAAAGTAACTGAGTTGGTGTCAGCATTACTGCTTATGATCTTCCAATAGGCTCTTGTGACAAACTTCCACTGTATATTTGTTGAACAGTAAGCCGCGTATATGGATTTTTTCCAATTTTGCTTTTTGGCGCAGTTAAGTGAGGCAAAATCGCATAGAAATAGGAGTACTTGATGCTGCCGAGTTACCTCAATACTCCTGAAGTAAGCATCACAATGCGCGCGCGCTGGTGGATGCTCTGTCTATAATGTTGGCGTACAGAGGTGGGAAAACGGAATTTAAGAATTATTGCATTTAAATTTAATGAACCCCACTTTTGTATGTATGACCAGAATCTTATTGCACATTCTCTATGTTTATCAGAATGTTGTTTCAAATATTGGTTGACAAATGAGAATCAATACCGCTATCACGCTGTTATCGACGGATTATCGTACGATTGACCAATCAACAAAGTCTTATTCTTCTGTTATTTGTTATAATGTATTGATTTGAGTCTCTTTCTTAACAACTTTCGTTAAACAGTTTGAAATTTCGATAGACGTTTTGAGTAGTTATGCTGAGTCTCGCTACTTCTCAGCTGGATCTATCGAAAGCGAGCGATATTGAGCAACTGAGCTAAGCCATATCTTGCTCTACGCTACAGTATTTTCACGATACTTCATTACGTCGAAAGTCACACCAAATAACAGCTGATTATCTAGTAACATTCAAAATCCCAGGGGGAGGAAGTGACACACAATTCTGATAAATCTGTCAACGCCGGCGCGGGTATTACGTCTTTTGAAAAGTGAGATTTTGTCTTTTTTTGACATTTTGTTGGTTGTTTTGTAACATAACGTAGGTTTTTCAACAAGATATCAACATAGCACTAGCTGTTATACACTTGTTGTGAACTCGTTTTGTAGCTGTACAACATGATGCTTCAGCTATCAATGTTTGGCTCTAATGTGACATAACATCTGCTTCAGAGATGGCATTATTGGAGGTCTAAGCTAGAGAGTGTTGTCGTTTACCCCCTATTATTATTGTTGTGAATAAAACTAATAGTAATATACTGTACACTATTCTTATGGAAACATATTCTTTCAGCTATTTAGCAGATGCGTAAAGTTGGAGATAGCAGCACAGAAAATGACAATGAGGACTTATGCGTCCCTTTATACACCTGCGTTGGATTTTATTTTGCAGGCAGTTGTTTGCACTGTGAATGAGTCAGTGCTTGCAGATTTACTAAACAACTGTAAACAGTGTAATAACAGGTATTCTTATCACGTGTTCTCCCTCTTCATACCTACATCAACAACTATCAAAGTCTGACTCGGATGGAAAAGAATCCATAGAAATCTTATGTAGACCTCAATACGAAAACCAAAAGTTTCCGAGATAGTTAGTCTCATAGTAGTAGCCTGTGCCCTGTCACATCATATTGTGGGTTTGGTGCACAATATTGTTTGATATTCACTTAGGTTACCATAATCCCTACTTGAACATTAAAGTGAAACAAACTTCTTCAAAAACTGTTTAGTATCTTCTTGCACCTTTCCTGTGGGAATACACTACAAAAATGTTCAATATTAGACAGGCTGTCCCACTACTGAGCTGCATACTGAAGATGCTTTTTTATTTTGTAGATATCCGTATTTTTTATTACAGATTTAGACGGCTCTAAATATTTCTGCGTATTGTCGATTTTTTTACATATGCATATACAGTGTGTCCCAGATTCGCTTCTCTATACAGCGATCTCGGCTCCTGTTATACCTACAGCAGAGGTTAAGCGGGGAAGTTTTAGCGAAAACTTAGCGCATTCCATAGCCGTCTTCAGATTTACGATCGGTCATTTGGTGCTGGAAATATCGGCGAAAACCCAAAGATCTCGAATTTGACAGCTGTCAAAACGTGACATTATTCGGACATTTTTTAAGGCAAATAAGAGAGCGTGCATGACATGTCTCAATCGTCTTTTGTTTTGCCGCAACCTGCCTCAACTTTCGTCGCATAAACACGCTTGACCACGTATCTAAAAGCAATTTAAAAATATGTAGTATGATGTGAAAAAGTGAACATATTCAAGGTGTCCTATTTGGATGTTGCAAGGAACACCGAATTACGAGGGACAGGTATTTTTAAATGACTTTATTGTTTTTGGAAGTATTCTCCACGAAGATTAATACACATCTGCATACGCTCGAACCAATTTCCGAAGCACTTATTCCACTCGTTTGCTGGCAGATCCAAAACGGCGTTTTTGAATGCGTCAACTGCTTCTTCTGGTGACTGGAACCTTTGACCACGCAGTCTGTATTTAATTTTCAGGAAAGTAAAGAAATCGTTAGGACTTAGATCGGGACTATATGGAGGATGGTCCAATAATTCCAGGTTTTCTTCCGTTAAATACTGCCTTGTTTTTTGGGTTGTGTGCGAGCTTGCATTGTCTTGGTGGAGGATGATTCTTCTTTCGGGGTTGATTTTTCGCAGCTCGGTGATGACTTTTGACAAACATATGGTGGTATACCAATCCGCAGTAACAGTTCTTTGCTCATTAAGAGGAATTGTTGCAATATGACCCGTTTTTGACAACAAATGTCGCGACCATCTTTTTCGAAACAATTCGAGAACGGATGACTTTTGTTGACTTTTCTTCACCTTGTAACACCCAAACAGCCGACTGTCGTTTATTTTCTAGTTCATAACAGTAAATCCACGATTCATCATAACTAACAATGCTGTCGCTAAGACTCACCCGTCCACGTTTGAATTCTCCATACCAACGGGAAATTGTCGACTGATGTGGCGCTTCGTTGCCGAAAACAGACAGTAACTCAGCAAGGTATTCTTGTTGCGATAATTGTCTCTGAAAGTTGTAAAAAATTATGGCGCGAAAATGTTCTCGGTTGAGTTACATTTTTCTAATGACTTGGTGACACTTAAAAATTCACTGTAGTGAGAACACTGCACGTATTGTTGGGAAACTTTGAATTTAAGTTTACTAAAGAGTGAGGTTAAGATTCAGTACTGACGTTCGATCCGCGCGGCCTACTATGTTTCTATATGCGTTTTTGAGAAGTCTGTATAGCTAATTGACTCGCACTATCATGTAAAGAACTATATGTAAAAAAACAAATTAGTTTTCCATGTCATTAGTCATACTTTTGAAATGTATTCCTTCAGAGATGGTACAGGGTAATCCTAAACAGTTTAAAAAAGTGGTGTCTGTGTGCAATATTCCATCCAAGCTTAGTCCCTGTAGATGAGTCAGAATTACAATGCTTCTGAACCTGCCAGATATTGTACCCTGACCACAATACTCTCACAGGGAATGAACTGCCCAACTTGGAATAATTGGACCTCGTGGAAAACGTTTGGGACCCTGAACAATTTTGGTCTCCATATTGAGATTTACAATGTGATAAATAAAAAAAAATAGCCGAAAGCCATCCCCCATGCTTCCGCTGGGCCTTTTCATAGAGTGATAATGAAAGTACAAAGTTGGGTCCAGCAAAGCCACATATGCTCAAGCCTATTGCATACCAGTAACCAGTGAAGAGACCACGAATTGAGTATAGATGCAAATTGGTATTTATCAATTCTTTTCACAAACATGGACATACCATCTTCTTTTCGACTTCAGGCATGATTTTTGTTGCATTCATATGCATATGTTAATACTACTTTGAGAAAACTGTTGGACCAGCATATAAAAGTTCTTGTTACATAATTCAAATCACCAAGGTTTTATGAGACTGACGAATTCTACATGATGAACGTTTCACGGTGTATGAGTTTTTGGTTTGAGCTTATGCTTATAAGGTCTATATTAGACATAGCTTTCGTGGAACTTACGGTGTTCTTATGATATCGAAAACGTTTTCTGCTGTCCAAAATTAGAACAGTTCCTGGCTAGTTCACTGGTCCGTGTAGATCGTAAAACCTCAACAAAGCTACAGTAGCAACAAGTAATGAAGTAAACTGAAAGAATTGGATACACATCATATTCTTATATGTTTTCAGTTCACTCATTCTACATTCGATAATGTCCAGTTTTAAACCATCTTATGTAGCTGAAAGGGCATCTGACTTCGTGAACATGATAGTTAAATGTTTTGACGACTGCATTACCTTATGTTCTCTACTGAGGATGCTTGGTTTATGTTTGAATGTATGTCCTCCACCGTCGGAGCAGAGAAGGCATATACTTACTGCCGTTTGGAAGTACGTTTCTGCATTTACAAATCCAGCAGAATACATAACTTGCGTTGAAGCGTGGATACAATATATAGTAGTGCATTTTTCGGTAAGTTTCAGGATTTTTATCTTCCGCTGTGAGAGAGAAGAATTTTGAAATAGAGATATTATGGATATGACATGAGACATGATAATCACAGAATATTGTCTCTCATTTCCGTCAGAAAGAAGCCAAGAAAAAAATGTAGGTCATACATTTTGAAATCGGGCAATTGTCACGCTTTGTGAGCATGTGGCCTACCCGAAATTTTGAATAGATTTTTATCAATGCGAACTGAGTCTACTTGACTTGCTTAAGGTGACACTCGATTATCTTTTTTTTCTAAATATTGCGAATAAAGTTATTATACGCATTGATTTTATAATCTATATCTATTCCTGATACAACTAATAATAGAAAAAAATTTCAATTTGAAAAAACTACGGGTCGTGAAAATATATATAAAATTCTTACATTGAAAGTGAGCTCTGTTTTTCCTACTGGAGAAATCAGCCTATATGACTAATTTTTGTTCTGCTAGCGAATAGAATGTGATCATAATACATTTCATGTCAAATTTTGAATAGATTTTTATCAATGCGAACTGAGTCTACTTGACTTGCTTAAGGTGACACTCGATTATCTTTTTTTTCTAAATATTGCGAATAAAGTTATTATACGCATTGATTTTATAATTTATATCTATTCCTGATACAACTAATAATAGAAAAAAATTTCAATTTGAAAAAACTACGGGTCGTGAAAATATATATAAAATTCTTACATTGAAAGTGAGCTCTGTTTTTCCTACTGGAGAAATCAGCCTATATGACTAATTTTTGTTCTGCTAGCGAATAGAATGTGATCATAATACATTTCATGTCAATCTGTTAATGTCAGAGCCCTTCACATCTGTAACGAAAGCAAACTCCATAGCAAATATAGGGTCACATTCTAAGGATAGGACATTAAAAATCATATTGCTTTATATCAAGAATAGAGAGAGAAGAGGGCAGTTTTTGTGTCTTCATCCCGTTTGCAAGAAAATATAACTCAAAATACTTTTTTTGGAGGCAAACAGCTGTTATCTTGATTTCTTTAAAAACACCCCATTGTGAAAGAAAGAGACGTATACTGATCACCGTCTCTTAAATATATTGTAGTTGTTTATTGAAAAATGTTATTTTTTACTACTAATTTCAGAACAGGGATATAAATATAATATTGGGAGATATCATTGAACACATGTCGCCTAACAGGAATTTCGAAAATTTCTACAATGATCTAAAAATTATTGTAGGCAAAATAGTGTCGAATAATCAAGACTTTGAGATGCTATTAGTTATGGTAAGTAAAAATTGAATAAACGCTGTTTACTATCAACGACTTTTGTATAATATTTTTCCAAAAGCGTTGGCGTTGTTTGAAAGGAATATATAATAAAAATACAGAAAAAGATCAATACGCCGACTCCAAGAAAAAATTACACCTATTGTATGAATTTTACAGTGACATGGTTCATGTTTTGCAGGAAAACTTCTTGCCTTTGATAGACCTTTTCCAACAAGAATACATGAAGGTAGAGGTATGCAAAAATATATTGACGAACAATTTCACTTGTTTCACGACAAATGATCCCGTGACTACAAACGCACTTATGTACCTTTGTACCGTTTTGCACGATTCTGTAAACGCACTCACTCCAGAGGACGAGTACAGGCAGATTGGAGAAATTTTGTGCAACGTTATCAGAAAAGTTGATTATGGTAGAGATTTTGAACAACAGATGAACTTCTACGTTGAAGCTAGAGGTGCTTTTTCGAATATTGATACAGTTCTAGCCGAGTTGGTGCAAGTGAGTAGTATATGCATTGAAGTTCTAAAAGTTTTTAGTTTTGTCCTATTGCCAAGTAATAACACAGTGCATTAGTCTGTTGTAGCTTATTGTGTGGACGGACCACTTGACTTGATGATATACAGGGTGTAAACGTTATGGTAGTCATTATTGAAAAAGGTAATAGGGGGTCAAAACAAGGCAAAAAGTTCATATGACCCATGGTCCAAAAGTCAATAGATTTTGGTCTAAATGGCTTTATAGTTTACAACTTTAAGTGCTTTATATCGACCACAATCTTACTAATTTTTATAATCTAATCTTTATTTTGGGTAATTAACAAATAAATGGCATTAAGTTTTTCTAAGTTAACCCAAAATTAATAGTCAGTAAGTTTCATTAAATTAAATATTTAAAACATACATGACAACAGCGCGTCAGTCATTCATCACTCTTATCGAACCGGCAATCGATCGCAAACGGTAACAGTGGTTCGTTATCGGGCATCGGGCGTGTTGTTTACAATGTTCTCGAATCAAGAGTTCGCCGACATGTTGTTAGTTTACGGTAAAGCTCGTCAGAATTCAAATTTTGCAGCTCAAATTTATCGCGACAGATTTCGCCAACGGGTACACCCAGACAGAAGGACATTTGTGCAAGTGTACCAAAGACTTCGAGACACAGGAAGTGTTCAGCCCACTAATATTCGCACTCGTGAAAGACAGGTTACTGTAGAGCAGGAGGTACAAATTTTAAATATCGTGGAAATCAATGCAGATATCAGCACTCGGAAATTAGGCCGCCGCGTAAGCGATAGTCCATAGAATCCTACGGGAACATTTGCTTTATCCCTACCATGCACAACGAGTGCAGGCCTTGTTACCAGAAGACTATCCCCGCAGGCTCAACATTCTGTCAGTGGTTTTTGCACAAAAATATTGAAAATCCGGATTTTTTTTGAAACATTCTAGCGACGGAATGTACTTTTACGCGAGACGGGATATTAAATTTCCATAATACTCACACGTGGGCCCAAGAAAATCCTCATACCATTCGTGAAGGTCTTTTCCAACAACGTTTTAGAATAAATATTTGGGCGGGTATTCTTGACGATCAGGTAATTGGCCCTTTCGAGTTACCCCCAAAGTTTTCTTATGGCGCATCCAATAAATCGTAAAACCTTCTGGAAATATTTCAAAGCTCCGCGATGCAAAGTACCAAATAGGAAAGTCACATTATCCCTTCACAACCCACCAAAAAGATCAGGCACTGTAAAGATGGGGTCAACAGCAACAATAATAAAATTGCTTAAAAGTCGTCTATGTTAGAAGAACTACAGAGGTTGAATGTGAAAAATTTCGTATGTTATTTAGTTCTCATTTTCATATTCAAATTAAAAAAATCATTTATTACCGCCACATTTAGAAAACTTCTCAAAATTAAATAGTCATTATCATAACTACGAAACTAGAGGCAGTATAGATTTTCATCTGAAAAATCGAAACAGTAGCATAACTAGCAAATTTGTATTCCAAAAGTATTTGAATTTAATAAATTGAATAATGATATTCAACAGTGTTCGAATTTAAAAATGTAAGTGAAATTAAGTAATCAATTTATGAATATGTACTCAAAATGCATAGTGATGTAATTTTAATAGACAAGAAGGTAAAATTAGAGAACATGGACTGGAGAAAAATGTGTAAGCGAATAATTATACAAATTATGACAAATTTGATAATTATACAAATTATTCAAAAAAGTGTGTATCGATGTCTGTTAAGCTCAGTATGAGTAGATGGCGTACGGTGTAGTGCCAAAAAGTATCTATTCTCCCGCTTCTGTTTTGGCATCCGGAGTTGGATCATAAAATACAATTGCTATATCCTTTGTCAATGATGGATTCTGTTCAAAAAGCTTGATAAACTCTCGGCTATATTCTTCAAGTGAATAGCTGATATTATAGCTTACTACCCTCGCTTGGGGATTGAAAAAAATCAATTGACTAAGGAGATAACTACTGTATTTTATGATCAAACATCACCACGCACGCGATAGTAGAAAAATACAACCTGCATATAAATTAGTATACTAAATAGAGATTTAGAAAAATTAACGTACTGTTAACAATGATAGAACACTTCGCTATTTGACATGATTTCGTGTCACTTTGGGTATATTATTTCAGTGTTATAAGCTTCAAATGCAAAACTCTAAGAAATTGCTCAACACGTTTTCCCCATCAACTATGTAAGAAATGTCCATACTGTTTGTACAAAGAAAGTGTGATTACAATTTTATAGGACTTCTCCCGTAAATGTGTGTATTGAAGCATTTTCATAAGTAAAACTGACTAAGCAATTATATGACTTGCTCGAAAAACTGCTTCTTCTTTAACTAAGCGACATTTTTGGTCATCGATGATACCTTATCACATCGGAAAAGGTTGAAGCACCTGACTAGGACGTGATTCTCGCCAATTAGGGTCTCGTTCACACAGTGGCATAGATTTGACTATTTGCGAATGACGCGTGTTAAAATGATTCTTATCAATTTTATTGTACTTTCAAGGTTTTTGATTTTTCAGAGAGTCAATTGCCTGACAGTTAATACTAGACATATAGTAAAGGGGATTCATACTAGAAAAACGGCCGATTTTGTGCGAGCATGTGCGGCATATTGCTTCATAACCATTCCATCTATAGTTTCAGAGAAGACTAGACTAGAATTGTACCTGTTATCAGGCCAAGTGGCACTTTTTAATCAATGTTTAGGACAAGGTAACTAGTTGATCAGTTGTTGCAGTCTAATCATACCCAGATGTTTCTCTAACGCGAATATCACACGATCGCAATTTACTGTGATCCGAACAGCAGTATTTATGATCATTCCGTCAGTGACTGTAGATTGATACATACTCCCAATAATGGCTGACGTCCTGACTACATGATCAATAAAAATGTCACATTCCATGGTAAATACTGATCGCGTAACTTTCGTTAAAGCGTTGTCTATATTACTTTTCTTTTTCTTATTATTTTTTTTTAGTGTAAGGGCCATATCGACAGTCGTTCCTACAATTATTGTAGGACGTCTTTAAGCCTCCTTGATTTTCATAGTTTTTTCTACTGTTCCATGTCAGCGCTATTTTGAGGTTACGTTACAAATATCCATTTTCTTCAAATTCTTCATGCTTTCGATTTTATATCATATGTTATATCAACCTGAAATTTCTTACGATTCAAAAAGAAAACATAACTTCATTATAATCCTCCTCCTCCAGAAAGGCTGGGGTATTTCTAGATTTCTACTGATCCGTGTCAGCGCTCTCCTATTGTGACAGTGGCGGCTCGTGGCAAAATAACACAGATGTTCTGCAAATTCGAACTTACCTATTTTTTATATGTCAGTTCTATCTGCGCTCCTTCTTGGCAGCAAATTTGTCGATCACCTTCCCGTTGAAATTTTCCATGGTCGAAATAAATTCCTTTTCAATGGACAGCATCGACAACGCTGTAAGGCGATGCTGGGTCACAGTATTTCGAAGAAAGGTCTTGATTCTTTTCAATGTTGAGAAATTTCGCTCAGTCTGTAATGTAGACATAGGAGTTGTAACAATAATTTCTAATAGCTTTTTTGTTTCTTTTAGTGTTTCCATTTTCTATCAAAAATTTCAAAAGAGAGTTCTATGTAAATCTCGGCTGCAGGTAGTTTACAACTTGTCATCAGGAAACTTACCACAGTATTCTGCAAAGTGTTCGGGGAAAAAAAGGGATGCGGCTACAATATGATCTTTGAATTGAAATCTGTCATTTGCAGAATTCACTATATTGTCGCATACTTCTTATGCGGCAACTCGGTGACGTCTCCTTTTGTTGCCTTGGGGTTCAGTGCAAATACTTTTGGCTTCATTTATTATGTCATCAAATTATCGATAGCCGTTTTAACTTGCGCTGGCTCGGTTTTTCTCTTCTGCAACTGGTTGAACAAGATGTCGACGTGAGGCATGACATGATGAAAAAATTTCAACCAAAACACGAAAACAGAATAGGTTAACATACGGCGAATACCGCAAGCTGCCTTGCAAACGGTTTAATTAGTGAAATTTTCTTTAATTTCTTCCATGCATTCAATGAGTGATTATCTGTTCTCAAATTCTGTTCAGTACCTCTACGCGTCGAGGAGAATAATTAAAAAATCCCGGAATATCTTTCAAATCCCCAAAGAACACCCGAACTTGAGCATTTGCGCAAGCAGCTTTGGACATAATCAGGTTTAAATGATGCGCATAGCAATGCACATAGTGAGCAAATGGATATCTTTGTTTTATTTTTGCCTGTACTTCAGCATTATGTCCGCTCATTACTGCGGCTCCATCATAGCTTTGTGAAATCAGTTTGTTAGGGAAATTTCCCATTAATGGATCAAAATATGTCTTGTGAGAGTATCAGCGTCACATTTTTCGGGATTCATATAATTCCAAAAACGATCTACTGGTTCGCCGTTAAATACGTATCTGAAAATTGTTACCAGTTGGGTTTTCCCCGGAATGTCCGTTGTTTCATCTGCTATTATCGCCAAATACGAGGCTCTGTTAATCTGTTTTATTATTTCTTCATGACAAACTTCAAGAATACAATCCAGTAGATCGTTTTGTATTTCTTTCGAAGTTCCTTTAAATATTGAAGCATTTTTTATGTGTTCGCTTAAGGTTGTACCAAGCTCAGCAGAAAAATTAATCAGTCCACGAAATATTCCCGGGTTTTGGGAGCTCTCGGTTTCGTCGTCGCCTCGTAGCGCCAATTCAAATGCTCCGCAAAATTTTATACAATCGATTATTTTTGATAGAACGTACCTGTTTTTTGTAACGGTATCATTACGCTGTTGTATATTTCTCCAATATGCTGAATCTAACTGAGCTCTGATGTTAACAGTCCCCCAATAAAGCCAATTCCATCGAATTGTGAAGATGTGTTTTAGAGTTTTCATGCTTCTTAATTTTTTCATTCAGGTGCACTAAATCTGTAACACCTACCTCCGTCCAAGCTTTGTCACCGCCGAAAAGTATGCAAGGAAAGCAGAAAAGGGCATTCTTCCTGTTGCACCCATAAATCCAGTCATTTCTGGGGTAAATCTCCCTGCTGAAATGCCGCGTATAGCCCTTGCCCCGACTAACGCCCTGTGTTTCTATAAATATGTCCGGCAGCGGTCGACCTAACACCTTCAGCTCAATTTTTTCTTCAAATGTGTATTTCCAGAATCTTTTCACGCTGATAAGTCTGTAAACCACATCCATTGTCTTGCACTACCGTTCTACACAGCCACAGTCAGTCAGTGAGTCACTAGTCACTCAACGTAAGACCCAAAATACCTAAATAAGACGTTTTTCGCATTCAAATTTTAAGCCACGTCACGCGACAAGACCAATATGCCAATAGCGCCGAGGACCGAGCACCGACCGACCAATCAGATATAGTACTTCGCATTAGATCTGTATAACTTGCAGCACATGCTTATGCTTAATTAAATCGCGCATTTGATTTTGTAGAGAGAGACAAAAGCAAGCGCGTGCGGCTTGTGTCGAAGTAGTGCACAGACCCTTTTCAAGTGGCCCATGAATAATGTTACGCTGCGGTCGCGACGAAAATGACAAGTACACAATTGGTCGATTATAATTCTTTCTCAGTACAAAACAGACTCGACGCCGTGTCCTGGGGGCAGCGTTGCCGGTATTGTTCCTATTTGTGTCATAACATCGAAAATAAATAATGATCAAATTACTACTGCTTTTTTCTGTTAAGACAAACGTTATGGCAGTTCTGTAGCTCTGCAGAACTTAAGGGCCAGCCGCCCTTGCATTGTGAAGTTATGTTTTCTTTTTGAACTGTAGGAAATTTCAGGCTAATAAAACAAATAATATAAACCAAAAGCATGTACAATTTGATGCAACTAGGTATTTGTGACATCACTTCAAAATTAGAGCGCTGACACTGAACATTAGAAAACTATGAAAATCAAGGAGGCCATACAGGCGTCCTACAATAATAATTGTAGGAACAACTGACGATACGGTCCTTAGAGTAGCCTTTTGGCTAAACTTTGTCTGTACTGTATTAATAAAGACATTTATTATTATTCACCTAATGACGATTGAGGGTTCAACAAATATTAGTCTGAACTGTGAGAAATGCAAATGCTATAGATAGTGGAAGTCCGGAGCAGTATTCATGAAACATTTATATTGTCTACGTATTCAGCATATCTGATTGTAGCATACAAACTAACTTTGATTATGTTTTGAAACTGAACTAAGCAAACTATATGCAGTCACTCCCACCTCCTTGTTACGAATGTTAGTTTGATATTAGAACCACATAATTAGGATTACAAGATAATTTTTTATTTGGTTTTAGCCGATGCCTGTTTCAAGGCTGTTTTATCAATGTTATCAGATCTACAAGATGTAACGACAAAATCCGAGATATTCCTGTCATCTTACATAAGGCAGGTTCTATCTACGCTTTTAGTGGTGCCAGATAATCCTGAAAGGGGTGTGCTGAGTTTATTGAAAGGACTATTAAATGTTATAAGAGACCTAGACTGGAACAAACAGAATTGTGTGTTGGGTTCACTGTATGTAAATGTTATAGATCTTCTGAGTGTTATGTCACAAGAAGAATATTCTTATCATGTAGACAGAGGTAAGTTATTCGAAGAGTTTTAATACTTGAAGAATTAGTGCGTAACAATTCACAATAATCTTTTTTTGTAGTTGAGTCGAATGATTCCTTATATGGTTCCGACACGAAATTCCTCGTGGAAATAAACAACATGTGTTCTATTATTATTGGAGAGATTTTAACGTTACTGAAAGACCTAGGAATCTGTAGGAGGCAGTCACAATTGGCAATAGAACTTTTCTTGAGAGTGGCTTTAAGGGGTGATCTTAGCATGAAATCTGTGAGTGCTCTGGCACTGAATCTGTGGCAACTAAGTTTGAAGAACGGAAATGCGGATGTTAAATATATGGTGAGTCTGCTGTTATCAGTAAAGAGTTGTTCATCATTCATATAATGAATATTATTATTTTTACCTAAATAGCGTCTTTGTACGATATTTGAGTTCATACTTGGGTATAGTAATGAGTGATTAATTTAGAGGTATTTTTTCAGCAACATCACATATTAAGAACAACCCTACCGGGTTGTGAATTTTTTCAAATGTTGGCGTCAATGCGTTTGGGTGTTTCCAATTTACGATGACGCGTCTGTGAATTTCGAGTGGTATTTGGCGAATAACGCAAGTAATGCTTACTCTTTCATCCATGTAGACTCAGACCAATATGAAAAAGTCTGGATGTGTGACATTACACGATCCATAATCAAATTCAAGCGAATAACCAAAATTTCTATTATTTACCGCGGTTATAACATGGTTTAAGATGACACACGAGTTGATGACGTCAGTTATCCGAATCGGAGTTGTTTATTCTAGAAACGTGCGTATATAGTTTCTGATAATGTTTATTATTACTTAATAATCGGTGCTTTTTCGTCTAAAATAGTGATATGATATGGAGAGTTTAAAAAAGGTAAACTTTCATAACACTAATGGGACAAATGTTTTTATCTCTCTTATTTTTAAACAAGTTTGTCGTGAAAACAAATGATGTGAAGGCCAAAAGTATAATGGTGGAAACGGCTTCATAGCTATGATAACTTTCAATTCTTTAAACTTTTCCGCGAGTCAAAGAAAACATTAATCGATTTAGTAAAAATGATATGAAAAAAGACGAAAAAAGATACTACCAAAACCGTATACGGGTGGACAGTATCAAGTGAGTTTATATGGCCATATTTGAATGTTCTTGTGGTATAGTGCTATATAGCATATTTTGTTAAGCAAAGGAACTAGATTTAAAGTGCCCCCAACAACAGTGAGTATAACAAGGTGATCTACTTTATGCTAAAACTGAAGTCAGCCTGTATCAAATTTCCCAAAAATGAAACTCAAGTACAACAAAAATATCCAATACCCGCCAAAATTCTAACTTGTCATATTTTAAATAATAAGCACAAATATAAAACTACTCCGGATTAGAGTAAACACCACAATTTTATGGTGATAACTATGACAAATAAGAGCTGATTAATGACGTCACGGATCTTATATCCAAACTGATAACCACACTCACTTGAACGGGTCGGTAAATACCAACCCAAAATGGTAAAATACCATTTTCATTTGGTTATTCGCTTGAATTTAAGTGGCCAATTTATCGGTCCTAGTGGTTGTTGGGAGGCGAAGACGGGCAAGTAGGCCAACTTTGGCCCTTTTCCCGACCCCAAGTGTTCCAATACTAAACTCCACAGGCTTATTTACTAACCTGTTGACCTTTGAGGTTTAGGATGTCCAACCTCTCTGATGAGTATGCAACCTCCCCATCAAACTCCATGGCTCCTAATATATCAGTCCTTAGGCTGTAGTACACAGGACCAAAAACCTAGAAAGTGGAACCCTGTGTCGTCCTCCTTCCAGCACATAGGACAGATATAATATCTTTTCACCCTTAGAACAAGTGACTGTTCAGTCTGAAGTGACTGGTGAGTACCCTCATCAAGAGGTTGAGCGATTCTCTACCTTTGTCCAATAGCTAGCGTGTACGATGTTCATCTCTCGCCACACTTTTCCCAGGTCCTGATACGCCTATTCATTCAGTGCAACATTGAAATTTATCGATCCTAAAGAGTAAATTAGGACCAATAAGACGTTGAAGCTGCTCTCGCCGGAAGCCCTGACATATTTGGTGACAATAATCAATGCGACGCTCAGAATCCAGTACTTCCCTGCTGGGCGGAAGACTGCTGAGGTCATCATAATTCCAAAGAAGGTGGGTTCGATATTTCCTCAGGATTTCCGTCCCATAAGTCTGCTGGCAGCCCCTTCTAAGCTCGCCGAAAAGGTGATTTATCGTCACCTTGAGGATTTTTCGTCAAGTCACCACGTGATTCCTGATGCGGGCCTCCTTTATAACTAATCCAAAAGGGTTTTCCTTTTTGGCTTCTAAAATTACTGAAATCCTTTCTTGAAGGAAGGAAGTTTCGGCTCAAAATTAACAATGTTTTGTCAACAACACGGCCAGTACGGGCCGGTGTTCCTCAGGGTTCGGTCCTAGGACCAATCCTTTATTCGCTTTTTATCTATTTCCCTTGCCCCAGCAACTGTGAAGTCTACCTCTATGCTGAGGACACTGCACTTGTCGCCCAGTCATGTACTCTTGATCTGGTTCACGATGGGTTACAGAGTGTGGTGGAAGAAGTACTAGAGTGGGCGGAACGGTGGCTGATTAAAATTAATCATTCGAGAACGCAGGCTATTTATTGTACCAAAAAACCTCGCGGTGCCCCAGCAGAGGTCTCTGTAGACGGCAATCGTGTACCATGGACAAATTCTGCCAAGTACCTCGGTGACACCCTTGATAAATGCATGACCTGGCAGAAACATACAGCAGCCTTGAAAACAAAATTGCGTTTCGGCAACTATATCCTTTGTCATGTAGATCCTCCAAATTGAGTTTGATAAACAAAGTTCGCCTGTATAAAATGATTATTAGACCAACCATTACTTATGCATGTGCGGCTTGGTGTTTTCTTGCCAAAACACATATGCAAAGTCTTCAAGTACTACAAAGTAGAACCTTGCGAACAATTTGCAACGCTACATGGTATGTCTCAAAAGAGACACTACACAAAGACCTTGACATTCCTTACTTGAGGATTATGTCAAACTTCAGATGCAGCGACGTTATAGTCAAGCAGAATCGCACAGCAACCCTCTGTAGCGCGACTCAGTGGACTACACAGTGGAGCAAGTTCGTAAACATTCAAGGCCACGGCTCGCACTGTAATAAAAAATTAGCGCGAACTTTTAGTAAACTTAAAATTACGCTCTAACAAAATAGAATCAAAATTTGTTTAGTTCACCTCAAAATTAATCTGTGGTGTCTCCTCTTAAACACTTCCGTTTTTCTTTGCTCCTCTCCATGTTTCTTCTCTTTCCCTTTCTCTTTTTCCTTGACATTGTCTGGTTTCTGGGCAACCAGTACCGACAGATTCGACTAACGTACACTAGACAGTGACTAATGGGTAAAGGTCCTACGGACCGCCCAGACAAACAAATGACGAGTAGTAGAATGAATTAGGGAACTGTTGTCGCAGTAACGGCATAGTTTCACAGACTGTGCTGCTAGTAGCAGTGCGCCTTCTGTCAAACCAAAGTTTATCAAGATACTGGGTTTAAATTCCAGTCTGTATGTTATCATGGCACGATGACGGTCGTCAAATACCATTCGAAAATACTTAATGTGTCATTGAAAATTGAAAGGGCAGAATGAACCAGATTGATCGCACTAACAATCGACATTTGAAAGAAAAAATCTTCAAAACCAAGAATGCTTCGTTTCTTAGATAATAAAGATAACCCGACGAAGTTTAGGATCATCAATTAGGTTTTTGAAAAACATTTCGCGATTTAGCGAGATTGAAGGCTGTCAGCGTGACCAGAAGCAGCACGATTCATTTACAACATCTCGCCACTTTTCAGGCTGAAAACAATTGTTAAACCCAGAACAATTTGAATTTTCGGAAAATTTTCCGAGAAGTTGCTTTTTGCCTAGCCGATTAATGTTTAGTTAAAAACAAATTTCAGTTAGTAAAAATAGTATTCAACAATTCCTTTGCATATCTTCAAGTGTCCCACTATCTAGGTGCACTAAATGTTGGTTATTTTCAGGCAAAAACCAAGGAATATATAAGGAAACGTGGTATGGCGACAAATGATATCCACCTTCACCAATTGTTGGATAAAATCATATTTCAATAGGGAAAAAGTGAATGTGTATTCGGAATAGCTCTAACAAAAAATATTCAATACAGGTATACAGGGTGTAAACGTTATAATTGTCATTATTTAAATGGGTGATAGAGGGGGTTAAAAGAAGCAAAAAGTTTCATATAACATATAAACGGCATTTTTTTAGAGAAAAGCGACTTTAAAGTAAAATAAAATCTGACAACCCCGCAATGCCAGACGCTAATTACGACGGAACGCAGTGTAAATAAAGATGGAGTTTGTTATTTTTGGCTCTTAGGTATTATTTCATTATTTGATAATGTACTCGTAAAATGCAAACTTACCACTGTCTCAGCGCTTCACATGGCGTGTGAAAGTTTATTGAACGTATTAAAAAAATCCACTTATAAATAGGGAATGCAATTTTGATACATACATGGTTTGTCTTTTTAAAACCCACACTGCACTTTTTTTTGTATTCAAAGAAGGTGTTCAAAATGTCGTCCTCCACTTTCCACACAAGCTTCATTACGACCTTCACGAATGGTATGAGGATTTTCTTGGGCCCACGTGTGAGTATTATGGAAATTTAAAATTTGTTACTCCTGCTCTACAGTAACCTGTCTTTCACGAGTGCGAATATTAGTGGGCTGAACACTTCCTGTATCTCGAAGTCTTCGGTACACTTGCACAAATGGCGGTCCGGCGTGAAAACGGGTATAAGTGCAAAATTTACGTTTCGAGATAAATGGGATTTTAGTTAACTTGAACCGCATTTTTTATATTATTTGTTTTAAAATGATTCATACTGATAAAAAGTCGTTGAGATATGAACTTATTTTGAATTCACAATACATATGCCATTTGATACCTGTTTTAAGAAAAAAAAAGACAACTTATATACTTTTGCACTGTTATTTTATAGAAAATAAACAACATATCCTTTTACATAGTTGAGGTGGTCTTTTCCCCTTTAACACAACAAAAATTAAAGTTTCTCCATTATACACACAATGAAAATTCTTCATCGTCACTGTCCTCACTGTCGATGATTGGGTCGGTTACTTGCTGCTTGGTACGAAGGTCCTTATAGAACGAATAAATGTCTCGTTTATGTAGGGAAGTAGCTCTAGCAGGTTCTTTTTCTTCTCTTCTGTAATAGGTACTGGCCCTTTATAAGATAGAGGAGTCCTGATTTCATTAGGAATCATTTTCTTGCTCAAGTAGTTAATTTTTTTAAAAGGTTGGTTTTTGTCTAAGTTACCTTTGTGTTCTACAACACCTATTTCTTGAGAATACCTTAACCACTTTATATCTTTCCATATAATCTTCTGCCCATCCGCATCTTTCTTTGGCTGTTTGAAATATTGTTTTAATAACGCTGCCAACTCAAGGAAGTCGAGCGGTGTCATCTCTGTAATTTGAAATGGCTGTGAGTTACCACATGTTCTTACTAACTGAACCCAATCTCTTTGATGTTCTATTGGTATGGCGTATTTTTTCTTCTCAATCACAGAATGATCCGAATCACACTCCATATGTGTGTGACCCGGGACAAGAAATTTGTGATTAATATATTTTAAGGATGGGTTCAGTTTCATAAGTAGGAAGAACATTACTATACGTATAACATGCGAGTTCTTGTTTTGACCTGAACAAGTGTCAGAATATAAGGTGATCTCGGATATTCCTTCTAAATTAATTGATAAAAAATGCTTGTAGAGGCAGGAAGCGATTTGATTTGCCCCTCTGCCTCTCATAGCCTCATGCCACATAAAGCAATAACACTGCTTGCTTTTTAGATTGCGCATTGTAAAATTGAACGTCCATAGCTGTCTCTTGTAAAAAGCTATAGACGTTTTTATGTCTGGCGTTGGCAGGCATTGCTGCAAATCAAACGTATACACCAGGCGACAGCTATCTTCTAAAGCAAATTTCTTGTCTTGTCTTTTAGCTTCATACGCCTTATCTGCTTCTGCCTGATGACTTTGTAATTTAATTTTCAGAGCCTCGGCGGTTTCACCTTGGGTGTTTTTGATAAGCATGCTCAGCTTATCACATGTGGCACATGTATCCTTATTGGGTTTTTTATTTTGATTCCTAAGTTTCGAAAACACGTTTCGTATATTTTCTGAGAAACAACTTTTCTCTCAGGCGGTAGCCAAGCTTTATATTCATCATAACATCTCTTGAGAGTATAGTGGCTCGGTAGATATTTTCTGCTTGAGTCTTTTCGAGTATAGTGACTCTCCTAAGATGGAATCAATGAGATATGATTTCGGAGCAGTTCCATATCAGCATCTGATGTTTTATTTGCGGGAGCTGAGTTTCCACGTTTGTTAGTGCTAAATAAACCTGAGGTTGACACACGTTTATTTTTCACCACATGTGTAATAAATCTGTTCGTTAAATCAAATGTTAGCATGACACAGCGTTTACATGTGTTTATTTTAACTCCATCTATTAAAAGAGAAAAATAAGTTTTTGTTCTGTTCTTGTGTTTTTTACCCTCAGCTTTATTTTTTGTAGTTTGTTTATCGCTATTGGATATCAAACCAGCAATATAAGATATGCGTTATTCGTAGTCGCCGGTGCTCCAAAATTCATTTGAAAACATCCCTTCTTTTATTATTATCATCCAAGAGGTCTTTGTATTTCATTCTACAGGTAGGTAATTCGCTGAAACATTTTGCTCTTTCTGTTACACCCTTCTTGGTAACATATTCCTGTCCCAAATTTCGCAGGTTTTTTCTAGTGTTTCGTATTTGTCTTGTTTCTCCCTTTACTGACCTTTTCCCCCTCTTCCTAGTTTCTTTGTTACCATTTTCGTTATTCTCCATTGTTTGATCTTCTCCGTTGATATGAACCCTTGCCTTCTTGTTGGGTGTTTGAAACTCCAAATTCTCCGCTGCTCTTGGTACGTAGTCTTTATCCTTATCAGAGTCATCGATTGGTTCATCCATATTTAGCACACTTTCGTAGTCGGTAATTGAAGAATTTTCGTTTAATTGTCTGTAACTGATGTTTGTTGTAGGTATATTTCCTATTAAGCTATTCGAAAACTGCATGGATTCGTCCTCAGTCAACTTACTGTCGTTGATTTAGCAACGACTGAGCAGTATGCTGAACATCATCTAAGCCAGAGTTCCCCAAACTTTTTTGTGTCGTAGACCCCTTGCCATGTTTTTCCGTGTTGGTTAGACCCCCTACTTACCTAATATTGATTTCCTGTAAATTTCTAACTGTAGTGAAGTTTAGTGTTAAAAACTTAAAGTAAAAACACATGTTAATTTATACATTTATTAATTGAATTTAAATTAAAACTACTCAAAATAAAATGTTGTATCTGTTATGCAAAATACACGTAACATTAAATAAGTGCCCGCATTGGAAGTAAGTGCCCGCATTGAAAAAAAAATAAGAGGGATGAAATAAAAAAAAGTGAAAAATAATAAAAAAAAAAGTTTTTTACTTAAAATAGTACAATAAGCGAGTTCGTTTATTAATTATAACATAAACGTATGATCTACAATAATTTCACTGTTAGTTTGATTAAATTCCGCTTCTTATACGTTTAAGTTATCTAAAAATAGGCAAAAAATTAACGAATTTTAGTGTGTACCTATCCTTGAATTTTCAGAATTTAAAAAAAATAATTCTATAAATAAATAAAAAATCAATGCGGGCACTTATTCCCAATGCGGGCATTTATTGGTCAGACACCAATAAACATAAAATAAACTATAAATAAAATAACATAAGCAATAAGTCAATATTTTTAGTGAGAAGGATGAACCTGATGCTTTAATAATAAATTATCAACATTTGGCGTCAATTTTGTAAGGGTTAATCTTAAATCTCCTCGGCTAATGATGTCTGTTTCTTTTTTTCGTTAGGAGATTGGTAACAGCGTCCACTAGGTATGACGATGGAAAGAAAATTAAAAATTCCCTCGCTATATTCCATAATACGGGATAAGTAACGGGTATGTTGTTTTGCAGCCAGAATTGCTGATATCCGTTTTTAAACTGAACCGTAAGTTCTTCGTTTGTACTTAGTTCAGTCAGTTCCTCTTGTATTATGACATTCGTTTCTTCTATGTCACCATATGGATTAATTATCCACGGTGGTATTACCATAGTCAAAATATCCTCAAACCTAGATTCAAAATCTGAATAGAGGGCATTTAAATGTTGAACGTAAGTTGAAACGTCGTCTTCCTGGCAGTCTGTTTTCCTCTTCATTAAATTTTCTTTTAAAATTTTATCTTTAGTATCCAGAAATTCTAAAATAGTCTCAAAAAGTGCAAAAAATCAAACATAAGCCTTTCGACAGCCAGCGTACTTCAGTGTGAAGGAGTAATTGATGAAAGTGTTCGTCATTTTCTTCACACAACTGCGCAAATAACCGCGTATTCAACGCGTTGCTTCGGATTCGGTTTACTGCATCAATGACTAAATGAAGTGATTCAAGCAATCTAACACTCAAATTTTTAGCAACTAAATGTTGTCGATGGATGACGCAATGTATTGCTAACACCCCTGACACATTTTGTTTTAAATAGCTTATAAATCCACGATAAATATAAAATATAAATATTGATTCACCTTTAGTGTCGGTTATCAAAGTTCTTGCGAAGAGCAGTTCTTCGTAGATTTCTTGATTCATAATAAAACGAACATATGCCAATAATAATGCTGCATTATCAGGTAAAGTTGACTCGTCCAGTTGTATAGAGAAATGGGTCGTTTGCAAATAATTACATAAGAAGCTTTCAATATCAGAACTCATTTCATCAATACGTATTTCAACAGTATTGTTGCTTAAGGGAATTCTTTTAATGATATCAGATGCAGGTTTGTGTAAAACAGTTTTTAAAACCTCTTCAACGGCTGGCAAAATTAACTTCTCTCCGATAGTATGCGGTTTTCCGGATTTTGCTATAAGTAACGAGATATTGTAAGACGCCCGCAAACCATCATCATTTCTTTGTGACGTCGAAGCGAACATTCTGTCCAGTGTAGGTCTCTTCTGAAATTTATCTTGAGTGTTTGAAAGTATTTCAACTCTTTCTCTGTTTTATCAGGGTGGCATCTTCTCAGATGATCTTGCAGTTTAGATGGTTTCATAGCGTCATTGCCCAAAACTTTGTTGCATAAAAGGCACATAGGCGATTGTTTGTCCGGCAATGATGGAATGAAGCCAAATTTCAAATAATCAACACTGTACTGTCTACATTTCTTTTTAGATTCGGACATGGCATCAGTCATCTGTGGGCAAAATTAAATTATTTAAATAAGACAGAAAATCCAGCAGCTGTATATTAAAAATATTTTTTGATTTTTCCGAAAACATTCCATAATTCGAACATCTTCTTGCAACAATTAGCTCGAATTACGGAGATTGCACTGTAATTATATTACCGATTGCTAAAACTTTCAAAAAGAAACTATTGAGGAGTACTCGTGTAATTTTGCATGATTGAATATTTAACTACTAATAACTAAAGTCATGATTGGCGTAATTTATCTATCTTTGCTAACTACGAGTACAAAACTAAAATTTAATAAAAAATAATGTACTTACTTTTCTCCAGCACTCTCAAACAAAATAACACTGACTCGCTGTAATTTGTGTGATATACTATCTGTTTATATTTTTTAAAATATTTTCTTAGCACTTTCCTTTTCAAGATTCAGGAAACGAATAAACGTATTTGTCCCACATTCGTATTTATAGAGTGACGAATTGAACAAGTCAGTGCAAAGTAGCGAAGCTCTGAGACTGCGACTCTCAGGTTTTTACAAGTTCAAAATGTATTGCGACCACAAAGCGAATACCAACATCCTACAACTTACACAATTTTATAAACATATATAATAAATTTTTTACTTCATAGATACTTTTATAAATAATGTATATGTTTTGATATTATAAGATAGTATGATGTGAGTAAATAGGTACTATCAGTGTATGTGTTGAGATCCACTATCGTGGACCCCATATTCATTTCATGGACCCCCAAATTTTTTTTCGCTGACGTAGACCCCTAGGGGTCGATATAGACCACTTTGGGAATCAATGATCTAAGCATTCAACTGTATTTTTAATATTCGCAAAATTTTCATAGTAATTGACAATTGTAGATTTCTCGTTTATCTGGTTGTAGCTGGTGCTTGCTGTAAGTGTGTTTTCAACAAAAGCATCTGAGGGCTTCGCCGGCGGCTGTTTGGATTTGATTTCAGTTAACTGCTGTTGATTTGATGACGACTCAAGACTAGTGTTAATCGGGGATATATTTTCATTACAATCTTCCCAATCTTGCGTGGTGTTAAGGTCACTTAACCGCTGTTGCGGTACGGATGACGGAAAACAGCTGTGGTCCACTGCATCTGTGAAAACATTAAATATTTTTGATAAAAAGTGTAAAAAGCAAATAGCGTGTGTCAACAAGTTTATTGGATAAGATCAATCTTTGAAATAGTCTTAATATTCGATTGAAATTTCCTGACATCACGTGAGGTCCAATCATGGTCACCTAGAGCAATATTAACTAGCTGTTCACTTGAAATCTACGATAACAAAATCCATTCTGATCCAGATATGTCCCGTAAACACAAAATTGGTAAAACATACAGGGCGTTCCATTTAAAAATTCAAAACCGGACCCCATTTCCGGTTAAATCAGAAGTGAGCGGAGAGTGAAAAAGATACAAAATCCTTTTCTAGTACTATTTATCTATACCAAATCTCATTTTGATATACCTTATACTCTAGAAGTTATGGGTTGATTAATAAGATCGTTTACACCCTGTACTGTTGACAGTTTCATTAAATAATGTATGCTTTAAAAAAATACAGTGTGACTTTTATAAATACAATATACATAATTTTACTAGTAAACAGTTGTTTACATACCTAATGTATATACTTACTTTGCTCGTTTGTTCTGGGGGCATCAGAGTTTAGTTCCTCAAGTTTTTTCATGATTTTTCGTCTTCTATTTGAAATCATACTGCTCACACAAACAAACAACACGGAAAAATAAGTATTATCTTTTCTCAAATAGTTTATAAAAGCGTATGCTCTAATCTTAACTAACGACTGTGAATCGACTAAAGCTAGTATGTATTAATCTGGTTTAGGTACTCGTATCGCGGAAGGAGCGAAATGTGAAAATGGGTATAAGTCAACTTAAAGCAGTTTTCACTATAAAATCACCCACAAAGATACAAACAAATTGTGCGACTAAAGGTTTAAGTAGATTTACACCTTTTTACACAGAATAAATCGTCGCCACAATGCAGAACTATTGTAAGTCGCAAAAAGTAAATTTTACAGGAGAAGGTATTTTTTGTTTTTTTCTTAAACTAAATTATATTTGTCAATGAAAGTCATGAATCTATATTAAAATTAAAGTACGAGATTAATGCTAATAACTTTTAGACTCTATGTTTATGAATAATCAAATTTATGGACTTACAATATTACATAACAATTTAGGTATTGTAAGTCCCTATTTGTGGACTTACAATAGATAATGAAATGTGACTTACAATAGTTCTAAAATAAAAGCAAAATCTTTGGTAAACAAAACTTATATTTCTTTAATGTTTTATATCATTTTATTTGTATATAAAAATAAAATATATAGGTATTTTAAGGATTCTATAACAACTTAAAATTTCCAAACAAAAACTAAGAAATTATGTTAAATTAAATAAAAGAACACACTGTTCAAAACTTACAATCTAATAGGAATCAGGATTTATAGGAGAAACCTTATAGGGACCTAAATTATACATTTTAGAATTAAACCTAAAAAAATAACATAACATGGAAATTTAACTAAGTATTTTAAAATAGGTTATTCACTGTCCTCATCGTTTTTATTAGATTGAGTTGTAAACGGTAAAGTTTTAAAAAAATCATGATACGGAGTAGTTATGACTCCTTTTTCACAGAGATAGATTAAATGGTCATACTTTTTCTTTTGAAGAGGAATTTTTTTATCATAGAGACATTTGAGGTGCACAATCACAAACCTGAATATTAACTTTTTTCCTTCCCTTTTCTAACAAATTTATTTTCTTAAAAGTACCGTCATACTGTGTTTTAAAAAATAAAACATTTGAGACTTTTGGATCAAACATGACTATTTTAAACTTATTTGTGTAAACTTTATCGTTATCCTCGTCTCTATCAAAATTAATAGCTGTTTTTATTTGAAGATCTTTTAAGTCATATACCTCATCTTGAGATAACTCATGGACGCAATATAATGGTGATTTTTTCTTAGCCGTTCTTACTAGTGTATACCATTGATCTGGTGTAAATATTGGAATGTTTCTGGAGGCCCTTTCAATGACGCTATCGCCTTCAGATTGGGTATGTCCAGGTTCAAGAAATGTATGGCGAATTGTTATAGAGTATTTCTGCGATAGTTCTGTGGCTTGGATAAACAAGGGCCAATCTACGAAAATCAAGTTTGGAGATAATTTAGGATTTGTGAATTGGAACAAAATTATTTCTTACGCAAAAATCCTTTATCCGAATTGAATGAAATTTGGGTAGCATGTAACTGGATGTGCTATGATCCAAAATATATTGAAAATTCGTAGAAGTATTCATTTATTCACATATTTTTGTTTGTTAGGCCCCTACAATTTCGGCCTAACTCACATAGACCCTATATCTAATATGCACGTAGGCCCAAGAAAATGGTATATAAGCCCCATTGTAGGAAAGAGTATAACTTAGGCCTTTTTTGACTATAAAACGTTTTCCCCATTATGATTTATTTTAGCGTCAATAACAATAAAACACAGTTGGCAATGTCATATATTTTATAAAAGTATAGAAATAATCTCAAGAACTGTTTTCTAGATATTAACATAAACTAAAACTTTACTTTTTTTTACAATGGCAAAAAAATGAAAAAAGGCTTATTCATCATATTGTAAAATAGCTGTCGGACATACATCTTCATCGGCAGCTGTTTCTTCTGATTTGAGATTAGCATAAAAAAGCCGACAATTTAGGTGTATATATTGTATTAACGTATTAATGTCGTCCAATTTTTTTTTTGGAAGAGGCAACGGGTACGAATTATGTAGCCTTTCCAAAACGAGTTGTGTCTCATCTGGCTGTCCTTTTTTCTTCTTTGTTATATCCCAGACTTTGAAATCTTCTTTTGCCAATAAGCCTTCCTTGTAGAAAATTTTTCCAGGGTTTTCCTTCGTGTAGAGGAAATAGTTTGCTTTCAAAAAAGACATTTGCTCTCCGTCCGCGTTTTTCTTTCTATTCACAAAATACGCTTTCTGAAGAGCGCTTATATTGTAAAAATCATCCTGAGACATGTCAATGACTTTAATTCCTCCTTTTCGCTGAATGCTGCGAACCAGAGTGGACCAGTCTCTGGGTATTTCTATATCCATTGTTGTGTGCTTTTTAGCTTTTTCTATTGAAGCATGAATCGAGTCTGCTTCCAAGTGAGTATGACCGGAGATTAGGAATTTGTGGTGGACTTCTTTTAGCATGTGGTTTGGTGGCAAAAGTTGAAACACCTTGGACAGTAGAGTAACAACATGAATGTTTTTATTTTGCCCTGAGCAGCAATCACTATATAAATTTAGACAGGTTGCCTCTGGGGGCAAGTTTCTTATGTACTTAAGGAGACAGGATGCAATTTCCTGTCCTCCACGGTTTGAAGTGGTTTCGTCCCACATGAAACAAAAAGATCTATTTCCGTTGGATTTTGTAACCTCGTATATTGTTAGGTTGAAAACCCACAACTGCCTTTTATAAAAGGCAATTCCACTTTTTAGGTGGGGAGTCGGTAAACATTTTTGTAAGTCGAACATTGCCGTTACTATAGTTTCATCTTGTTTACTTTTTTCTTTGTCAATCCTTTTTGCATTGTACGCCTTCTCTGCTGCATCTAAATGTTCTTTTTTTTCTCGTTCGTAGTCTATTTTTCCTTCATCAGCGGAAGATTTTATTAAGATGTTTAACTTATCGCACTTGCTGCAGGTATCGTTATGGGGTGGATGAAACGAAAGGTTGAAATTGGACACAAAAATACTTCGGTAATAGTGGTCAGACACCGGAGTTTTTTCCGCTTCTTTACAATATTCGATATAAAGCCTATACATTTGTTGAATGCTTAAATCGGGAGATAAGTATCGTTTCTCTGAATGCGATCGAGAATAATGACTCTTGTAAGCTGGAAATTTAGAGATATGTTGGATTACAAAACTTTTATCTTCATCTGATATTTTATGGTGGTTGCCATGCTTCCCTCTTTGGTCTGGTCCACATATTCCGCTTATAGAAAGCCTACACTTCTCAATCGTATATCTTACTCTTTTAAAACTTACATCCAGAGTATTCATAAACATCACCTTACAAACTTCTATAGGTAATCCTCCTTTGTTCAGTAGATAGGTATGACTAAATGATCTTCTGCTGTCTTCTTCAAGTTTAGTGCATCGACGCTTTTTAAATTCCCTAACTGAATTTGACAAAATCTGAGTTTGTTCATTATATGTCAAAGAATAAAAGTCTTTAAAAATACTTATCCTTTCCTCATGGCTAAATTTTTCATAGCACTTTTTCTTGCATCTACATGGTTCTTTCAAGATTTTTGCCTGGACAATTTTATTCTTTTTTGTTTTATATTCTTGGCCATTTGCTCTTGCAACCTTCCTTTTAGATACTTGCCACCCTAACTCATTTCTGACTCTTTTTCTTGACTTTTTTTTCCTTTTTTGTGTTTCTCTCTCTGACTCGCTGGTTTCATTGTCACTTTCTGTTCTGTAAGAATTATCTGAATCAGTAGCAAAAGGATCGGTTATGTCGCTTTTGTTGTCCCCTACGTCCTGCAAAATATAAATCTATAGTTTAAATTTTCCTTCAAATCAATTAACTTACAATTTCCATATTTTGTTGATCAATATATTGAAGTTTTCCTTGATCTTGATCGGTAACAACTTGCTGGTTCACAGAGGAACAATGTGGTTCCTGGAATATATAGTATTTTCAATTTCAAACTTATAATGCTACTCTTTTGTAAGGTTAATGATGGATGATCTTAATATACACAACATAGCTAATTCCACTTTCCTCATCAAGATACTTACAATTTTCATTGTTTGTTGATCAATAAGACTGGTATTGGTCTTGATCTTGATTGCTAACCACTTCCTCGCTAACAAAGTCTCTTACAAGTTCCATTGGTTGTTGATCAATAGACTGGTATTCGTCTTGATCTTGATTGTTAACAACTTGCTCGCTAACCAAGCCACAATGAGGTTTCTAGAATCACTATATTTTACAATTTTAGCTCCAAAATAATAGGTACTATTTTACACGCTATGTATACCAGCTCCGAAGAAAAAAACTTACTTGAATAACATCATTTTTCAAAATGATGATCTTCTTATTGTCATCGGTTGTGGTAGCTACATCGTCATTTATGTTAGAATTTTCCGTTTTATTTTTCTTAGCTATATCTACCATCCTCTGGCTTCGTGACTGATGTTTCTCATTGTACAAAGACATTTTAACTTTTGGTTTATGTTTGCATGTTCTACAATAATAATATACTCTACGACATCTTAAACATTCTTTCAAGTACTCAAACTTACCTTGAACAAAAAAGAATGCAGCAAAAATTGAGAATTTATCACAAAACAGTCACAAAAAACGTGCCACACACACCTGTTCGTTAGATAAAATTTTGAGGTTATGTTTTTACCGGCAATTGCGCCGAGGCCTATGTTACACATCAGATACACACAATAAATACGTTTCAAAAAGGCCTATGTGGCAAATCCGACCAAAAGCGGAAAGCTATTATGTCTTTCTGTTGCACAGAGGCCCTTTTCAAATGTGTGTTTTTGAATAATGAAACGTCCCAAATTGACATAGACCCAGAAATTTCAATGCACTTTGAATAAGTGGCAGTTAGGCCCTAAGCATTTAAATGAAAGGGGATATTTTAAAGACCCAAGGTCTCATAGGTCTCTATTTTCTGGGCCTATTAGTCACTTAGGCCGTTTTATGCTTATAAATTAATAATATATTTGTTACATGGGACCATTCAAAAAGGCGCAAACGGTAGATTGGACTTTACATTTTATATCTTGTAGTTATCTACTAGGATTATTCTCTTGGGACCATTTTCATTGGAAAGAGAGTCATTCGATCAGTAAGATAGGCCCTCTAGCTAAATTTCTGCGAATTTGTACATAGGCCCTTGTTCGACCAAGCCACAGAGTTATATAAAGCAAAAATAAATTTGTTTCAGTTTTGCCCGGCGCCATTGTCCGAATAAAAGGAAAACTCTCTAGCTCCTTTTTTACTTGACTTTCAACAAAGAGCAACAAACAGCTACCTATTTCAGATGAGCCCCTTTTACCAATTGACTCATACCACATATAACATTGACATTCGACATTCTTTAGTGGCTAGGTTAAAGATTGTAAAATTATAGGTAGATAATTTAAGCTTATAATAGGCCAAACCTACATTTGATTGGGGTACTGGCAGAACTTGTTGAAGGTCATAAACAGCCACACACAAAGATTTTTTTTTGAGAACCCATATCATGTCTTTTTCTTTTAACTCTCGAGTAATTTTTTTATTTTTGTCGTGCAACAAATACTGCTCTTCCATTTTTGCTTTTTCCTCCACCGATGAGTTGTCATATTTGTGACAAGTATCGCACAAATCTTTTTTGGGTTGGAAAAATGAAAGGTTAAATTCCCTGTTAAATATTTGCCGGTAAATACTTTCAGAAGCTGGTTTAGCAATGTGATTTTCTGTACAAAACTCTTGATAAAAAGTGTACATTTTAGAAATATTTAAGGAAGATGGTAAATACAGGGTGACTTTGAAGTCGAGTCATTAATTTTCAGATAATGATTGTAGAAGGAAGATAAACCAAAATATGTGTGTAAAAATAAAAAAAAATGTTTACCTTGTTTTATAAAGTATCCTCCCGACAAGTATTTCAGTGCGGACCTGTATTTGATCGTGAGGTCCCCTGTTAGGTCTTAAGTCACCTGATTCACGAGCCCGTTGTACTACATTAACAAAGGAACGAGGGGTTGGTTGCACTCGATTGGGAAACCGATCCGCATAAACATGTGCCATTTTTTATTTCGTTTGAGCCACGCAACAGACACTATTCACACGCGACTGACACTGACTGTATGTATAACTGAACTGAATGAAATAATTGTAAAAAACTCGTTCCAAATTCTTTCGCTTTTTTGTTTCCGATGCGATGAACCGATAAGGTGGATTATATCCGTTGTTGCCAAACACAAGCACATGATATTATTATTGAGACAGGGCGGTACTCAAACTTCCAAAGGGCTATAACTTTGTTACTTTAATTTTACCAGAAAAATGGTAAAGGAAAAAAACATTTCTTTTGATCAGATCTACTCACTATTAAAATAAATGACTCAACTTCGAAGTCACCCTGTATATTAATATATTCAGTAGACTTTCGGCAGTGGCTTTCGATCGTTTCGAAGGAATTTATATGAGATCTTACCGAATCTTTAATTGTCTCATCTAGCTGAGAGTTTTTACAGGCTTTGCCTCTTCTATCTTCGGTTACCACACCAGTACTTCCCATCTTCTGAAATACGGTCTCTACCATCTGTCCACTTATACTCAACGTATTTAGAAAAAATGTTTTACATACTGGAACTGTTTTTTCGTTGTATGTGAGCATGTATCTATAAGTAACTAGCCTTCTGCTAGCTAAGTTGTCATGTTCTGATTTTTTTGATCTCGGACGAGAACGTTGTGTATTTTGAACACTAACCTCCTTGGCAATATAATCACGCTGTCTATTAATGTCCTGTAAATCCCAAAAAGCTTTAAATATTGCAGAGCGTTCTTCTTCTGAGAAGTTCTCATTGCATCTCTTTCTACAATTTTGACAAGCCGGCTTGATACTCCTTTTATTCTGAAAATTTCCATTCCAGTTTTTGTATTCAGCTCCACTATTCCTGGCAGATTTAATAATATTTCTTTTCCAACCACTCTTCTGCCTTTTCCTTTTCCTTGTTTTGCTTTTACCCTCAACATCAGCCTGATTTTCTTGCACATCCTCGTTTTCATCCGAGGGAACGAAATCGGGATCTTCGCTACTGAATTCGCAAACGGATCTTCTAACTCTGATCTTAAAGATAGTTGATCACTTAGCTCATGATCTTCGACATTAACTTGTTCTTCAATATCGTGTTTTTGTTGTGCAAATAGCTCAGAGCCATTGCTTTGGAGGGAGTTAAAGAGGGAGCCAAAATTTGTATCAGCAATTAGCGTCGTTGTTTCATATGGAATTAAAGATGAAGGAAGTTGTATATTAGCGGAGTCCATCATAAGTTTTGAGAAACATTTCTCTTTGGAAAAATGAGGATCTGGAAGTAATAAATAAAGGGTTGCTTTTATTTTTTCTAGATTTGTCAGAGTCTAAGTTTTATTACGAACGTTAGGGTTACTAGAGTCCGCCAAGTTAAGGATTGGTACAGCCACGTGTTTCAAGCTTGCCGAAGTTTTTACCCTATTAAAGCCGCGGTAGGTAATAGTGGCGTGCCAATATTTTCATATACAGTAAAAATATATCATAAATCAATAAACGAAAAACTTTTGTCACTCCAACCAATCACGCCTTTACAAGGGTAACAACTTCGGCAAGCTTGAAACACGTGGCTGTACCAAAACTTAACTTGGCGGACTCTAAAACTTTAAAAAAATTAACAAAAAAGTTTTTTGTTGGTTTAAATATAATATACTACTACCTAATTATAATTAAGGATAATTAAAAAAAGACAAAAAAAAATAATTTAATTTTATATTATGCCCTTTTTAAATATACCTAAATGTAAAGCAATGTTTAAAAAAAACATAATTTTTAGAGCCTTACCTGGGGCATTAGTGAATTTTAAATGTGATGCTTCTGGTAAAGACTGTGAAAAGTTGACATTAGCATCACATATTTCGGGTTCTCCTGATTTGGTATTATTTTTTGCAGGAACCTGACTACTGTTCAAGAAAGACAGAGGTTTAAGTGGCTCTAAAACAAAACAAGCTTTTTAATAATTATAAAAACTACATTATATTCTAATATTAGATATTAATCTAATAGTAGAATTAGTAAATAATAATATAATAGTAAATTAATAAATAATAAAATAATAGTATAATAGTAGACTCTTTAATTAAAATTTAATAACTGGGATATTAACTTACCTCTTTTATCACTGGATGTTTTTTTCAACAAATCAAAAATTTTATCTCTTCTGGTAGTCATTATTAATAATAATTTTTTAATTTTCACTGTAATTTTCAAATAATTCTAAGTCCGTCAACCCAATATTATATGTCCAGGCAAACAGGTCAGAACTATTCTAAGTCCACATTTTCTCTCAACATACAATACCCTCTCTACTTATCGTAGTTCTGCACCGGACTGACGCGCCTTGGGCTATTACACCACATATATCAAAAATCGAGCGGAGGGGGGAAATGCTGCGCGTGGACTTACAATACTTCTGCATCCAATAAATATGGCTTCAAGCTATTATGTAATGTAATAAACGCATTTTCTCAAAATTTGGACTTACAATAGTTCTGCATTGAGGCGACGAAATGCTTAACGTATTCAGAAAATTGTGGCATATGTGTACATATATCTGTTTCCGCAATAAAATACCTAAAAAAGGAAGTTATATCAAAATACACAATAAAAAGCATCATTTTTACGGCTTCTAGACTTATGCCGTTTTCCACTAAGCAAGATAAAAGTATATAAAATTTGCCAGTGGACTTAACTCATTTTTCACAATTTTGGACTTATACCCGTTTTCACGCCGGACCGCCAAATGTCCTTCTGTCTGGGTATACCCATTGGCGAAATCTGTCGCGATAAATTTCAGCTGCAAGATTTGAATTCTGTAAATTAAAACGACGACGTACGCGAACAAAAACAAAACAACACACTAACCACTGTTACAGTTTGCGATCGATTGCCGGTTCGATAAGAGTGATGAAAAACTTAATGCCATTTATTTGTTAATTACCTAATTTAAAAACGTTGTAGATTAGATTATAAAAATTAGTAAGATTGTGGTCGATATAAAGCACTTAAAGTTGTAAAGTATAAAGCCATTTAGACAAAAATCTATTGACTTTTGGACCATGGGTCATATGAACTTTTGAACTTGACTTTTACACCCTGTATTACTGAATGATTTGGTAAAATACACTTGAATGTAAATCACTCTGTACTTTGTTTGTGGAAGTCAAATCTCAGTTAAATTGGTAGGAATAAATGCTGTTTCATCTCTTTGATATAGGACACAGCCTCCATCTTTAGGATAATACTTGGCTTTATGCCTATTCAAACATTTGATTGGAGAATGGACACATGCAACACAAAAAAAATCCAACCAATTCATCCAATTTATATAAGTAAGTTGCAGGGTCCTTCAATACATCGCAAACAAGTGGTGACCGCTATTGACTGATCTTTATACAAAAGATAATCAATAAGAATAAATAAAACTTAATATATAAAAGTGGATTTATTTTGGTCTTCCTCTGCCTTTGCCGCCACCTCCTCCAGCTTTTCCTCTTTTGTTGGGGGTATTTTTCTTTTCATCAACTTTTCTTTTAGCTGGGGTAGTGGACAACACTTGGAAAAATCCATCTAGTCTACCTTGTACCTGGCCACTCTTTGCTTTTAACAGTTTTTTACAACCATTTCTCACTCTGTCTTCACTGAACTGCTTCTCCTTGCATAGAAATTCCACCATTGCTTCTTCATCTGGTTCTCCCCATTTTAACTAGAAAAAAATCGGTTAAATTCACGAGATAATAAATATATAAATAAATAAATAAATAGCGTTTATTGCCCAACAGTTAAGGAAACCATTTACAGGACAAACCTAAGACAAATCAAAATAACAAGAACAGAAAACATCTAAAGAAAAAAACAAACAAGAAAAAGAAGCAAAAAAAATACATATTTCACTCAGGTGAGTAACATATCATAAATTATAGAAGCAATTTCTATCTACTCCCATAATGCTGTTCAAACTGTCAGCATGTATATCACAATAATTTGATATCGGATTGAAAGTTTCACACACATATATGGGTGCCTTCAAAAACAAATTTGTGCGAACCCTGTCACAATAAAATGTTTTAGCTGTACGAGTTTGAATAGATGAAACATTAAAGTTTATTTGAGCCACAATCTCATTAGCATCAATTTGATTGTGCAAGAACATAATTGATGCACGTTCCTTCTCAGTTCTAAAGACTGCACTTGAAACCTAGACAATAACAAACTTTCAAATATACCACGTTCAGGATATATACCAAAATCTTTAAAAGATAAAAATTTTAGAAACTTTCTCTGAACATGCTTAAGAGAATCAATGTAGCAGTTGTACATTGGGTTCCAAATTAACGATGCATATTCCAATTTCGATCTAATATATGCAGAATACAAAACCAACAGTGACTCTGGACGGCTAAAGCTTCTACAGTTTCTCACAATAAAACCGTACGCCCGCGAAGCTTCTCACCTTTTGAGCTATGTGGAGTGAAAAATTAAGTTTATGGTCAAAAACTGCACCCAAATACTTAACTGAGTTATAACGATTTATGTAAGCATCCCCATTTTTATAATTAAATTTACAAGCAGAAGTTTTCCTGGAAAAGCTGACTACACTTCACTTAGACGCATTAAGAAATAAATTATTCTCATCACACCAAGCCACTAGAGAATCAATATTACGCTGAAGTGCAATACAATCAGTCTGAGTCAATAATCCTGAATTAATTTTAAATCATCCGCAAAGAGGAGCTTTTTACAACTTAAATAATGCACAACATCAACAATAAATAAGGTAAACAATAAAGGACCAAGATTTGAACCCTGAGGAACTCTCGATTTAGTTATATACTGGTACGACTTGAATCCATTAAAAGTAACATATTGCATCCTTTCATGAAAATAACTTTAAATGAGTGCTAAAGCGGATGAATGGAATCCATAACAAAAAAGTTTATTCAAAAGTATGCCATGGTCCACCCTATCGAACGCTTTAGCAAAATCGGTATATATACTACATCTAGTTGACCTTGCCGATATCGACACATTCAATAGCGAACTGAGTGAAGATTGTTAAATTAGTTACTGTGGATCTCTTAGTAAGAAAACCATGCTGGAAAGGGGACAGAGATCTATGAACTGCGGAGTAAATTCTATTATGCAATATTATCTTCAGCAATTTGGAGAAATTCGACAATATTGTCACCGCTTAATATCAGTATTATCCCCTGATTTGAAAACAGGCGTCGCTCCAGAAAGTTTCTAAATATCAGGGAATGTGTTGGTTTCTATAGTCAGATTGTATATTTTTAATAACAGTTTAACAAAGAGATGAATACAATGTTTGACTATGAACGAGGGGATGTTGTCTGGGCCGGCCGTTACTCTATTCTTGAGTTTTTTAGATGCAACAATAATCTCATTTTCATTAATGTTATTGAAAAATATGTGAACCTGACTAGTAGGATTCCTGCCTTCAATAAAATCATTACGAGTAGATGGATCAACAAAAACACTTAAAAAAATCTGCAAATGCATTGACAGCACAGTAAGGATCGTTCAGTGAGACGTCAGTCAACTTCATTTTATGAGGAATCTTAGTAGTTCTAAGCTCCAAAAATGTTTAGGATCTTGAAAGATGGACATCTCAACATTACGTGTATAATTTTTATGGGCCACAGATATTTGACGCTTTACCTCAGATCTAAGACATTTGTACTGTTCATGTATATGGTTATTGTGACTCTTTTTGTACTTCTTGTATAACTTTGCTTTATGCTTGACTTTCCTAATAAAAGGAGAGATTTAAAAAAAAAATCAATATTGATTATTTCGCCCGAGATAAAAGATTCTAGCTATGATCAACTCTAGGGCATGCAGAGTACATAGAAATATATAATTGACTGCAGTGGAGTGCAGACAAATATCATGGTCGATGAGCATAGGTCACTTCTAACAAAGCAGGAGCGAATCTTACTTTACTGCCTGAAAATCTTGCCCTGCTTTTACAAGGTCATAGATAAATTATTTAATGTGAACTTTTAAATGCTCTTGACATTTTAATGCTTATCTTATACCCACCTCAAACGATTCTGGATCAGCAATTTCTGGATTCAGGAACAATTCCCTTGCTGCTTCATATTCCCAGTTCTCAGGTGCCGTATATTTATCCTTATCTAAGGCCTGGAGAATGCCTTCAATCGATTTATGTTTTTGAACAAGTTCTATGGCTCTTTTTGGGCCTATACCTCTAATGCTGTCTGTATAATCACATCCCATCAGTATGCAGAGATCTATGAACTAAAAAAAAAACTAAAGAATTTCACATGAAAAACAAATTTGTTAATAGCATTGAACCACTCAGAAGACCTAAGTTTTTTCTAATATGTAATACACATTTTACTTACTTCTTTCTGGGTTAATTGCAGTCCATCAAGTACTTTATCCAGATGAATTTCTTGAACAGGCATCTTCCTAGCTTCAGAAAATGTTAAGCGACGTAAGAGTACATTAGATCCAAAGGTTAATGCATCCATATCTTCAGTTGCTGTGGCAAACACTTTACCAGCTTTCACCTAGATGAAAAGAAAAAATTTAAAAAGTAATTCTGAGGTTATCAAAAAAAATAATGGGCACATCCAGGAAATTGTCTACTGCAAGCGCGGATCCACGATTTCGTCTAGTGGGGGGCGCAAACGATCTTTGCGGCTGGTAATTTTTCTACCTCGGTGGAACTTCTATAATTTATTCTATTATTGCTCCTTAAATCCATTGTGTTCTATCTGTTCAATGCCAACTTGAAAAAAAATATGGAAAGTGCTCAGAAATCCTCAGAAAGGCAATAATTTATTATATGAGAACAAAAGAATTATCTAGCATTTATAATTAACTAGTGTAATAGTATTAAAAATTAAAACATAAAAAACTTCATTGCTCTGTTAAGCAAAAAAGCCATTTTGAGGGACCCCGAGACATATCCTAGCCGTTCCACACATAACAATGTCTTTGATGGCGAAAACGAACATGAGCCCGAAAAATTCACATTATCGTATGGACGCTAGACGAGACAAAGAAGGATGTCTTGAGACCGTCTCCAGACTGCCTATAGACAAATTGCACAATGGGGTCTACTAGTGTGTACTAAGCTTAACCCTTTCAGTACGGCTGACATATTTATACGTCAGTTATAGGATATACCCACCGACCGGCTGACGTATATATCCGACATCGATGAATTACATCCATTGGCCTATTGCCTTACGGATGCGACACCTTTAGAAACTTGCATTTTACCACAGACGAGCGTCGTAATATTATGTTTCGCTCACCGCTTACCTGGACGACGGAAGATTTTGGCTTTGCCGAAAATTAACGACATCCGGCTACACCGTCTAACGTCTGTATCATGCTTGCGATTTTTGAAACAGAGCATTAGACTGTGATTAGTCTTACACAAAATGGCGTAGGAAGAGCACGCTGGTCCCTCTGAAAGGCTCACACGTGGCCAAAAGCGTAAGCAACAACAACAGCAAAACCACTTCATTTTCAGGAATTGGTTCCAAGAAAAGAGGGAAAGAAAACTGCCACTAGGAGATGCTGAGTCTGCTCCCAGACAAAAGCAGGAACAAAGAAAACAAAGGAGAACAGCTACATGTGTAGAGAATGCGACGTTGGACTATGTGTAGTGCCCTGCTTTCGGTTTTATCATCAAATAGCCGACTTTTAAAAATTAACTTGCTGAATGTTTTTTTTTTGTTCAGTCCTGAGCGTTTTTATTATATTTTCAGCATTTAATGTTTTATTTTTAATGAGTAATAAAGTTTTCAAGCTGCATTGTTCCCTGCGTTACTGTACTTTAACCTTTATTATGGTGACGTATATATACGCCATCAGGCGCCCAGACAATGCAAAATGAGCCGGCCGTGGTGACAGTACAGTTAAAAAAGGTCCCGTACTGAAAGGGTTAAGGATTAATACTCTGAACTACCCGTTAAACAAATCAAGTAATTGGTGTAAATACTGACACAATCAAGCACGTCTGTTAGGTGATAAAAATATCAATAGGTATAGTCAATTATTTTTTGAAATTCAATATAGATGTTACAGTTATTCTTCAGACTTTCGTTGTAGAACTTAGATTTACGGCATAGTTGTTGCTTTCTTAGTTTTCAAAACAGTGTTGATCTATAAACTATATATGTTAGATCGTAATTATTTTGATACTGTATGTTTATACGAGACAAGAACAGGAATACAGGGCTGTACATATTCACGTGTAGTGCAGAAGCTCTGTGACTTAAATAAACTCCAATATAGCAACATAAATAGAAACATACGTGGGAAGAAATGAGGGACTTTGAGCAAATGTAGATTTCCAATGTAGGCGTTTATCTAACATATATAGTCTAATTATATTAGCAAATTTCCCCGAAATGATTGCAAAGTCCGGTTTTATTGGTGTAAGTTGTTCAAGGGCGCATTTTAAACATGGACGCATAAAATGGTTGCACCAATTTTTGTGAGAAAACTTTTTATTTGACAACAAAGAATGAGAAAACGTGTCTTTTGGGATTCAATCGAAAGTGTTGACAGGAACGAAAAAACTTTTTATGTAAGATTTTTAGGTATTTATGAGATCTACATAGTGAGAATCCACGTGAGAAGATCCGATTAATAGCAAAAATGTTATGCCCGAAAAACCAGGCAAAATGCAGGTTTTGGCACTTGTTGGTAATGCGGCGATAATTTTACGCAACTACTTGAAATTCTTCAAATCCGCAGAATTCATATTTCTGAATAACAACAGCAAAATTGGAGTATAGTGGTCAAGTAGTTTTTTGAGAATTTATAATTGTTTATCCCAAAACACCTGTTTTCCGGACATCAGTGCTAGTTTATTGAGCTATATACAGGATTAGTTCAAAGAGCATTTTACAGAAAAGTACACTGATTTACCTTGCCGATATGAATTACAAACCATTCCGAAAGATAAATTTCATTTTTATGCGAAAAACAACGTTTTTTCTTCAAAGCAAATTCAAACATTTCGTATTTGTGAGTAATTAAGCAAATGCGCTACGATATTCGAAATACATACGTTACTATACACATTTTAAAACAAATCTGATGTCTATCATCTTTTGTTGCGAATTACTCACAAATACGAAATGTTTGAATTTGTTTAGAAGAAAAACGTAACCCATCCTTTTTTTGCATAAAAATAACATTTATCTTCCAGAATAGTTTTCGATTCATATCGGCAAGGTAAACTAGTGTATTTTGTTAAATAAACTAGTAGTGGTGGCCGGAAGATAGGTGTTTTGAAATAAACAATTGGAAATTCTCACAAACTACTTGACCAATCTACTCCAATTTTGTTGAGGTTATTTAGAATTGCCAATACTACGAATTTGAAGAATTTCAAACATCTGCGAGAAACCGTCGTCGCATTACCAACACGTGCCAAGACCTGCAGTTTGCCTCGGTCTTCGGCGATAACTTTTTTGATATTAGTCGGATCTTTTTACGTGTGGTCTCATTTTGTAGGTCTCATAAATACTTAAAAATCTTATAAGGAGAGTTCTTTCGTCCCTCCCAATTATTTAGATTGAATCCCAAAAAACACGTTTCTTATTCTTTGTTGTCAAATAAAAAGTTTTCCCACAAAAATTGGTGTGCCCATTTTATGCGAATACCTCCTTGAGCAACTTGCAGCAAGGAGACCAGACTTTAGAATTATTTCACAAACTAGGGGTATCTTCGTCTAATATGATTAGACTAATAGTGCTTCGCTGCAACACCAACCCTGAACAAAATCAGTCAAACTTTACACACAGCTAATATATTGCTTAGGTTTAGATTTGTCACAAGTCACAATACGTATAAATCGTAAGAACTGTGCTGTAAACGTAAGTGATGTCGAAGAGGGACAGCATATGCAATACCAAAAATCGCAATTCTCAGTTCCTATAGCGATAACTTATAGTTAGTATGTCTCTGTCGCCATGATGTGTCGGAAAGCAACACAATGGCGTTAGCTTACAATAGCAAGTGTAAGACATCAAAGGGGTTGATTCTGATGTGATAGATGGACTGAGCCTCCAGAATAGAGGATATACCCTATTTCATGAGTAACCATCACACTTTGACATCTACTGAGGTAAACAGATGATCAGCAAGTAACACTTTTGTGTTAGTCTGCAACAGTGGCAATAATGAAGCCAGTGTAAATCTAGTAAAACTTGTTTGTAGCATTTTTTTGTATTCAAATGAACTTTTCTAAATAAAAGAGCATTTAGCCAATACAAAATGAATCATTACCATACAAGGAAGCAAAAAAATATGGCTGTCGGACAGATCCCTCAGAATTATGTGCCCTTTACTGTTATGGGGAATTTTGAAATATTATTAGATAATCAGCTGTCATTCTACAGTAATGGATACTTGTGAAAAAAACTAAACTGATGAGTAGCCAAGAAGCACAAAGTAGCTGGCCGTGGTTGGCTGTCTTTTTGGTTTGATGGCAACTAAAAAGTGAACAGAAAACTTTACTTTTTTATTATTTTGCCTTATAGTAAAATTACAGTGTCTTATTTTTATGCCCTTAAAAATTTATTTTTAGAATCTTCATTCCTTTATATCAAATTTCAGAATGTCAGGCCAAGTTATTCTGGAAATGGTAATAGTGAAAGCTTTTATAACTCTACTTATAAGTGAAATTTTCCGTATGTATATTACCATAGCAGCACATTGTGCTTCAGCTTCACATGGGGCGTCAATGTATGGAATTCCCATCAATGACAACAGCTTCTTTGCTTCTTGAGCATGCTGCTTGGTGACCTTAACAAGCCTACGATTGAACTTATCCATTTCTGCTGCATCCCCAGCTTCGGTAGCTTTTTCTAAAGCCTTCTGGGCTTCCTCTCTCTTCCCCTGTCTTTTGGTCAGCTCGCCGGACTTCAATACTGGAGGTTTTCCATCGAAAATGTACACTGGTTTAAGACCATTCTCCACTAGTCTGATGGTACGGTAAAAGGTACCAAGCAGATGTGAGGTGGTTTCACCATCTGCAGTAGCAAGCTGGGCCCCTTCTGTTCTTACGGCAATAAGGAATTGGTAGAGACACATGGAAGCGTCGATAGCAACTTTGCGTCCTGAAGAAATTGCAATCATAGGGAAAATCATTTGGATAAAATAGACTTACCAAAATAATTCTTTAGCTCTGTCTCTTTGATGGCCTGAGGTGCGACGTCAGCCAGAAGCTTAGACAAATTTAAAATTCCCATGGTTTTATTATTTTCAAAGCAAAATTATAAAATTTACAACCAAACATGCAAAATATTCGTTCTTTCCCGCCTGTTTTTTCGGTTCCCGTTCCCCTGGTTATAGATGATAATGATTTAAGATGTGTGATTTGTAGACTCAAGAAGACACGAGTTCCTATCTGCCATTTTGGTTCCTACATATGAGTAGCCTTAACATGAAGGTTCAATTATTTAAGTTGAAACTGATCCCGTTTTATTCACAGAAGTAACAGCATATTTGAAATATTCTCCTTCATCAGTAGGAAAAAAGCGTTTTTAAAATAAATCGGAAACAGGAATTTATTAACGTGAACATATTGACTCTCCCCTGTAGTTCATGAAGTATGACGTGACCGTGCAACTTCCCTGTGATTGACATTGACAATTGTGACAGACGCATGGCATCTTTCATCTTTGTCATTTGTCAGCTGGTAAAATTCTTTCTTATTTGTGACGGAAGAAAAACAATCTTTTTTTAAAGTAGGTGGAAAAATAATCTGAATTTATCAAAATAATCCCGCACTCTTTTCTTCATTAACTTATGTGAACATTTTCTTAAAGCCTTGCAGATTAATTTTCTCTCAGTTGCAGTTGTGATAGTGCTTTCACTGATTAGAAAAAATGCCTAAGGTTTCATAACCTTAGATCGGCCTATGCATTTTGAAACTTTTACTACCCCTATATATTTAGTTTTGTTTTTTCCAGGATGTTGATGCCCAAGAAAAACAGAGTAGCTATCTATGAATACCTATTCAAAGAAGGTGTTATGGTAGCTAAAAAAGACTACCATGCACCTAAACATCCTGAACTGGAGAACATTCCCAACTTGCAAGTGATCAAAGCCTTACAATCACTGAAATCCAGAGGGTATGTGAAGGAACAGTTTGCATGGAGACATTACTACTGGTAAGTAATCTTAGTGTTGCTGAGTTTAATGTGACGACCAAACTAGTGAACTTGTAGGTACCTAACTAACCCTGGCATCGAGTACCTCCGCACCCAGTTGCACTTGCCCCCCGAGATTGTCCCATCGACTCTGAAACGTCCCGCTCGCGCCGAAACTACGCGTCCAAGGCCTGCTGCACTTAGGTCAGAAACCTCCAAGCCTTCTGAAGATCGTGCTGGCTATAGAAGGACACCTGGAGGCCCAGGTGCAGACAAGAAGGCTGATGTTGGACCAGGTACTGGCGATGTAGAATTTAGACAAGGTTTTGGCAGAGGCAGGCCTCAATAAGTAACTTTTTTGTATTATAAAATAAATACAAGATAAACATTTTTTTGTGTATTATTGGACATTACCCATTTTCAAGTTGGTGTTGGCTACATTGTATTGGAGAACTTACATTTAATAGATGATGGGTGGTTATAATTTAAGGAAATAAATTGGAAAATAATCGTTTAGACCAGGGCTGTCCAACATATTGGCCGCATGCGGCCCGCGAACTCGTTTCTTGCGGCCCGCTTCACGGGTCATGTATACCATATGTAATATACCTATTAAAACTCTGTAATAATGTTGTATAGAAAGATTTTATAATGCGGCACTCCAAACTGCATTTTTTTTGAAGTGGCCCTTGGGCCACATTAAGTTGGACAGCCCTGATTTAGACTAAATAAGACTCAAATACTTGGTTCATAATTTTACTTATCACAGGGGTAATCTGTCAATGAATGTAGTCAGATTGTATAATTCAATCAGTATAAAAACCAAACAAGGTTCTGATTTTTTCAAAACATTTTTAATAGCTTTCCAGCATTTCTGCTCCTATGTAAAATTTGTACTCTAGCTTTTAGAATTTCAAATTAAATTGTTAATATTGGTAAAGAAAAGTGCCAGGAGTGGCTACTTACTGAAATGTTCAGTTTCCTTCACTAAACGTTATTGGAATCACCAACTTCACTTCATTAATTGGTTATAAAGAAAATAGCATTTATTTTCCAACACATACAATTGAAGGTGCAAACATGCATATTATAATGTGAACACATTACTGACAATGGTGATTTTAAGTAAGATTTTTTATCTAGCAGCAGTAGAATAAAATACTATTCTTATGATTATCTAGAGTTATACTGAATTTAACATGCAATAAAATATATGGAAAATCAATAATTTGTAAAGGAAAGTCCATCTGAGCTTCAAACTATCAATGTCAAAAAGATTTAGCAAAAAAATGTACTCAATTCCTTGTACTGGATGTGAGTGGCTATAAAGGAGTGAGTAATAAGTTCTGTTGAAAATGCACTTCATTTAAGATCTGATACAAAAATATTTGTCTTCAATTTGAATGAAGTTGTTCCTTAATGACTGTCTGCTTAAGTTATTCCTCTCACTCTTAAAAATGTTCAATGGACTGCATTCTTTTAAACATAAAAACACATACTTAGCCAACTTTAGTATTTATTTCACAACCTGCTGTACTACTGTTGATCCATTCAATCCACAATTTATCAACAATCTTACTCATGGTGACTTCTTGAAAAACGTCACTCCTACTAATGTCTTCAAAACCCATATTTCTGAACATTCTAATACTAATATCATTTATATAAGATATTTTTACAATGTATTCCTTAACAGCCAAATATTTGATGCCATACATAAACATTAACAGCATTGCTTCCCATCCACACTTGCGACCCCTTGCCCACGGTTCTGCGATCATGATTTCAGCTTCAGCACATATTCTGTCATCCGGGTTCGCAAAAAATAGGTTTGTATCACCAATCATTGCATCTGAAAATAGTGCAAATTTGAGATTCAAGGTCTAAAAAACAGAAAGCAGCAAAATGCAATTTTCCACAGCAAATAATGGATTCAGTATTACAATTTTGTTTTTTAGTATTTGACCAAAGGTGAAAAGTGTTTACCAAACTTAAAATTTTGTGATTGCAATCAAATAAGCAGAGCTCTCTTACCTATCTCATTTTTAGTTTCTTCATATTTTCTTTTATCCAGGATTATGAATGTGCATTCTAGAACAATAAAAAGTATTGTTATATATATACACATATAAATACACGGTGACGGGTAAATAGATACGGAGCCGGTGGGGGAAGATAGTGCAAGCCAATCTGAGTCGATTTTACTATAGGAACTACTGTCCGAAAATTTGCCGTTTTCGAATTATACTAATTTTCATGATCTTATAAAATTAACATCCTTTGTACGTTAACCAAGTCATAAAACTTGAAAATTGGGTGTTTCATTTGATTTTTTTTTGGTTTTACAATAAAAATATTCTAAAATACGAAAATTGATACTCAAGTGTACATTATTGACGTTATCTCATGCAGTAAGCTTCAAAATAGTTCGATTTTTGTTAAAAAAATCTTCGTTCATCTCATAAGCTTCAGTTTACTAGAAAAAGTCGCATACAAATTTTTCGTACAAAATAATTAGAAAACATCTACGTTTCATTATCTTTCAAATTAGGTATAAAGATCACAAATCGATTAAGAATTGGCAAAAATATGACTATTATAAGAGGAGGAAGGAAAAAGCAATAAAAATACTACACTTACAAAATCATACCTTAATACAGGATAATTTGTTTGAAACTACATTTTTTATTTTTATAATACATTTTCAAATATGGCGCCCTCTATTTCTAATGCACACACGTGCTCTTCTTATGACAGCTGGTTTTACTACTGCCGAATTCCTAAGAGAGGCTTGAATTTCTTGTGCTGCATGTATTATCCTGTTTCTGAGGTCTTCTATTGTGGGGTACAGCATTTTGATCAGAGTATACTAAAGTTTTCATTGGACTCCACACAAAAAAGTCCATAGGTGCGAGATCGGGAATGCGTGCTGGCCATAGGATTGGTCCGCCTCTACTGATCCATCGATTCGGAAACTGCTCATTTAACCAATTTCTAACACTTAGTCTGAAATCTGCTGGGCACCAGTCATGCTGAAAAATCATTCTGAGTCTTGTGTGTAGCGGCACGTCTTCAAGTAATTCAAATAGAACATTTCTTAAGAAATTTTCGTAGGCTTCTCCATTTAAGTTGTCGGGTAGGAAATGTGGCCCCACCAAACAGTTATTTATAATGCTCATCCAGACATCCAGACAAAATCGCCTTTGAGATCCTTTTGGTCTCTTCATATGAGGATTTCCCACTGCACGCTCACGCCAATAGTGAGCGTTATGGTAGTTTGTTATGCCGTCTTTATCAAATGTTGATTCGTCGGTCCATAGAATTTTTCTTAAATAATTGCTATCTTCAACATCAGCGTTTAAAATAAAACGACAAAATTGCATGCGCCTCATGGGATCTCCTTCCTCTATGATGTGCACTGGTGTGTAGTGGTAACACATACTACACTTGCCATTGGGATAATCCAAGCCGTCGAGCCACAGCGCGAGTAGAGAGTAGGGTCTGTTTGGAAAATACTTAATATTTCTTCTTCTTCCACATCATGTCGAGGTCTACCTGCATCCTGCATCACCTGATATAAAATGAAAAAAAAATAACAGTTTTTTAGAGGAAATTGTTACCTAATAAACATAGCGGTAAGACTATGAGCTAGAGTTGGCAAAATATTTCTTAGAAAAAACGATACACAATGTGTGGATGTTTCCATCTTCAGAGCCGTGTAGATGCTCGTGTTAAAATTAAATGAGTAAACTCTTAATTAAGAAGTTCAATCAACTGTATCAAAACAACTATGTTACAGTATCATCAGTTCAGCCCACAGATCTCCAAGGCTCTATATAGGCCTTACTGAATGACTGATTATGATAAGTTAATAATTACCAATGATGCAAACTTACCTTGATATCTCACGACGGTACCGCGCTCTCGAACCCGACGGAACGTTTGCCTAAATACGCGGGCGTCAGGTAGATGACGATTGGGAAACATTTCCCCATACTCACGACGAGCTTCTTCAGCATTGCCTCTGGCATCTCCATAGTAGAAAAGGATATCGGCATATTCTTCGAAACTGAACGGCCGCCTCCTTTGTTCATCAGCCATTGTTCATCGATAGGTAGATCAACGAACAATCAAGTCACACAGCAGCCAAGTTGTGAGGAATCACAGAAAACAGGGTACAGTCTAGGTCGTCAGGAAAAGAATCACACACGGAAGTCCAACAAAACCCAAGTCGTTAGAAATATCAAAACAGCGAGCAAACAAACTCATCCGAACACAAGAAATCGCAAGAGCAGATTGAAGCGAGGGAGCGAAGAGGGTGACTAGTCTTACTTATCACACTATTCCCGTGGCAAAGTCCTATGTTCGCGGCTCTACCTGTTTCTTTCACTCATATCTTTGTCATTTCTAAACCGGTTTGTGACTTTGATACTGCATTTGAAAGGTGATGAAACGTAGATATTTTAAAATTGTTTAGCACGAAAAATTTGTAGGTGATTGTTTCTAGTAAATTGAGTTTTTGAGATGAACGAGGATTTTTTTAACAAAAACTGAACTATTTTGAAGCTTACTGCATGAGATAACGTCAATAATGTACATTTGAGTATCAATTTTCATATTTTAGAATATTTTTATTGTAAAACCAGAAAAAATCAAATGATTCACCCAATTTTATTTTATGACTTGGTTAACGTATGAAAGACGTTAATTTTATAAGTTCATAAAAATTAGTATAATTCGAAAAAAGCTAATTTTCGGACAGTAGTTCCTATAGTAAAATCGACTCAGATTGGCTTGTACTATCTCCCCCCACCAACTCCGCATCTATTTTTCCGTCACCCTGTATACTGTATAGATATGTACATTATGAAATTATATTGAGTGCTTTTATGCTGAACAGCAGTACCCATGGAATAGATAGGTTTGACAGTGTGCAATATTTAATTAACAGACTGCTGTTAAGCACACTACTCACATTCACTCAAAGCCTCTGGACTTCTTTACATTGGCTGAACATGCTCATTATGACAAATATCATAAGAAATACAAAACTACAGTACTGATAAAAAATTTAATGATTTTTTTGCCCATAAGGACACAAAATCTTTTTTAGGAATGGATAAACATTGAAAGATGTTGATGTCTAACTGATACAAATATTTGATTTTACTACACAAAATGCTACTTAAATAACTCCTCCTTTGCTAACCGAAGGTGATAAATCATTATGATGCAAAGAAACGTGAAAATGAATTTATATACTCATAAAACCTTTTTAATATTAGTAGCAGTGTCTACAGCGACTTACTATTTTCATCCATGAGCCAGGATCTTTGCATTGTATATTCTTCCTCTAGCGAGAGAGGTTCTGAGGCAGTTAACTGTTGTAGTTCTTCAGATTTCATCCATTCATGATATCTGTAATGAGAGTTCATAAAAACTCCGAAAATAAGCACAAAGGGCAAGTTGTCTTGTTCATGCCTCAAATACTCACTTAAGGACATGATGTTTTTTGTACGGTATGAGGATTACATTTTTACCAGTTATTACAGTATTCTTATTAATGTACATGGCTTATGAACCACTGTGTTTTTTATCACTATTTTTTAATGCCCTTAATGTCTGTTGTTTTGACGTTTAAATTTGAGCGGTTCCAGCTTTACTTGTAATGGCGTAACTCATGGAACAACACAATATTATGGGAATATGGGCATGGAGCGATCGACTGAACCAGATAGAAGGACCTATCCCTATTCGTAGTCCATTTACTCCCAGGCACAACAAAGATTCAGCGCGGCAATCGCGTAAGCCAGGGCCGTATGTTCCGCTGTTTGATTTTCGTCCGGCGGCGCGCATGACGTCACGCGGAGAGTGATTATCATTTGGGTTGATATGGATAACGTGCATATTTTCACCTAGAGGCCAAACGGCTGGACGGATTTTCACATATAAAGTGTCTTTGGATTCGTCTTAGCGGTGCGAGTGACACTAGCTACATTGAAATTTTATAAAAAAAATGGTGGATTTTAATAAAAGATTTCAACCTTGTAATTCCTACTTTATAGGCTACAGATCAAACGGCTTGATATATTTTCACATATGAGGTGTCGTTGGATTCGTCTCAAAATGGTGGATTTTAATAAAAGATTACAACCCTGTAATTCCTATTTCATAGGCTAAAACTTAAACGGCTTCTAGCTCCACAATAGAGCGTATCGTCTCTTCACTGTAAAAACATTACCTATATTTTAGTATGTTCTGTGGAGCAGGATTAACATGTTCATGTCATAATACTGTACTACATTTATCCTTATTCCACAGAACATCCTAAGTACATGTAAGTGTGAAAATGTACGCAACTCGAAAAGTAGAAAAATGGAGTTATCTACTTTTTGCTGTAAGGTGGTGGTATAACAATAAATGGAAATTACATAGCCTTTTTTTCCATTTCCTTTTACGATTTTTTCGGCCTTTCAAACTTTTATTCAGTTCTTTGATCCGGAAGATCATCCTTGACCAGAAAAACAGTTTTTTGGCTTTTTCAGGGCAGTCAATGTAGCTGCTCTTCAACAGACGTTCACCTATAAAATTTTGATTTTTTTGTCACTATTCCGTCCCCATTGAATGTAGTGAATACCTTGTTCAGCTTCTGAATTTGATTCATGAAAGTTGCGGAAGGTTTTGATAATCCACCCTCACTAAGAGGGTCTATCCATGAATAAGTTTCATTTGAGGAACTTTTCAACCTCTCATCCTGCAATTTATTGCAAACAAAGCCGGCCAAATTTTCCAACCCGTCATACTCGAGCTCATCTATTTTTTCCACTAAAACTAGCTCGGTATAGTCAGCTGATACTTCAGGTGCATTCAGTTTATTCTCGTTAATGATGCGGTTAGTGGCTAGTGGAATGTCTGGAGTATCCTCTGACTCTACGCTGCAATAGGTACTCTGCGTAGGCGCCTTCGTTTCGCCCCAACATATATGACCTTATTCTATACTTAAACTATAGAGGACTCGCCTGGCCATGAAGACCATCTTTTGCCCTAATTACTCCGAAAAAGTTTTCTATCACATCTTGATTAAGACGTCTTGTTAACAGGTATTGGACGTTGAAGCGTCGTTTCAGAACCTCTAGAGCTTTTTCTAGCAAACCCTAGCGCTTTTTACATTGACTTTGTCTTATCTTTTTGTGAGATGTAGGCATTTTTTTGCTAAAGTTTGGACCTTGAAGAAAACTGTGGAACTTCATGTCTGCAAATATTCCGTTTAGATTGATTGTCGGAATTACATCCCACAACAGCACACCACAAAACCACCAAAAAATAGCAACAAATTGAACTATATAGTATTAACCACGATACACGATACACGTGAACTGCAGTAAGGTTACGACAATCCTGCCACTGGTAACCACGAGCCGATAACTCTCCGGTTGACGTGCCGAAGCTCCGTCAATATGCGCAATATCCTATCTTCAGTGTATGTGTATCGTGGCCTAAGCGTTGCAATCAGAGATAAACCCTTCTGGTTGCAATCATTGACGTCTTACCTATAGACTAGACGTCAATGGTTGCAATAGCTATTAGTCATTCGGTCATAAAACTACGCACAAGTGCCGAATTCGACAGGACAGAACTCAGGCTCGTGGTATCGCCGCTCGCCGACACGGGCAGTTGCTGTTCACATTCGATGAATACATAGCGTGTGTTTATACGTTAGCATGTCGTCTACGGATACAGCATATGAAACTGAGAATATTTCTCCCAATGCTTCCTTCAACCATGCTTCCTCTTCAGTGATGTCTCCTTCCTGAAACGAAAATTCATGATATTGAAAGACGTGTGGCGACCAAAACAGGCTTATGTCCTAAGACAGTTTTCAACATGTTAAAGAATATAAAAAAACTAAAAAAATGTTTCCACCACACAAGAGGCTGCATTACACGAAGCTGTTGGATACAATATTGGGGAACTTTCTGAGAAGCCACTTGTATAGCTCCCAATCAATGCGTTTCCTGAAGGTGATTGAATGAGTGGTACGTCGGCTCCTCGGTACCATGCACGAGGTAGCCGTTTTGAATTACATGGTTTCACAATCGGATCCCACTGGTCGAATTCAACCTAGAATGACATGCTCGATGTTTGCAGTTGAAGTCTCCTGCCACAATAAGTGGACAAAAGCAGTCTAAATGGACTTCCAGATCGCCTCTTCCAGCCTGATACTACACCTGACATACACTGATGTGATTTTTAACGGTACACCTCCCGTCATGTTAATCACCACGGAAGCTACTCCGATGCCCTACATCTCTGCGGTTGTGGTTTGTGTTTCTGTGGTAGTCAATACCGCGTTTCACTAGCACCAGAGGTGACACTCTGTCAAAAATCAGGTTCTATCAACGCCAACTTGAGTCCTATCCCAGGGGGGTGAAACTCATATTGGCGAGTGGAAACAAGCAGTGTTGATGGTGCATGTCGCACCCTCAAAAAATGGCGACTTATTCACATCTGAATGAACAGATTTAAATTTCCGGCGGGTTTCTTCCCGTGCTCTTTGCAAAAATAACCTTACTTTTTTCAGCATTCAGCATGTAATTTTCTTAACATTTCATTTTAATTATTTAATTAAGTAAAGTCCCTATTATGTTATTTGAGCCATATGCATTTTGTTCGGAGTTGTGAAGTATAACAATGTAAGTACAAAAAGCTGTAATACCTATGTTTGTAAAAATACTATAAGACAAACTCCACATCAAAATTGTTTCTTTTTTAAGGTGATCCAAGTTATTAGCCAGGCTTCTGGCAGATCCTAAGGAAGATCAGAGATGCAGCGGTTACTCATTTTAGGAATGTAATATTTGAAGATTGTACCTGTTTGTAGCTCCTCATCACTCTTTGAACAGTGGAGCGCCACGAAAAGTTCAACAGCTGCTGTTGTCAACCCCTGAGGTCCTGAGAATTATCAGAAGCTCAGAGATTACTTCTGATCTAACCAAAAGATTCAACTCTGAAGGATATTTGCAGAACATAACATTTGTAAGTTTTTATATGACTCAATAACTAGTGATGATTTGTACTGCTTTTTGTCCAAGTTAGTTTTAAATCAGCTATTGTCAGAGCAGTAGGGTTGATATGTAAAGCTTACTGTAATTTTAATGAAATCAAAGCCCAGTATATTGAACAGTAACATGGGTGCCCACAGGGAGCTGTGGTAACAGTTAACTCTTGATGATGATCAGCACATTGAGAAAAATTCCTGTGAATATCTGTGGACAATCATATTATTGTTCTAATAAAAAAAGAAACCTGTGAAATGTAGTAACATATCAACACAATTAATTTTTTTTTCTAATTTTTGATTTATGCAGGTGCCAACAAAGGCTGGGGAATGAAAACATCTGGACCATAATGATGTTAATACTGATTTGTTTGTAGAAAAATGTATGAGATGTATATAAAAAATATATATTTAGGTATTTGCAGTATATGTTTTTCTTCTGAATCTTTCCAGATTAGTAAAGATATAAGTGATCTTATAACAGCTTGTGTTAACATACAAAAAAAAGCATTTATTCGTCAAGATAGCGCAAAATGTTAATAACACATGCTGTTATAAGATCTTCCATATCCCACCAAATTTATATATATATATATATATATATATATATATATATATATTATATATATATATGTATAGCAATCTCAGATTTATATGTAGAGCTGGCAATGTTTGCGGGATATTAATGCACAATCTGGCAACCATGTCGCACCCTCAAACAATGGCTGCTGACAACCATACAAGTCACCGTGTTGCCATTGAATAGCATGGAATTAAACCTTCTTCAGTGTAAATAATCAAATCCAAGCGAATAACCAAAATTTCTGTGCCGCGGTTATAATATGGTTCAAGATGACACACGGGTTGATGACGTCAGTTACAGGAATCGCTTGAACGCGTTGGTTTTAACCGCGGTTTTGATGCAAGTTGTTTATTTTAGAAAAGCGCGTATATGATCTCTGATTATTTTTATTATCACTTAATAATCGGTGCTATTTTGTCTACAACTGTGTATGGAAAGTTTAAATAAGAAACCTTTCATATATTCATGGAAGAAATGTTTTTTTTTCAGATTTTTTTTTAATGATGGAACCATAGCTTTGTAGCTATGATAACTTTCAATTCTCTAAAGTTTTCCGCATGTCAAAGAAGACATTTATTGATTCAGCAGAAATGATGAAAAAAGAAATTAGCAAAACCGTATACAGGTGGACATCATCTAGTGAGTTTATATGGCCATATTTTAATATTCTTGTGGTATATGGCTACACAGGATACTTTGTTACGCTTAGGAACTACATTTAAAGTGTCCCCAACAACAGTAATGAGTATAACTAATAAGGTGCTCCACTTTATGGTGAAACTGAAGCAGTGGCGGCTCGTGATTTTACAAATAGGTGACGCAGGATTGACCGACCCCCCCCCATACCATGTAGAGCGCATACACAAAGAAAAACATGAAATAACTTACCTAAATTCAGTAACTCGAAAACAAAGTCAGGATTATCAGGCACTTTTCATTGTTTATATATGAGAGCAATTCGTCGGTCCTTCAAATTAGCAAACTTATTTATAACGTCATCGTAAAACGGCTGTGACACTATCAGTTCATTTAATAATTCTTTTTCGATCGATATTTTTGCCAAGTTCGTCAACCGATCTTCCGACATGGTACTTCGTAGATAACTTTTGATTCGCTTAAGGCATGAAAAACTGCGTTCTGTCGAAACACTTGTTGATGGAATGGTCAGTATTAAACACAAAAGCTTATATGCCTCCTTGAAGATACTGCGATTCTCAAATAGCGATTCCTTTAATAAGCGGGGTTCCATATTTTGATATTGATCATCGCTATAGATCAGCTGCAATTCATTTTTCAGTCTCTGAAAATCTGTGAATGTATTTGAATAAAACTCCTTCAAATTACTTAGGGCTTCTGTTGGAAATTTTTCTGAATATGTTTTGAACTTCGAAGTGAAATGAAGCTTTTCCATATCTTGGAAACGGGTCGTGATTTGCAGAGGAATGGTATCCAAAATTTCAAAATACAGCACTCTATATCTTTCAATAATTTGATCCCGAGACAATGTTACTCTTGTCCTGCCGTCGCGGTGTTCCGTTTGTACACTTGTTTTTGATGCAGCCAATTCGAAAATATTCTTAAATGTTTCTTCATTTCTCTTCTTGTTTAATTGTGTTTGAACACTTTTAATTTGCTTAATGCAAAGGTTTATATCAAAAGATTTTTTTTGCAGTGTGTCGAATAGTATATCTGTCATTCCAAAGATCTCGTTAAAAACAACAACCAAAAGCACGAATTCGAAGTCATGGAATTTATTTAGAAATCCGTCGCTCTGTCTAACCGAGGCTTGATCGGAGGTTAGATCATTAATAATTTCAGTAAACACTTGCTTTAAGGAATCCCACTCCTTATTTATAAAACTGATAACTTTAGAATTTGATGTCCATCGCGTAATAACGGAAACAGGTATTCGACGTCCTATTATTGAGTCTGCTACGTTAGTTCGTTTCGGAGAATGGTGAAAAAATGGCGGTAAACCACTTATAGTTGCAAAAAAAATGCGGCATTTTGTAATACTATTGCAACTTTGTTGTAACACTAGATTCATGCGGTGTGCGAGGCAATGAACAAAAACTGCTTGGGGTGCCTGTTCCTTTATTTTAGCCTGAAGACCATTTAACTGTCCGGACATGACGCTTGCACCATCGAAACATTGTCCAACGAGTTTTGTTTTGTAATCAAAATTTTGTAGACACCTTGTCACGAGGTTAAATAATGCTTCAGATGTTCGGCTGCAGCTTACATCATGAAATCCTAAAAATCTCTCCACAAGTTTTCCTTCAAGATTGACATAACGGATTATTATGCTGCACTGCGATTTGTGGGCAATATCGGTGGAATCATCTACCTGAATGGAAAAAAAACTGCATTCCTTTATTTCATTTTCCACATATTCATCAATGCATTTGACAATGCAGTCAATAATTTCGTTTTGAATGGTTTTAGAATTGCCCGCAAATATTGAGGCAATTTTTTTGTAGTGCTCCTGAATGTCTACAGGGCTTATAGATACAAATGCTTCTAGGAGCTCTTTGAAATTTCCACGGTTAATAGAAGTCGTCTCTTCGTTGTGGCCACGAAACGCCAGTTCTTGTTTGCCCAAAAAAAGGACAGCGCGTATTGGCAATTCCATGAAACGTCTATTAAGTTGCACGTTTTCGTTAAACTGTTTAATATACAGCCTGGAATTTTCGCGTAAAGCATCCTCAATAGTAGTGAGATTTTTCTTCAATTTTGAAAAACCTAGTGCGCAACGCATATGATCCGATGATCCTTCATGTTTACGAAGAGCACGAGTCACATTCCCGAAATCATTGAAACCGTACTTGCTCCACACGGTTGCTTTAACACTTACAATCAAACACGGCACACAAAAAAGTTTATTTAAATAATAGCTACCACATAACCATGCAAACTCACTATACCACGATTTTTTAAAATTTCGAATGTACACTTTGTCCTTAACTTTAGCGGTTTTATTTACATTTAATATCGGAGAAGGTTTTTCGGAGTTTAAAAAGTCTTTTTTATCATCATTACTCCATTGAGAAAACGATTTTTCCAACATAACACAAACCGTATCATAGACAGGAAACATTGTTCAAAACAATGAAAACTAACCTCGACACAATACGATATCGGTAGTAATGCAGAGCAGACTAGACGCAAATTCATAATTTGCTTCACTTGCCTCGGCCAAAACGGAAGCGCGCGTGCCGTTGTCATGGCAACCGTCGTATTTACTCGTATCTGTACTGGACGCAGCAATGCGGTGCAAATAAAGCTGCTTCAGGTCTCTGTTTCAACACGCCAAATTAAGCGCAAACGTAGGCGCGTTGTTGGTTGCGGGGTTTCTCAGTATTCTGTTGATCGCAAATACAAATAAAGAATGTCCGAAAAATAATTTTTTAAGATATAAATGAATTTTTTTTATAAATTTCAAAATAAAAAAAATATATTTTTTTTGAAATTGCAGGTGAAGCAGCGCTTCACCTGCGTCATGGGGCGAGCCGCCACTGAACTGAAGTCAGCCTGTATCAAGTTTCCCAAAAATGAAGCTGAAGTGCAATAACAATATCCAATACCCGGCAAAATTCTAACTTGTCACATTTCAAATAATAACCAGAAATATAAAACTACTCCCGAGTTGGTATATACCACAATTTTAATCAAATTCAAGCGGATAACCAAATGGAAATGGTATTTACCATTTTGGGTTGGTATTTACCAATCCGTTCAAGCGAGTGTAGTTATCAGTTTGGTTATAAGATCCGTGACGTCACGAATCAGCTGTTATATGTCATAGTTATCACCGCAAAATTGTGGTATTTACCCAAGTCAAGAGTAGTTTTATATTTCTGGTTATTATTTGAAATGTGACAAGTTAGAATTTTGCCGGGTATTGAATATTGTTATTGTACTTCAGCTTCATTTTTGAGAAAAATGATACAGGCTGACTTCAGTTTTACCATAAAGTGGAGCACCTTATTAGTTATACTCATTACGGTTGTTGGGGACACTTTAAATGTAGTTCCTATGCTTAACAAAGTATCCTGTGTAGCCATATACCACAAGAATATTAAAATATGGCCATATAAACTCACTAGATGATATCCACCTGTATACGGTTTTGCTAATTTCTTTTTTCATCATTTCTGCTGAATCAATGTTTTCTTTGACATGCGGAAAAATTTAGAGAATTGAAAGTTATCATAGCTACAAAGCTATGGTTCCATCATTAAAAAAAAATCTGAAAAAACATTTCTCCCATGAATATTATGAAAGTTTTCTTATTTAAACTTTCCATACACCGTTGTAGACAAAAAAGCACCGATTATTAAGTGATAATAAAAATAATCAGAGATTATATACGCACTTTCCTAAAATAAACAACTTGCAACAAAACCGCGGTTAAAACCAACGCGTTCAAGCGATTCGTGTAACTGACGTCATCAACCCGTGTGTCATCTTGAACCATATTATAACCGCAGCACATAACACAGAAATTTTGCTTATTCGCTTGGATTTGATTTATGTGGTGATAACTATGACATATAACAGCTGATTCATGACGTCATGGATCTTATAACCAAGCTGATAACCACACTCGCTTGAACGGATTGGTAAATACCAACCCAAAATGGTAAATACCATTTTCATTTGGTTATCCGCTTGAAATTGATTTATGTTTTGTGTCCTATCCTATGCGATTGGTGGGATTCGTGTTGCTATGACATTTAGGATTTAGGGGCTATGAAAAACATTAAGTTTTATCAATACTATATATATAAGTAGCTTTTCAAGAAATAATAATTATTATCCCTGACCTCTCTTGGTCAGTTTCCATAACAAATACGTCAGTTACCTTGCTTTTCGTCTCAAAAGTTTTTAGGATTGAAATTACGGGACAGCGGAAAAGGCGATTCCACCGATCAAGCACAAAATATACACTGAAAGAATGCTAACTCTGTAAATCAACCAGCAACACGAATGTCGCCATTTCGTGGTGAAAGAACAAATATGACACAGAAAGAACGCCTGAATACTCAGAACAATTCGACGAATGACATATGCCGCAATGTTTCTTACGACATACGGCGGTGCTCTCATAGTTGCCTACTTTCTCACCACATGTTACTCAATGAGTAATACTCATTATCATTTTTATTTGGTCTAGAGATGATCTTAGCAGCGACTTGCAAGTCGCCGGGATAACGGTGACAGCGACCTTAAAGTCGCCGGTAGATTTAGCAGCGCTTTAGGTCACTGCTTATCTATGGTCGCTGCCAGCAGCCAGCGACTCCCTGGCGCTGATTAAATTACTCGATATTTGGCGGCGGTTATCCATTGATATTAAGGAGGTGTAGATGTTCAGGTTCCTGAAGATTTGAATTAAACTATATTTAAGGTTTTTGTTTTTAACAATATTTAGCACAAAACACATAAAATCATAAAAATACATAAAATATCTTTCTATGAATCTTAAAAAGTAAAACAAAATACTATTTTACCAGTCAAAATAAAACTTTTAAAACATAACAAATGTAGTATAAAAATGCTTCTTTTATATGTTAAACATTGCTTAATAAACGAAACATTTTTCTATGAAACAGGAACTCACAACAATAACAATAAAAACTAACAAAATAGGTTAGGCTACGCTGTAGCGACCTTGTACTTCCCGCGCGATGATCGCGAACACGATGTGTATATGCTTCCTGGCAGCGACCGCGACCGAAACAGCGTTACAGCTACCGATCAGTGGTTACCGATACCGATACTTCCAAACAGCGATCTGGGTCGCTGCTTCATGGAGAATCAGGTCGCCGGGACTAACGGCGACCATTCAAGTCACCGGGAAAGGTCGCCGGTACCGATATATCGATCATCTCTAATTTGGTCGTTTTGAGTGGTTTTCCTAATAACAAAAATTAATTTTGCATTAGGAAAAACAATTACAACACCTCACGTGTATTTGTGATTGGGTTCGTTCAAGACTGATAAATGAAACAATATAATTAGGAAAAATAACCTTTATTCTGGTAGATAACGTAATGTGGTGCATTAGCAATATAGTGCAATGACGAATCTCAGAAACCCCCATGGGAGCTTTCTGAATAATAATTCGAATATACGATCATAAGGAAACTACAAAAAACCCATGATACCACACTCAACAAAAATTCAAAAACAAAAATATTGTGAAATCTGTATGTGAAGGGTACAAGATTTCGTTAATCAAACATAACATTATACTTCTGAATAAACATTAATTTCCAAATTTTACATTTATTTTACATGAGTAAAGCCGGTATGTATATGGTACAGGCCAAATATAGTAATTTAATAACTCAACATAAAATTCTAAAAAATAAAATAAAACACAATTCTATCACAATATGGTAAACATGTCCTGGTCAGGTATGTCTCAGCTGGGTTTGTGATGGTTCATCCATGGAGGTACATGAAACAATTAAAAAACCAGAAGCAAATATTCGAAAATGATTTACCTGGTGACATTCAACTGAATTTGATACATTTTAGATTCCTTTTCTGTTAATTCACTTTTACTTCTAATTGTATGAGGCATGAACTCCAAGTGTCTGACAGAAATATATATTTATCTTGATAATGAGTCTGTACCACAAAATCTGGCTTAGAATAGCAGTGATCATGTTCAATTGTACTTACATCTGTCAAGTCTTTGGTACTTCTTTAGGCAGGCAATTTACATGACTTGCTGCCGAAGTTGAAGGAGAATCACAAATGCTTGCTAAGAAACCAACAGATCATTCCTTCAATGAAACTGCAACATCAGAATGACTAATCGGTTGACTTAGAATTTGACCATCAACATCTTTTGGAACTGAAAGACATTTCAAACGTGAATAGGGATCCTGAAGGGAAACATGATCAGACAGTACGAACTGGTCTTCGCAAACAGTTACCAGATTTTGTACTGGAGCTAATCCACAGGGATTGTATCATAATTGCCTTTGACTGGGATTTGTTGGGAATCGATGAAATTTCTTGGATGCGGGATATGAATGACTTACATCAGAGATAAACCCTTCTAACTTACATTGAATATGTACTTATTTTGGCAATAAGGATATAGGCTCTGTCGTGTCTATTTCTTGCTTGTTTTTGCAATAGTAGTATCAAAAAGATTTAAGTGAAACATAATAAATGCCCTGAGCAACTTCACAATATCAGAATCAATGTCATGTAGGTACTCACCTGTATTTTTTTAACCCACTCCAATCTTGAAACATGGGTGACAGAAACCGGAACTGAAAATATTAAAAATCATTTCTTGAAACACACTATTTATAAAAAAATAATGTAGGCACAGAGGAATCGCGTGGAGCGGGAACATTTTACTAAGGGTTTTTTTTCCAAGGTGGACATAAACGCATGCTTAATTAAGGGTTTCATGACATACTCTAAATTCCAATAAATATCAAAAGTAAAACTGCTCTATTTCATTATCACATCTTACCTATATTAATTATTTCGGAGCAGCATTGTTCCAAGCCACACGTCGGCACATTTTTTGCGGTAAAGGAAAAATCACAAAACATATACACTGAATGGCAATGGCAACACGGTGACTTGTATGGTTGTCAGCAGCCATTTTTTGAGGATGCGACATAGTTGCTAGATTGTGCATTAATATCCCGCAAACGTTGCCAGCTCTACATATAAATCTGAGATTGCTATACTTTATATACAGGGTGACTTTGAAGTTGAGTCATTAATTTTCAGATAATGATTGTAGAAGGAAGATAAACCAAAATATGTGTGTAAAAATAAAAAAAAAAATAAAAAAAAAATGTTACCTTGTTTTATAAAGTATCCTCCCGACAAGTATTTCAGTGCGGACCTGTGCGCCCAAAAGCATGTCACAAAAACTGTTCGAAATGATTTCCGTTTTGCTCGACGCACAGCTGGGCGCGTCTTAGCCATGTCTCTTTACAAGCACGCAATAAAATCACTGGTTGATTTCTGATCACTGTACTCATTTCCTCAATTCGAGCACGTAATTCTTCGCGTGTATTAACCGGTGTTTTATACACTAGAGTTTTTAGCCAACCCCACAAACAAAAGTCTAAAGGATTTAAGTCCGGAGACCTTGGCCGCCAAGGTACAAAACCGCCACGGCCGATCCAACGATTATTAAATTGTCTATTTAAAAATTCACGCACATTTCTTGCATAATGGGGTGGTGCCCCATCTTGTAAAAACCACATGTTTTGTCTAATATTTAAAGGCACATCTTCCAGTAAACCAGGCAAATTGTGTTGCAAGAAATCAAAATAATTTTCACCAGTTAAGCGATTTGGTAATTCAAAAGGCCCCACTAAAATTCCATTAACAATTCCCGCCCACAGGTTGATTGGTTCAAATCGCTGTTGAAAATTGGTTTCCCTTATTTCATGGGGATTTTCAATAGCCCAAACGTGAGAATTACGTGAATTAATAATTCCGTTTCTAGTAAAGAGGGCTTCATCACTCACTAAAATTTGATTTAAAAAATTGTCATCATTTTGATGTTTATTTAAAAGCCAATTGCAAAAGTCAACCCTTTGTTCATGATCTTCCGGTTGTAAGGCCTGCACTTTTTGTATGTGAAACGGATAGAACTGATTTTCACGTAGAGTTTTCCAAGTTTTATACTGACTAATCGCCAATTGAGTTGAAATTTGTCGGGTGCTTACTGTTGGATCATCACTTACTAATTCTAAAATTTGTTCTTCTAGTTCTATTTGATCGTGTGGTCTTGGAGCACCGGCATGATCTCCTCTGTGAGGTCTTAAGTCACCTGATTCACGAGCTCTTTGCACTACATTAACAAAGGCACGATGGGTTGGTTGCACTCGATTGGGAAACCGATCCGCATAGATCCGTGATGCCGCGGCAGCATTTTGTAAAGACTCCCCGTAAATAAGAACCATGTCCACAAGTTCAGCATTTTCGTAAACATGTGCCATTTTTGATTTGAGCCTCGCAACAGACACGATTATTCACTTACGCGTTACCGACTACTGACTGTACACAACTGAAGAAAATAATTGTAAAAAGATCGTTCCAAATTCTTTCGCTTTTTTGTTTCCGATGCGATGAACGGATAAGGCGGATTATATCTGTTGTTGCCAAATACGAGAACATAATATCATTATTGAGACAGGGCGGTACTCAAACTTCCAAAGGGCTATAACTTTGTTACTTTAATTTTACCAGAAAAATGGTAAAGGAAAAAAACATTTCTTTTGATCAGATCTACTCACTGTTAAAATAAATGACTCAACTTCGAAGTCACCCTGTATATATATAAATTTGGTGGGATATGGAAAATCTTATAACAGCATGTGTTATTAACATTTTGCGCTATCTTGACGAATAAATGCTTTTTTGTATGTTAAAATAGCAACGTCAATAACACAAGCTGTTATAAGATCACCCATATCTACTTACTAATCTGGAAAGATTTAGAAGAAAAACATATACTGCACATACCTAAATATATATTTGTTATATAAATCTCATACATTTTTCTACAAACAAAAATCACTATTACATCATTATGGTCCAGATGTTTTCATTCCCCAGCCTTTGTTGGCACCTGCGTAAATAAAAAATTAGAAAAAAATTTAATCGTGTTGATATGTTACTGCAATTCACAGGTTTCTTTTTTTATTAGAACAATAATATGATTGTCCACGGGTATTCACAGGAATTTTTCTCAATGTGCTGATCATCATCAAGAGTTAACTGATACCACAGCTCCCTGCGGGCACCCATGTTACTGTTCAATATACTGGGCTTTGATTTCATTAAAATTACAGTAAGCTTTACATATCAACCCTACTGCTCTGATAATAGCTGATTTAAAACGAAGTATGAAAACTAACTTGGACAAAAAGCAGTACAAATCATCACTAGTTATTGAGTCACAAAAACTTACAAATGTTATGTTCTGCAAATATCCTTCAGAGTTGAGTCTTTTGGTTAGATCAGAAGTAATCTCTGAGCTTCTGATAATTCTCAGGACATCAGGGGTTGACAACAGCAGCTGTTGAACTTTTCGTGGCGCTCCACTGTTCGAAGAGTGATGAGGAGATACAAACAGGTACGATCTTCAAATAGGGTAGAGTGGGGTTAACTGAACAGGTAGGTTAACTGAACACATCGATGTTCCTGCCATCTAGTAATGATAAATTAAACTTGATTTTGCCTGAAAGCGTCTTTTGTTACGTGTGTTGACACTGTTCGGTGCAGATTTCTTTTAAGACGGTTCTAATCTCGTAAATCAGCAAACATATTTTTAATGGCCGCCACGTAAAATTTGTGCTCCCAAGTTTTTTTGTGTTACAGTTAGCAAAATAGAGTTTTAAAATTGGTGTGACGTATATTTTGTTCCAGTAAGTATTTTACCATTTATTTCTTGTTTACCTAAGCATAACATTATTTTTTAATCAAATTTTTCTTTTGCTTATGTATTGGTGCACAGTGGGTATAACTGGACATCTCATGTATGTGGTTATATGAACAGGTGTTCAGTTAACCTGCGTTATTTATTTATTATTATTTTGTCTACAAATTTATTTTATTTTTTAGAATATGCCAAGAAAAAGACTACGTACTACCAATAACAGATCATATAGTGTAGCAAATCTTAGACAAGCATGTGAAGAAGTCCTGACACATGGTCGAACAACTCGAAGTGTTGCACTTCAGTTTAAAATCTCAAGAATTACTTTAAAAAGGTATGTCGATAAATGTCGGGAAAAAAACAACTTGGATATAAATTTTCGCCCCAACAACGAACATCTTTTGGCTTTTAGTCCCGATGAAGAATTACTTCTTAAAAAATACTTAGAGCATGCATCTTACATTCACTATGGCTTGTCTTCTAAACAAGCTCGTATTCTAGCTTACGAGTTTGCGGTCGCCAATGGCAAAACCATAAAAGAAAGTTGGTTCCGAGAAGCAATGGCAGGCAAAGAGTGGATGTTTAGATTTATGAACAGGCATAACTTTTCGTTGAGGACGCCAGAACAAACAAGCTTAAGTAGGGCAACCAGTTTAAATAAGACAAATGTGGAGGCATTTTTGGGTGGAGCTTCGCCTTCTGGATGGATGAACAGTCAGTTGTTTCTCCCACTTAGGTATTGCAGCACTAAATTTTGCTAAGCAAAACGGTATACTCCTTTTGACATTGCCACCCCATTGCAGACACAAGCTGCAACCATTGGATTTAGCAGTATTTGGGCCATTTAAAAAATATTATGGTGCAAGTTGTGACAGATGGATGGTAAATCATGCCGGAAAACCTATCACTGTTTATGACATCGGAAGTCTGGTTGGAGAGGCTTTTTTGCAAGCGTTTACTCCAAAAAATATATGCAGTGGATTTCGTGCAGCAGGAATAGAGCCGTTTAATGACCAAATATTTTCGGATGAATTATTTCTTTCGTCATATGTTACAGATAGACCAGGGAAAACATCAGAGGAAGAGGCACCACAAGCTGGGTCGTCACAAGATAATACATCACTGCCTAAACCGATTCAACATGGCATGACAGATCCTGTTCTGTCACAATTTCAGCTCTCAAAATATCAAGAATCACAAGCCGGACGATCACAAGCTGAATCGTCGAGCACTGCTAAACTACAAACTGAAAAATCACAAACCAAACCGACTTTATCTTCAATTCAGATAAAAAAGCCGACATTACAAATTATAACTCCTGAACAGATCCGTCCTCTCCCCAAAGCTGGGAACGAAAGTCTACAATTCGACGAAAGAAAGGAAAATCCCTGATTTTGACAGACACTCCTGTCAAAGAGAACATAGAGGAAGAAGCAAGACTTCGAGAAGAAAAAGCACACAAAAAAACAAAACAACTAACAAGAAAAAAGAGGCAGTAAAAAGACGTATTCTAGAAGACAGCTCTTCTGATGATGGAAGTGTTATCTATGAAGAAAGCTCGGATTCTTTAGAAGAATTTGATGCATATGACGATAGTCCACAAGCTGTGACAAAAGGCGATTTTGTAATCGTGAAAGTGTATGGGCAAAATAAATTAAATTTCAGACATTATGTTGGTGAAATTATTCATGCTGTAAATGATGGTTTTGAGGTTACTTTTTTGAAACGCCACAAAGAAACAAAATATTTTTTTAAAAATAATGAAAATGGCTTTGTTGTAAAAGCTGATATTGTTTGTAAGTTACCCATGCCAGCCAAAAGTAACACCGCTAGATATGCCAACATGGTGTCATTTCAAGTTGATTTAAATGAATTTGACTTTACAGTTTATTAAAATTACCTACAATATTTTCATACATGTTCAGTATGTTTGACTTTACAGTTTATTAAAAGTATCTATAATATTTTAATGTATCTTCAGTATGTTTCTTATTATAAATAAAAATGATTGTTAAAAAGTGTTGACATATTTTCTATGATATATTTTTTACATTTCTATTATAGCTAGTCGCCTTATTCGCTAGAGGGCTAGACTTGTATTTAGGGTATTAGGTTGGTAATAGTAAATGATGGAAAGCTTGCCAGCCTTCTTATGGTTTAGTGCCCTGAATTTTCCATGCATGGCCATTTTTGCTGTTTAACAATTGATGACAAATTTATTGTATATTTCTGTCAATTAAATAACAAAAATGGCGGCGCATGAAGATTCCAGGGCACTAAATCATAAGAAGCTGACAAAATTTCCATGTAGAAAGTGTTAAGTAAAAGTAAATTTAAAAAATATATCTTGTTTGTACCTCTGTTCAGTCAACCTGCATAAGTGGTCCAGTTAACCTGACAGGCAGGTTAACTGGACAATTTGATAGGTTTTTAAAAATGTCAATCTGTCATACACATAAATTTAAATTTAACTTTAAACATTACGTTTTCCAATTACTTACATAACTTCCAAAGCATGGTCATAAAGATATTTTTTTAGCAACGATTTTCTAGTCAAAAACAAAGTTTAAATTTTGATTGGTCCAGTTAACCCCACTCTACCCTATTACATTCCTAAAATGAGTAACCGCTGCATCTCTGATCTTCCTCAGGATCTGCCAGAAGCCTGGCTAATGACTTGGATCACCTTAAAAAAGAAACAATTTTAATGTGGAGTTTGTCTTATAGTATTTACAAACATAGGTATTACAGCTTTGGGTACTAACATTGTTATACTTCACAACTCCGAACAAAATGCATACGGCTCAAATAACATAATAGGGACTTTACTTAATTTAAATGAAATGTTAAGAAAATGACATGCTGAATGGTGAAAAAAGTAAGGTTATTTTTGCAAAGAGCACAGGAAGAAACCCGCCGGAAATTTAAATCTGGCCAATCAGACAACGTCAGTTGTGAGTAAGTCCCCATTTTTTGAAGGTGCGACATGGTTGTCATATTATGCACCGGCAACACTGCTTTGTTTCCTATTCGCCAATGTGAGTTTCACCTCCCTGGGAAAAATGGCAGCTTGACAGCGGTGACGTTGAAGAAAGACGTATGAAAGACAAGTTGACAGTGTTGCCGGCCGTTTTTTCACTACGAAAGATGTTGCCAGATTTCCTGTGTTGCGCCTTGTCAGGCCTCAGTTGTCCCCACGTGCGATGAAGCTATATACTATATAGTTATACAATTGTACGAATTGGGTCTGTTAATTCCACTTCAACAGTCTCTCAGGTGTGATGCTGTCATCAGTCCAAGAAACAAATTCTACTAGATGAAGTAGATCATATTTCGATATCTCGGTACTACTATTCGTCATTGTCTGTCAGTTTTATATTAGCTTCAATCGCGGTATCAGTTCTGAATGGTTATGAACCGTTCGCACCTGCGCAGTGTCATAAACCGGTTCTGAATTAGTCCTGAACTGGTTCTAACAGTTCCTGAATCGGTCGAAGGACGCAGAGTTCGCACATGCGCAGTTATCGATTATGGGCAATTTGAACGTGATCTACTTGTTTAGTTGTGAGTAAAAATTTTTAAACAACTTATTTGATAGGACACGTAGCAATGTCTGGTAAGTTGTTTACTGCTGTTGTAAATAAGCGAATGTATAGACTAATTTTACAGGTATCAGTGATGCATCTGAGCACTTCAGCTCCAGCGATGATGATTTAGAAGAGACATTGGACCTCATTCGAATACCAAAGTGTGAGGGATATTTTGAAGACGTTGTTCGGCAAATGCCAGACAACGTATATTTTGACTACTTCCGTATGAGCCGGCAAAAAACAGAGTATCTTGCTGAAAAATTTGCTGTATCACAATACTTTTCAGTCGGCAGAGAAGGCGATTCAGAGAAAATTAGCGCACTGAAGTTTATAACTGTTTTTTTATGGTATGCTGGAAATGAGGCTTGTTCAAACAGAGATGTAGCCGACAGATTCAACATATCAGGAAGCAGCTTGCACAAGATTATAAAACGGCTTACGTATTTTTTGAGTAACCTTGCCCCAGAAGTAATAAGATGGCCAGATGAAGAAGAAAATGTCATTATAAGCCAACATTTTACAGAAAATAACTTCCCAGGTGTGATAGGTGCTCTAGATGGTACACACATTAGAATTGATAAACCATCACAAGATCCAGAATCGTAGTTCAATAGAAAAAGTTTCTACTCCATCCAAGTTATATTATTGCAAGACTACTCTACAGTATCTATAAAATATCAAGTTACAATTAGATTTTGATATAGAATTAATTGTAGGCTTTATTTTATCATGACGCATGCACGCACAGAACTATTTTACAATATTTTTTTAAGCATGCATGTTCAGGGATTTGAAAAATTAATTCTTATTGTTTATTTTTCCAGGCCCAAATTGTGTGCGACCACAAACAAAGAATTCGGGATATATTTCTGGGATTTCCTGGCTCTGTTCATGACAGCAGAGTTTTTTCAGTATCACCTCTTGGTGATCATTTGGCAGAGATGTGTGGACAGTATCATCTACTTGGAGACAGTGCTTATCCATGTCTGGTTAATTTATTAACATCTTTCAGGGATAACGGTCACCTCACTAGGCGGCAAAAAAATGATAACTATTTGCTTGCAACAAATAGGTATATTATTGAACATTGATTTGGAATTCTTAAACAAAAATGGAGAAAATTGTATCACATAAAAATGCACAAAATTGCAGATATAGTTCATTTTATTCGAGCTTGTGCAGTCCTTCACAATATATGTTTGGAAGAGACAATTGTTATAGTCCCTGAAAATACAGAATTGCCAATAAACCAGGTCCTTGATAATACTGTAGATGACAACAACAGGAATGGGAATGAGAGGCGATATGACATCATGAATCGTCTTCCTATAATATTGTAAACGTCTTACAGAAGACCTAAGGGTTGTTTAAAAAATTGGAGTCAATTCCTCTAACAGGATCAGAGATCACTCGTTTCAAAAACATTTATCTTCCTTCATATGTGGACTGGAAAAAACCATAAAATTACCCCATTTTTTACTGTTATTCTCAGCCTATATGGGAGGATGAAAAATGTTTTTACATAATTGATCACTGAATAAATAGGCTATTGATCTCATAAAATGGTTCAGTGAAAAAAAAATTCAGTCTGTGGAACGGTTGTTGCCCTCGCACTATTCTCTTGGATTACATGAAACCTCAAAATTAAACTTTTTGACTGAACATCTAAAAACTGGACATTCAAGGCTTTAGATAACTTGTAAAACCTTAATATGATCATTTTTCACAGATACAATACTCGCTGCTTGTAGAACTCTCTCCTATCATCTCTGATTTCTTGTAAAATGTTATACTTCAGACGTTTATTAGGATACGTTTTAGTTTTGTGATGTTGGCGTCGTGGTGTTTCTCTGGATGAGTGTGGGGTTAATAATTGCTCTTCTGGTGATTCCAATGCAGGAGTGTTCAGCATATCAACCCTGCTTGTATCAGATATCTCGGGTTCCTTTAAGTGTTCTACCGTGTTACTTGATAACAGGAGCACTGGATTGATATTCTTTTTGTCCACTAATATGTCGGCCATTATGTCCGCATACTCAAAAAAGCCTACCCCTGCCTGTTTTTTATTATTGTCACAAAATTTTTTTGTAATTTCTTTCCAATACCTTCCATCGATTTTCACAGTTTGATGGAGCCACGTTCTCATTGGTTCTCTAGTCGATCTCATTGGCAATGGATTCGTACAACTTTTTTAGTTTTATGTTCCCAGCCATCAGCAATTGCTTATATTTCTTATATAAATCCAAAAACAGTAACGTATTCTGTCGTGTCCATTTATATGAAACCTCTGCATTTTGGGATTGCCACTGCGATTGAATTGCAGAATTACCTTCTGTACTGGTTATTATGTATTAACTGCATCCTAAAATAATCCAGACTTAGTTTGTTTGTATGATTTTTGTTCAACTATAATTCTTACCAACACTGTGAGTATTTTCATCACCCTGGAGTGACATAATTTTCTTTCTTTTCCCGATTTCCCAGTTTCCAACTTAAAACCATAAAACATACACTAAAAACCGCATAAAAACAGTTGAGATTGAGGAATAAACGACGAAACGACAGTCAAAAATCAAATTCAAGCGGATAACCAAATGGAAATGGTATTTACCATTTTGGGTTGGTATTTACCGATCCGCTCAAGCGAGTGTAGTTATCAGTTTGGTTATAAGATCCGTGACGTCACGAATCAGCTGTTATATGTCAATATCACCGCAAAATTGTGGTATTTACCCAACTCAAGAGTAGTTTTATATTTCTGGTTATTATTTGAAATGTGACAAGTTAGAATTTTGCCGGGTATTGGATATTGTTATTGTACTTCAGCTTCATGTTTGAGAAAATTGATACATACTGACTTCAGTTTTACCATAAAGTGGAGCACCTTATTAGTTATACTCATTACGGTTGTTGAGAACACTTTAAATGTAGTTCCTATGCTTAACAAAGTATCCTGTGTAGCCATATATCACAAGAATATTCAAATATGGCCATATAAACCCACTAGATGATATCCACCTGTATACGGTTTTGCTAGTTTCTTTTTTCATCATTTCTGCTGAATCAATAAATGTTTTCTTTGACATGCGGAAAAATTTAGAGAATTGAAATTTATCATAGCTACAAAGCCATGGTTCCATCATTAAAAAAAATCTGAAAAAACATTTCTCCCATGAATATTATGAAAGGTTTCTTATTTAAACTTTCCATATACAGCTGTAGACGAAAAAGCACCGATTATTAAGTGATAATAAAAATAATCAGAGATTATATACGCGCTTTTCTAAAATAAACAACTTGCAACAAAACCGCGGTTAAAACCAACGCATTCAAGCGATTCGTGTAACTGACGTCATCAACCCGTGTGTCATCTTGAACCATATTATAACCGCGGCACATAACACAGAAATTTTGGTTATTCGCTTGGATTTGATTAAAAACTTTTCATGTGTCAACACTGTGTCAACGACAAGCGCAAAGTGTTAATGTCAACTGTCATAGACATAGAGCTGTCATCGCCAGTTTTCATGAGATCGCGGAACCCACAAAATCCTGAACCAGCACTGAACCGCGCATGCGCAAAGCATTGAACTTTACTAGTTCTGAACCGTTCGGAACTGGTACTGTATTTGTAGCGCGATTTAAGCTAACTATTTTTATTGTTTCTTTATGGCGTCGTTTTGACATCAGAGTTTTCGATTTGGTAGGTTTGTGCGTGTTCTAGCAGTCAAATTCATGTGGCAGAATTCTTGATTCCAAATTCGGATTGAGTGCCTAAAAATAGATGAGCATCTGGCATTCGACACTCAATTTTCACTTCTCTTAAGGGTAGTTTTTGGAGCCGAGGGTGAATTATATAAATCTAGAAGCATTTCTGATCCATGATTCGGCAACAGCGTCGCTAATTAAGTAAATATCACGGTCTATCTCACGAAAACGAAACTAATGATAGTGATATGTGCCTGACTATTTCGGAAAGCATTTTGTTCAAATTGATGTTAGATTTATAATAGAATCGAAATATCAAATATATAAAAACATTCAAAGAAGAATATTAAAATGGTGCGTTTATAGTGTATTGATGAACAAGAATAACAATAATAAAGGGAATTGTGGGCATGTCCGCAATAAAGGAACAGGAGCAGAAATAGAAGGATTGGTAGCCTGAGCGAGGTACGTTTCTGCTTATTGGCTTCATCAGGCTCAAATGGATGCGCATCGAAAACGTCGAAGTAAAAGCATATGGCTATAACATCGGGATACGTGTGTGGCCTGAAGGAACACAAGGATGGAAAGGGAAATACACCTAGGAGCCACCAACAAGAGCCAGCAGGCACATTTGTGACTTCGGTCACAAGATCTCGTATTTACGAGGTAGCAGCCAACGTCGCCACCTATGCCAGATATAGCTACCTGCCGCGGTACTTCAAGCCCATGAAGAAAGCCTGCTGGCTCTTGTTCGTGGCTTAAAGATGTATTTCCCTTTCGATTCTTATTTTCAGGTTACACCCGTATCCTGATGTGATGGAGATACGTTTTCACTTCGGTATTTTCGATGCACAGCTATTCGGGCCTGATAAACCCAACAAGCAAGAGCGTACGTCGCTCGGATTACCAATCCTTCTATTTTTGCTCCCCTTCCTTTATTGCGATCATGCCCAAAATTGCCCTTTGCTTTTCATCCAAGTCTCCGCAAGAATATTTTCTTTCTTTGTAATAACAATAACGCTTGACTAGATCAAAGGTACATAATTAATTAGTATGCAACTACCAGACTCTTGTTATACCAACCTTGTAGTCTACCATTCGTATGTTATGACTTTTGAGACCTATCTAACTTTAATAAGAAACCGCTTTCACAGTATTTATTAGCTCAGGTTATCTATCCATTTTTGTCGAAAAAGCTCAGTAACATCTTAAGCGCTGGAAACAAACAGCATTCAAAAACAGACACTTCCCAAAAATTTAAGTTACCGTTTTGGAACGATCTGAAATAATTAGGTTTTCGCGTATGAAATTGTCCCGTTTCTTACAAATTATAAATTTATGACATTGGTTTGTGCATCGTAACTGCTATAACACACCTAAAAATATAGGGTGTTCGGTACATGAACCAACAAAATTGTTTGGGCGATTGTAGACGCTATTTGATGGAAACCGCAATGCTCTAAGTCTAAGGGCTACGGTTACCGATATATGAATATCGTTATAACTTTTTTGTTTCTAGAGGTAATGACACAAAATAAATGTGAGTCAGTTCTGTAATGTATACTCAATCAGATCAGATGAACAGTTTGTGCAAATCCCCTCAAACAAATGAGTTATGTCCTTCAAAAGTCGTACAATCACGTGGAGTGTATAAATAATTTAAAATTCGAAATCCGATTATAAAAGAACTATACCTTTTTTGAAACGTGGCTTTACTTACAAAAAGTCTGCGATTTATTACCTTTCCAACCATGAAAAAATATGTTGCGCTGTCCGAAGAAGAGAACAGTTGATCAGGTTCAGAATTTCTTGATTCGGTTTTTCATATTTTTATCTCATGAGAACCGGTTACAGCGTATTTTTGAAATCACTACCTCCATTTCTGAGACATGCCCTATATCTCTAACCTCGAACAGGCCAATAATGAAATGCACGCTTCCTGTCTGCCTGTAAAACAGACTAGACTTTATACGCAGACGCGTCTTTCGGCAATAACCCTAATACTTATGGTAGCGTCCGCATCAAATGCCTTTAGGATTTGATTATCTACAGTTACACTGTATTGCCGACCACTCGCTTAGGTACTTATCAGGTTTATGACAATGGGCATTCATGGTAGGGGTTTATGAAAACTTGTAACAATTAGTTTTAAATCACTTCTCAGTAAAATTGTTTACTTTGTACATCAAAATAGTACTACAATTGTTGTAAAACTTTGACATTAATCCTTAACACACTCGCGTTTATTGTGTCATTATCTCTAGAAACAAAAAAGTTATAGCGATATTTATGTGCAATTGTGAGCAATTTAGCAAAAATACGAAAAACGATCATATCTCGGTAACCGTAGCCGTAACCGAAATTTTTGTTTATGTACCAAACACCCTGAATGTTCCACATTTCACATTCAAAGTTATTCCTGAATACTTTATTAGCATGGGAGGTTCCATATCGCATAAAAGGTGGAGTCAGTTGTTCGATTTTTTCTTTATTTAATATTAATCGATTTGTGAAAAATCAATTTTAAGAGACTTAAATAATGCGTTTTTCGGGAAAAATATATTCTTTCTACTAAACGACAAACTGCACGCTTTTCCATATCGGAACAATAAATCAAATAAGATGATGAGTTCAAAAAGTAACCAAAATGAAAACTTCCTGGTTTCAAAACTGAGTCCTGGACTCACCAGGAAAGGGTTATTGAGCTGTATTCATAAAAGAGCAGCATATCCTCGGAAGCATAAGGTAAAAGTATAAGGTCTTGCTTCGGAGAAAAAGGTAGAAGTATAAGCATATCCTTGTTTTCATATTCATAATGATTACCTTATACTCGCGAGGATATCCTCCAAGAAGAAGTGAAAGGTTGACCGGTATTTGTATCTTGAGCGACATGTCCTGACTTGTTCCAGCTTGTAGTTGACGTGGGAGTTCGTTCACTCAGCATCACTGACAGTTGTACTCCAGAGCTTACACAGACCGTTCCGTATTTTTACTGGATACAATTTTTTATCAAATTAATAAGCATGTCATCCTCAAGTAATGAGGAAACTATAGAAAAATTACCTTTGCTCCCATTATTTTGCAAAAGTCACAAGTTCCAAAAATAAAAATAAGAAAGGGCGATGCCTTGTTGAAAAAATACGAATCAACATTCGGTAAACCATTAGATACTAAAGGCTTATTAAAAAAAATCAAAACATGAAATCAAGATTGAAGAAAAACAGATCTAAAAAGAAACTGGTAATAAAGCAATTAAATTGTTAGATTGGGAAAGATAGTTGCTGGAAGGTGACTGTAATCCTACAATTGGGAAAATTAGTGATGCCATTCAGGTTGGTAGTGTTCAAGAAGAACGAAGTGGACTATATACCGAGCGCAGTGAGCAAACAGTTAGTATTACAGCGCCAGCGATTCAGAAGACATTGCCACCAAAAAGACAATTAGCAACAGAGAAATACG